TAAACTAATTTATATTTGTAAACTATGTTAATAAATGTATTTACGGTTCATAATAAGTGTCTACTAAATGTTCAGATCATTGTGAAAAATGCAAGTGAGTGATAATGAATTATTATTGAAATAAATGTTTAAACTTTGATCTTACACTTTAACGAAATGTTATTGAATCCCGAAAACATTATAGCCGAAATCACACACAAAAATAACACATTAACTAGTATTAGAAATCGGAAATTTCAATGGAGCTAATATACAAAACTTGAAAGTTTATTATAATATTTGTCATCTTTTCCTTTGCTGTATGTAGGATGGTATTTATTCCCGGATTTTATCTTTAAATATATAAACAATACAAGATTATGACCGATCATTGAATTTGATGTTAAACTAATAGTTCAATGTAGAGCATAGTGATCATTACCATTTATCACGTACGAGCGAAATCTTCTCGACTTCAAGGATTTCAGACGCTAAACGTAGAAACAAACAAAACCTGACCGGGCACCGCTAAAAACGGGATTGTGAAATCGCGTTTTATGATAGTAAGAATGTTTAAAGAACAAGCTCCGATCCAAGAAATTTCGTCAGAATGTTGCCTGTGTTAAATTTGTATACAACCTAAACAACTGCGGACTGTGTTTTTTTAACAATTGAATAAATACTAGCACACACAACAATCACAAAACTGTAAGTTAAGCTATAAGTGATTGTAAATGAAAGAATATCTAAGTGCGATATAAGAGTAAACTCAAAGGGTAACTATAATAACTATTTATGTATTGTTTCTGTTTTTAAGGTTACACTGGTATTTGTTTTGCCCTTGTTCAGATACCTGGTATGAGACGAAATGGCTCCGGCCGTTTCTCAAACCTTACAAAGGTCACTTAAGCATCCCAATCATGAGAATAACAAATTTTTACGGGTGACTTTTGTATTTGCTTGTCTAAGTTCTATAGCTTCTCTGCTTGTCTATATTCTGTATTAAAATAATGGACATGTTTAACGTAGAAATAGTGCTTATAATATAAGTGCTTATCTCAAAAATAGTAAATACTTAATAATGGAAGGAAGATTTTAATGATTATGTTGAAGATTTCGTCGATACAGATTATAATCAAAAAAATTTAACAAATGTGCACAACGGGCTACCTGTTCAACAAAAAAACCTTTATTAGCCTGTTTTTGATGTTCATTGAAATAGTGATCGTCATAATCGTCTGGGTGCTCGCTTTCAATTCAATGTAGTCGAACAACCTGATTTCAATCGCTGGTGTCGGCACAAATAAGTGCCGATTTATCACGCGTTCTGCGGTGAAGCAACACATCGTGAGGAAACCTGCATATTTTCGGAATTATAACAAAAAAATATTTCAAATATATGTGAAGTCCACCAATACGCAATGGGGCCGCGTGGTGGATACTATCCTTACACCGTCTGTACAGAGGAAGCCTTGGGAAGCAGTGGAACATAAATAGGCTGTTTTTTACGTATAACTTTTTTTTAAATGGCCGTAGGGAGAAAAGTTGGATAGTCGCATCCGTGCCAAATCTTTGCCAGCAACGCGTGACATTGAAGTGCAAAAAATATAAATAGATCTCTTTACCTACACAAAAAAGAAGACAGTGATACTTCAATTGAACGATTCATTTACGTACGATGTTAATGAATCTTGCAAGCCGAGAGAAAAAAGCTAAAATAACGTAAGTCGAGGTTATAAATAAGTTCTGTACCATGCATTTACATTATCTAAATATGTATCGTCGCCACTACTCCTTAAATTCGGTAACGTTTAAATTCGATCGTGTTCTTAAGAGTTCTAGGAACATAGTACACCAAAAAAATCCAAGCTTCCCTTTTTTACGAAGTAAAGCAAAGCATTAGCGACCGGCGGAACAATATCTCGACAACTCTCGCCTCTAACTCGGTGCGGCCGGCAGTTATTTCGGGAAATCGGCTGGATCTGCTCCAAAAGACGCGCGAAACGCGCGCGCGAGAACGAAATCGGAAGGCGGTCACTTTACCCGCTGAGTCAATGACACGTGAGTAAGAACCCGCGATGATGAGCTCGCCCCCGAAACTCGGTAAGTGGGGGCGATTCAGGGAACTCCCTATTTTCGATCGATCCCACTGTCCCCGTCTATTTATAACGCCGCGCGGAAACGTAGTCGGGATTCGCGGGAATTTAGCCTGTGTGTATGTTTACTCGGAATACGTGTGTTTGGAGCGAGGGCAACAGGTTGATGTGGAGTTTATTGGATCGTCAGGAAATACTGGTCTTGTCAGGTATCGCGTTAGGGATGGACACGGCTTGAAGATACTATGGTCAATATTTTACTTTGTTTTAATTGTCTGATGTTGAACCAATCACTTTGAATCAGCAACATTGTTTTTTTTTTTAGTTTTAGATTACAAATAATGTTCAGCTGTAATAATGGAATTATCTAATATTTTAAAACTTAAATGAAAAATTGATAGAAGACGTCGAAGTTGATATGATCGCTGATTTTAATCTCGATGTCACCTAGAGGTGATTTTCTATCGTACTATGAGTATTTACTATAAATATCACTACATCATGTGTGGCAGGCGATAGCGATAGGGCTCGATGAATCATACATAGATGTATAGAATCATATGTCTATGATTCATCTTACCCTACTATCAGTTAACGAGTGTCCGTATTTGTTTCTGCGTTAAATTTTCCCATAAAGGCCGTTTTATTTGTTAGATTGGCTCCAACTACATATACCGAAAACCTGTAGACATTGAGTGGAACGATTTGCACATATTAAAAAGGCTAACAAAACAAATTTATTCGTAAGGCATCCCTGCAAAGAGGACGGGCCATTGCGAAGGAAAGAAGTCCGAACTCGTTTTCCTTCCGTTGAATCTGATGGCGATAGCCAACACGCGTAAATACTGCTAATGAGAACGGTTGCATCAATAACGTGATTTTAAGCCTTATATTACATAGTTTAAAATCCACTAATTTATTTTCGACAGTTCAGGGTATATAGCATGGGCCTAAATATTTATTTATCCTAACTTCAACGACAAAATATGTCGTTTTGCGGTAAGATAAATAACCTCTTTTATCTGAATCTTACAGCATTTACCTCATACAGAGACAGTTGAACTTCTACTTTTCACACAGATTCGACATCAAATTATCAACAGACATCAAAGCTATTTTATGCACTAACACCGGAAAACGATAACTCAAACGATATTGGAAAGCAATAACGTAATTCTATATCTCAGAGGCTTACAATAGTAACGCCATACTTTTCTAAATTACTGTTCTTACACCATTAAAATCCATAGAACAAATTCTACACAATAGTATAAAGCATTAAGTCCTACGACGCATAATTAATAAAATATTCAATCGTATATGACATCATAATCAATAGTGCATTTAAGGATTCATTCACGCATTTTTGCCTCTCCTGTAAAATTTGTGTTCTGTCACATAATGCTGTTTACCTCTGAGGTACAGAATTGTGTTCATATATATTAAATGTACGTATGAAATTTCTCTTTTTACCATGAAATTAGTAGATATGGAAATTTAAAACTAACCTTGCGTGCGCTAAATAGGGCAACAACAACATTTATTTAAGTCACGCCACGTATTAGTATAACTGTTCGCTCGCAGAACGTTAGAATATATATATCTAAATAGTAAATGTATTTTTGAATAAAAACATTTATTGCATCAATGATTGTAAAGTTAAGTTTAGAATAATTATTCTACCCTCCATAATAAAGTTTACAAAACTGACCTGAAATTGCTAATCTAGACATGCACGGGGCGTTTGGAGTGCCTTCGCTAATCTTTCTGATATGGAAGCAATAGTGTGTCGTTTAGGGGTTGATAAATTACGAAAAGTAATGATGCCTAATACGAATATCTATGAAATTATCATAATTAGTAAGTTGACACATTACTAATGTGAAAGTACTGTGGTTCATCCTACTTCACGCCGAAGCTAACACGGAGGCTACACAGACTAGGGAGAAGTATCGCATAAAATTCAACACGTTTATTTCGGGAAAAAAAATACGAAGCTGCTGGAGACAGCGAGGTTCAACTAGGTTAAAAAAAATTTGCTGCTACAAAAGCAAGTTGGCGGTTGCATTTCGGTCACTAGATTCACAGATCAACAACGGTCCGTGTAGAGTTTACGGTATTATAGAAAAGTTTGATCTCTTCATTCACTGTATTAATCAAGTGGTCGCTCGGAAGTTGATTTCATCTATTATTTACCATATAAACAAATTTCTCCGTAATAAATTATGTTTTTAGGTAAGAAAAGCCATACGAAATATCCAGCGACGCGTTATTATCATTGGTGGGATTTTTAATTTTTGCGCAGTGAATTATAAGTGTGTAGTTACTATAGTTTCAGATAATTGAGAATTCAACAAATCTTATTTGCCTCTATCTTGGCAACTCATCAATAAACAAGTGTTCGGTTCAGTTTGATTGGAAATTAAAAACATATTTAAAAAAAAATCATCCGTGACAGTAAATCAATACGTTAGATCATCACGGAAAACTTGTCCAATAACTTTGAAAAACTAGTCGTAATGTATTTAACATTATGTTCGCCTCTGTAAATTTTTTTAGTCCATGAATCATAAATTAACGAATAAATAAATAATATTTTGGAAGCATAAATTAATCGTTCTAAGATATTTCAGTATCATTAAAATAAGTATAGTGTCTTGAGTCTAGAAGCAAAAAGCAAAATCTTAATAGTAAAACGCTCAGCAGATTATATGCGCATAATGATGACATTACGTAGTTGCCCGCGTCTGTCTCCGCCTGTTTGCTTGCGATTGTGATGTGTAAACAAACACCTGTTTTATTGACGTTCTATGAAAAACTTATTCAAACGTAGTTTAGGTACCGTTCTGTGGCAATATCGAGTGTAGCAAATTGTTTGATGTAAAGCAGAGCGTACCGATCCGTTCCGCTACGATAAGGGGATTAGGTAGTGCTGCGGGCGGTCGCATTTTTGTTCGGCGTTTCGGGTTGTAGATTAAAGTACCGTTCGCGTACCTGTCCGAAGAAGCGTTCCCTCGCCGCGGCCATGCTCTCGCCACGCGGCGCATCAGTCTCCGTAGAGCTAGGGTCTTCTTTGGGCGGCTCCTGCTGCGGCGCAGAGGGCTCAGGCGCCGTTGACGAGGACTGGGGCAGCTCCGCTGCGGCCGCAGCGCGCTTCTTCGCCTCCTCAGCCACGATCACCACTTTATGCACACCACCGTCCCCTTTATCGCCGCCGATACCGTTCGTCTTCTCGCTGGGGCCCTTCCGCTGTTTCCCCTTCTTACCCTTACCCTTCGGCCGGTCGGGCGAGTTCGCCTTATCGAAACGGTCGCTGGCGCAGCACTGCACATTACCCATGTCGAGGTGCGAGCATGTCGCGGTTCTCGGTCGGCGGTAGTCGGCTTTGTCGGTCGGTCGTTCGAGGCGCGTCGGCGTCGGCGCCGGTACGCGGAATGAGCTCGCCGCTCGGGTGCCCGCCGTCGCGGCGCCCACCCGTCCCGGTATTTCCGACGCTGGCTTCGGAAGCGCTGACCGCGGTCTGCGCGGATGCCGTCCGCGAAGGATCTCACCCGAAAGCCGGGCCGCGTGCCGGCCGCGCTGGCGTCATCGCGCCCCCCCGTCCCCCGCGCGCCGCAAGGTCAAGGCGCGCTCATTGTTCCCGCACCGCTCGTACTAGCAAATGCACGGCTTTGGAGTCGTCACTACTTGTGGCAGAGGATAGGAGCCGTGCACCAAGCCGCTATCGATCCCGCGATGTTGCCCCCCCGCTGCCAAGGCAACGCGCCGTAACCAACGGCAACGGTTTGACGCAACCGCAATTTAGGTGTTTAATTGAAACGTAAACACGGCGTCGTTAGTGTGACGGAGCATACGCGGAATTAATTTGTATTTGCGACGCGGTCGGATATTCTGTTTGTGTACTGTTATCGGGCTCGCGACCGGTCGGATGGTTGATAGCGAGCGTACGCAGCTGTGTGCGTCGAATTGAATATGCATCGCATTGAGCCAAACACTAACCGTGTAGCTAGGTGAAGAATATAAAATTTAGCTGCTAGTCTTTGCTTATTACGTACCTACTATATGAGAAAATTGTTACCATCAAAGCGAATAGAAAGCAAGTAAAACGATGTGTTTCAAAACTATCATAGTTTTTTATATGGTAAATACAATTAAATCAACGGTCATAGATTAATTAATGATGTTGTTATTTTATTTATTACGGCATTTGATCATCATCAGCGCTCGACCCAATTTTAAGTGTTTGAATTATTAGTAAAAACATTCTTTGAACTGTCAACGTGTACTCGATTACAAAAGGTTAAATTAAGGTTTCATACAATTTTCCTTACTAGTTTTACTTTGCATCTGAGAGTGGAATGTTATCGAAATTGGTTGTACAAATTTAAGTATTGAGCATTCAATGTAATCTTCAACTAAGCAGTACACTCACGTTTCAAGGGCGAAAGACATCGTAAGACGTAAAACAATGTAGCCATTGACTATAATTGCATATAAACAAATGTCAGTTTAGAGAGCCACTTCGAAATGTAAGTAGTTTGCGATGGGAATATAGAGGCAGTGATATTAGGCCGACAATATTGCGAATAAAAATAGACGCTTACAAAGCCGGCCATATTTCGACGATGACGCGATAAGTAGATATAATCGGAATTTGAGTGTTTTAATATTATAGCGACATTTTGAAATAGGATTTAATAATTTCACATCTAGATATTAAATTTGAAAGGTTAATCTTATAAGTTAATCTTATAAGAAAGATATGCTACCTCTACAAGACGAGTTTAAAACTTCTTATATGATATTGTTTCCATCACTACCAGTAATTTAATAACGATCCTCTTGGAACTAAAACTTGGAATTTTTTTCTTTTATTTATCTTATCTTATTAACCAAAACTACAACTAAGGTGCACTGCAATTTGTGAAGTGAAAACTTTGGACCCCTTCTTCAAGCGAAGTGAGGGCACTGAGTAGTGTGAGATTTATAATACTAACGCCCGGTTTCTATAACACTGATCATCAAATCAATTCAAAGAGTGATCAATTCAAAGAGTGATCAATTCAAAGAGTGATCAATTCAAAGAGTTTAACCATAGTTTTGGCAACTCAAACGAAATTTGTAAAGCCATTTGACAGCTGTTTAGTTGACATCTACAATGTTGTGTTCCAGAAACCGGGCGTTAGAGTTTGTCTAGAGAAGAAATACAGGACCTACACTCTCTGAGGCAAGAGAGTGACTAAGATTGGTTCAATATCCACTACCCCAAACTGGCTGTCTTGATTGTTATGGAACCCGGAACACAGAAAGCTATCGAGAAACTATGTTTGCCGTGAAGTTATTATGAAATCCGTACACGCATACTCAGAGATATTATTGATGTAGATATTCTGCGAGATAAACGAATTCCGAAACAGTCGAAACCAGATGTCCCTTTAATTTTGTTCGCGTTGCAAAGCGGAGGATCGTGGTCGCAATCCGATGTCGTAATTTCGGATGAGACGGTGCCCCGGCTGGTGAAACTGGGGCGTGTCGGGCGAGCTTTTAGAGCGCTCTCGTGTTCGCCGCTCACACCGTAACGCAACGGCGGCATTAATATTCCGGCGCAGGGCACGGCTTCGCAATTAGAGGGCATCGCGCGGCTAATAAATGGGCGTGCATATGATTATGTAGCAATCGAGAACCGTAATACCGTGGTAAATTAATTAAGAGCGATTTTGTCATTGACATTTAAAATGTTAAGAGCCGTGATAACTCAGTGTCCGGGAGCTCGCCTTTAATTCAATGTACTCGAGCAACCTGAGTTCGATCCCCGGTGCCGGCACCAATGAAATTGTTAATTTTAAGTGCCAACTTTTTCACATGCTCAACGTTGAAAGAAAACATCGTGAGGAAACCTGCATATTTTCGAAATAATAACAAAAAAAAAATATTACAAAGATATGTGAAGTTCGCCAATCCGCAGTGAGGCCGCGTGGTGGACTATGTAAAAGAGGTCCCTCTGTAAAAAAGGTCTTTGTCCAGCAGTGGGATAGGCTGTTACTTTACTTTACTTTATTTAAAATTTTATAATTTATGCGCCCTTTTCCCTATGATGAAGAGATTGAGAGTTTTCATGATTTGTTATTTATGCACTCGTCTTGTATTTGATTAAACTTGTTATAATTATAATACAAATTTCTTGCAAGAACTACGTCGTATAAGGCTCTGCCTACATGCTTCAACTACATGGTTACGGGGCAAGTTCACTAGAGATAAGTTAGAAACATCTCTGATGGTAATTCACTAAAAGACAACAGTTTATGTAGGAGGGTTGCCACTGAGAGAATGTGCCACCTGTTACCAGACAAAACAGAAATCCAAAAACACTTTCGCTTAAAGCGGCTGAGGGCATCTCTGCAGCACCTATTCTTTCATAATTGGGCGTTGCCAATCTAAAAAATGTGGCACCCGGTTACCTCACTGACGATAGGCAAAATTGTAATACTTCTACTTCACGCCGATTTTGTGCGAGGCACTTCTCGGTCGAACGGTTCTATTCGTTCTGCAGCTGCTGTTACGTAGGCCGTAATTGTCTTATTTCTAATAAACTAAAAAGAGTTTGACTAAGAGACTTTATGTTTAATGAAGTAAGTGTCGCGTAGATAACTATTACTACAAGGTTGTCCACTTCAATATACTTTAAAAAAAGTTGAGAAAGAGGTACGTCGAAGAGAACAATACATTGTAAACCATCTCTTGTTTAGTTTGAGTAATAATTTGAAACGCGTAATAACCGATGTCCGTAGTTTTTAAAATAGTATGCGCAACATAATAGCGCTACCAAAAAATGAATCGAATTATTATTCTAGCAGGCTCCAGCGGTAACATAGAACTCTTAAGATATTTAAAACAACTTTGTTGATATTAACTCTTTTATGCATATATTTACGATGCTACGATTTGAGTTAACTGAACTGATTGCTTCGACATATTATTTTATGCCTTCAAATAATTGTATAATTCGTCATAAAATTTCGGTGTGAAGGTGGGACAACCAAAAAAGATGGAATTGGAACAATGACGACTGCCGGCCACCGTTACACACGCCGTTTACGTTTTGGACAGCATTCAATGGCGAGTAAGGAAGTTCACATTTGATTACATCACAGCGCTTCGTTGTTTATCTTAAGAATTTTAATGTGTATCAGACTCAATAAAACGTTAGATTTTCCCGCTAGAAAACACTATAGCCACGTACATAATGCGTTATAAATAAGAGTAGTAACGTCAATGACTTCGACTAACCGCGATATGTCGACTGTTATTTGAAAAGTACGGCTTGCAAAGAAAAAAAAAATATTTTTTATTACAATTAGAACGCCAAATTGATTTCAAGACGACGACGATAACTTTAGTTTAATTACAAACGCAGGTAATAAAATGCCGATCGATGAACGATGATGAACGATGATTACTACTCAGATAGTGATGCGGAAATGAGCGGAATTGGTATTCTACATTCCGATTCAAACTTTTTCTTTCATGCTTTGAATACAAAATGTTTTTGTGAATAAATTCTATTTCAAAAACATCTTATTAGTTCAAAAATATCCGTTTTGCTCACCCTTCTTAACTGCTATGACGTCCCAAGATGGCGCGTGGTCAGGCTTTTCTTTAAGAAAAGAAATTGAATCGCATTGTATAGTGCTAAGACACACAACCAATTAGTTCGTCCTGGCCTACGAGCACGGTAAAACCAACACAAAGCGTTCACAAGTTAAACCCACATTCCAGGGCGGTTCTCACCACCCTCAGCCAACTATCAATATAGTCAACGGGTTTCAGGGTCACGGTCCGTACCGAAACTCGATGGCCCGTAGTTGGTTGATGCTGCCAGCCGTGGATTGTGCTATGCTTGGCAGCGAGAGGGCGTGGGGTGCTGTCCTCGCATACTGCGAGGACGTTATCACCCGGACGGTGGACGCGGCGCGAGAAAGGGAGGCAACTGCCACCCTGGAAATCCGCCGACGGAGACCAGGGCGCAGTTGGCTGGCCTACGCGCGCTAACTTCCCCCTGATAGTGAGACCCTGAGCGGCAGACATGGGAGTGTCTGACGCTCAATATGGGGCTTATGAGGGGTGCTGAGCCAATTGCACTGGCATAGACCCATTTGGAAGAGGAGGTTCAAAAAGGCCATAGTCGCGCCAGGGTCGCGGAAGATTGCGTCTACGCATTCCTGTGTCCCCGGCCGATGCGACAGAGATAGGTGCAACGTATAAAAAAGGCCCGTAGCTAATAATATGAAGATCCATATTCTGCGTTGGATCCCTACCCCAGGGTCGTATAGAACTCGTGGTTACCTGATGAGTTCTGTTAATTCTGTTAATTTATGTTTTTTAATCATGTAATAAAATAACGATTTTCAAATTTTTATAAGACCTTTTTGGTATTGGATTTTAAGAAACTTTAATCTCTTGTAGCCTATAAGTTCCAAACTCTAGATCCAACTATCTTACCTGACATTGTAACACAAACATGTCCTTGCTACAGCCTTGCTCCTAAAAAGTACCTCGACGTTTTCAAGGAATACGATACCTAAACTTGATCTAATTTAAATGTTATCAGTCTGTTAAAACGTTTTCGTAAACAAGCTAGGTATATATTTGGCTAAACCGGTCGATCGAAGTGTAAGTATATACGCAGATACTTAAACATGTGAAAATAATTGACGCAAATGCGATTTGACATGAGACTTTATGGAGTAAATGATGAAATAATAATGCAATGACGTTATTAACCCTTACGTAATTATAATTGATTGCGTTCGTAAAGATAGTAGGATCGTTAAGATTTGTCGCGAATGACACCAGTAAGTGGGCGGGCGACCTAGCTAATTATCAATGGCGTCTTCCTACATCCGTGGGAACGCAAAATGAAGTGCATCAAATTGCAACCAATTGATGGAGCAAGGGCGCGAAGTCCTCTGAAATGTAACATATGCATATGTTTTCCAGGAAACGTAGACTTCTTGTAATACGACTATGTTTCTATTCTATAAAAACCCTTTCTTAAAAAAAAAACGGGATACTAATACCATTATTTGTTCATGAATACTTTAAGACACAAAAAATACACATTCGATGAGCCTATAGCCAAACTTCAAATATGAGTATGAACAGAATGGATTGTCCTAAAATTTCGCCTTATAACATTCGATTTTATTAATAAAATCGATCATACATATATACAGCGTGTCGTTACTATCGCGACAATAAATGAACACAGGTCTAACGCTACTTGCCAATAATCATAAAAAAATATTAACGTTAAACAAAATCCATAATTTAAAAAAATATTTTTCAAACAAAGTAATTAAGTAAAAAAGAAACAAAATTTGTAACATCCTATACAACTCGCGCCACAGGGTCGCATTACAAGCCTCTCCTTCTAACAGTATGTTTTGTCTCTTTTAAATTCATTCAACCCATTCATATGCTTTGTGACCTTTACAAATGAACTTTACGTTACAGTTTTATACGTAAGGCTGTTCTAAAATTGTTTGTTTTGGAAAATTTAATAACTCGGTAAATATTGATGTTTGAAGAATGTAAATATTTAATACAATTTTAAAAAGTTATCCTCTATATGTGTGTTCATTTATTGTCGCGGTGGTAACGACACGCTGTATAATTATCAGTTCATAACTAAACTATATTTGTGGGTATACCAGCAATATTTTAAGTAAGAGAAGCTGTTAACAGGGATAATAAGCGAAATAACACGCTGTCTGGAAAATGTCGGTGAAGATATGTTGAACGACAATTTTCGTGTCGTCGAAATTGTTTCATTAATTTAGCGTGGGATGTGGCCAGACTGTGACGAAAGCTGCACAAAGAGCTCTGTGCTTTAAATGTAGCATTCTAATAAATCACTAAAATATTGAACACTTGGAACAAAAGAATAAAAAGACGAGCTAGAAACTTTTTGATTGAAGAAATCGTCACCCGATTGATAAAATTTATGCATTGTTTTTAATAAATAGTACCTGAAGGACCGAGTTTGTTTTTTTTGGTAAATCATGTATTTTGGAAATAAAAAAAATAAAGAAAATGATCTGGTATCGAAAAAAAAGAAAAAAAAATAAGTGTGTAAATAATCATGATACGAACGGCGGCCGTCTGTTTTGGGGCCGCCCCATATTCGAATGACATTTTCCGAATATCATTTCCCTGAAAACAGGGAAAAAAGGACATTTTATCCCTGGCTAGTCGATTTTTCACCCCAGAATCTACGCACATACTAAATTTCATGAAAATCGCTGGAGCCGTTTCTAAGCCGTAAACCTAAAACTAACTGTATAACCTGTAATATATAGATAAAATAAAAAATCTATTTAAAATGTTATAGTATGGGATTAATGTTTTAAACTTATTCTTTCTTCATTTAGTTCAGTTATGGTCAGTTATGCAGATGCTTTATCAGTGTACGGAGTTTTTACTTTATTTAATTTATGGACTGTGATATAAACATAATAAATATCCTACCGTTTCGCTGTCACTTTCTTCGGTGGCCATTGCGATTTCTGCATCCAGATGCTGTTCAGCATCACGGAACTCTCTCTCCAACTCCAACACTTCGGTTTCTATAGGGGGCGATCTCTGCAGTTCATCCATCAGAAGCGACGAACGCTCTGTTTCCTCTGCAACATCAATTACCAAATGTTTACTTTGAAAAATATTATATAGCGATTTTTTTGCAAGCAATGCAACGGTTATGTATAAATTAATCTTGAATTACTAAGACGTGTAAGCGAAGTTATGCATATAACATTTGTATAAAATTATATGGAATATCAGTTTAATTTTAATAGTTAACAGTGTTTAAAGGCTAAACTTAATAAGTATATTCAAAGCCCTCATTCTTAAAGGTGCTTCATACAAATTTGCATAACAACTAAGTTACTTGTTGGCCTTGAAATCGGGTTAGTATACATTAGCCTACCATGACGTTTGTTGTGTTGTACCTTTGTTTTCGTTCCTATCTCTTTGATGTTTCCGCTTTGCTTGTCGTGAATTTTGAATTTTTTGTATGGTTCGAGGTGATATGGGTTTCATGGAGATTCTTTGAATTCTACTCCCCGGAAGGAGTGAGGCAACAACCCTTTTGGGTTCTTCTATTTCGGGGTTTTTAGTGTAGGCACCGAAAGTGATGTCATCTGGCTCAGCATCCATATCGATGAAACTCTCCTCGAAAAGTTCGTAGCTTTCCAAATCTGAGTCTAGTTCGCCTTTGGTGTAGTCGGGTTTAGACCTACAAAGCGTATCTGAATTCCGTCTGTAACAGACTTGCTTAGGATCGGGCGACGAGAAGCTTCGCATGACGTACCCTTTGTTCTGTACATCGCTCTGTGGTGCAGGCGAGGAGTAACTCCTCGGGAGATGGCTTTTGGCGTTTTGCGTCTTGCGCTGCTGATGCTGTTGGATTCTAGTCGAGATCAAACTCCTGCCTCGGTTGGCACTCGGCGTGGGGTTCAACTCCTTTCGAGGCATGGCTCAATTCACCTGCTTGTTTCACGTGCAGATCCCTGCGGATGCGGCAACTGACTGCAGGTGCGATTTGCTCGAATGTAACGTGTCACATTACTGTACAATATGCGTGAACATTTCTAGCAGATCGCTTACCCATATCGCATGACGAGGCCGGGTGTTGCGGGCTGAAACGCGATCTGATAAGCAACGGTGAGCACGGCCAACTTTACGATTTTGCTTGTCTCTAAGCATATCTACTTACAAATAAAGCACGTTAATGTTCTTGATAAACTATTAAAAAAGTATCTGGCGCTGTGGATCAGTCTTATTTACGTAAGCGAACTTTTTAGGTACGTATAGTTTTAGAAGTTATTTACGTAGATTTAATCTGGACAAGAATGTTGAATGTTAAACAATTTTTCAGTAATATGACACACCTGAATGAAAACCCGTACGCGGTACTTTAAATATATAGTAATTATTTTATAGATTAGTTTAACGGAACTCGTGAACGGTGATTACGCACATGAGTAGCAAGTTATAATGGTGCTTTACTATACGTTATGAGGAGGTGTTACTTAAAGCGCTCCGTAGGCGAACAACTTTCTCTTTATGGAGCCTTGCGGACTGTAATTCGTTGACATTCAAAAATATTTAACAACAAATTCATGCTCTGACGTCGCCTTGACATAAATTAAGCGATTCCGCTACAATAATCAGACCTGATTAAGGCGTAATTGATGAAAATCACTTTTTCACTACAATAGAACTCGCACATACCGATTACCGACTGTGAGTTTTATTATTTTAGTTATTTTACTTATTAACTATGTGATAAGGTGGGAAGAGAGCTTATCGTTTACCTGACGTTAAGAGAAAACCGCCACAAATGGACGTCTGCAAATTATTATTTTTTTATGTGAGAAGGTGGCAAACGAGCCTACGGTTCCCCAGTTGTTCGCCGCCCATTGACATTTGCAACACCCGTACACATGCGTTGCAACCTTTTAATCAAGTGGCCCCCGTCTTCCGAAAGAAGTAAAACACTTCCACGTAACGCCTGTCTTCTGTGCGGTCCTGGCACTTACCCGGACGGACCTGTTCATTCGTGCAACAGAGAAGACTGTTGCGTGGCACTACCACAGTTAATAATCTAAATAAGAAATATTTCTTTTTATTTATTGTGAACGCATAATATTTAACAAATTAAAGTTTCATACATTATGTTAGAAAACTGTAAGTTTTAATAAGAAATAATAGTCTTGTAGTAAAGGATCATTCTAACGCGCTCAAAAGTATTTACGCCTGTCTCCTTATAATAAAATAACAGCAACATTCTTGGATACAATTCAAATTATTTTGACACGACATTGCCCTATAAACCGCTTTCGAAATAGTAATATAAGAATAAGAAAATTGTGAAGTTAGTTACGTTAGAAGTTATACTTCTTTGGCGTAACAAGATAAAAATCTTTTTTTCAAAAATTTTATCTTTCGCCTTATTCTACGTTTGTAGAAAAAACGACACTAGCAATAAAAAAAGGTATCTAATACACTGAAAGGTTTCTTATAACGCATTATCTAGTTAAACAAAGTTTATTTAAATATCACAAAATACATATCATGAATACATACAGTTGTCAGTTTTCACGCTTATTTTTTTACTTTTTTTGTATACCAGATCATTTTCATTAATTTCATATTTTTTTATTTCCAAAATAAATGATTTACCAAAAAAAACCGAGCAAAGCTCGGTCCTCTAGGTAGATACTTTAAAATTTAAATGCACATATCAATTCAATTTTGTAGAATTTTATCTATTTTGTTTGTTATCTTTATATTTAAACAAATTGTCAATACATGACAATATCATTCATTTTTCTAAGAAATATAAACGAGTTTTTTAAATAAAAACCTAACCTTACTCTACTTTTCAATAAAACTTATATAGTCAATAGCAACGAGTGTTTGAATCATAAATTTGATAATATGAATTTAGTAATATAGAGATAGTCCGACGTTGTCGCATAAGGAAAAAAATATTATTAGAGTTAAAATATTTACATTGCGCGCGCACAACGACGACCAAAAAGCGAAATCATGAAGTTAGTTGCAAAGCGACCAACTTCACGGTATTACCATGACAACCAAATAGACCTCTTTGACATTTACCTTAAATTCCAAGTTATTTATTTAAACCTTTATCAACAAATGTACATGAATGCTTCAATCTCGTTTTATTTATTGGATTTTACTAAACTTCTTTAATGTTTTAGTGCCATCTACAGTTACGAAAGAGAATTTTTCAGCGTTTCACTTGTATCGGATTTTTCATTCAAAATTTTTCTTTATATGTCTCCCATGTAAATGACAATTTAGCTTTAATATTTCTTCAAACAATCTACTTTGTGATTAATTGAAGTACCTACATGATGATACCTACCTTTGTTGTGTATCGGTAGATGGATCTGCTGTATGTGCGTTAAAAGGAACACAACATTTCGTTAGATGTCGCTAGGTTCATATATTTTAATTTTTGTTTTTTGAAAACATACATTTAAAGTTTTATGTACAGCATTACAACAGTATTTTAGGATCAATCGGAATGAATTTCGGTTAATTAAACATGAAATAAATCTTTTACGTAAATACGATAGTTGCAGCAATTGGAGAGAAGAATGTAAAATTAGAATTGATTAGAATGTAAAATTTGTATTATAGGTACCGGTTATTATAAAAATATTTCTCACGATTCGAGTTGATAATATATCACTGCGTTACAAGACAACGAAGCTACTTATTTAAATGGTTAAAAATTAAAGTGTCAAAAATCACGGTATATACTACTACTTTTAAAGCTTAAAAGTCGTATCAACGATAATTTTCCCGTGTAGCGTTTACCGTAGTTTTTACAAAGTTGCTTAGCCTTCTCGAATGTAAGGTATAAGGTGATGATTTGTATTTTTAAAATAAACGATTTTGAGTTGTATTGTACCTTGGTATGAAGTTTAAAACCGCCTTTTATTAAAAGGGAAACAAAGAGACACCGACGTTAAACACTCGTTCAAAATTAAATAATAAATTTAATCAATTAAATCTATTAATGACTTCTTTGGAACCCTCTTATAATGGCATGACAAATATATCATCATGGTCATTCATATTAAGCACTCTACGCGTAAACATTAATTATTACATTTATTCTTCCTGCCTTTACCCCAGCTAAGGTGTAGTTAATCGTATCAACTAGTTTTTTACGACGCCTGTCAGTCATGACGTCCTTGGAAAATACACCCAGATCTGGAACAATCTGTAGGTACACAAATACTTATCCCATGTGGGAATTGAAAATACGACCCCAATGGCTTAATACAATTCTTTTCCTTCACCGTTATTGTAATTTGCCACATAAAATACTCTAGAGGAGTGAAATAAAAAAAAAGGCAATAAGAAAATATTTATTTAATGCAGGAATATCGTTGCCAGACGTCCCGATTTTGGCGGGGCGTCCCAATTTTAGCCTATGATTAAAAGTAATAAAAGTACTAATTATCAACGTTTTTTTTATTCGACCTCGATTGCGACAAAAGAATACGGTTTACTGAAAAGGTTTCAAGATCCCGCTTTGCCCGAAAAAAAATCTTGAAAAATCTGTCTGTAAGGAAACGAACCTACGGCATTGAAGTGAAACATTCAGCAACTGCGCGAAAGGAGACATTGCCATGCTTGGTTACTTCGGTTCTTACGTCTGTGTCTATTACGTTAGTAACTTACGCCGTCAACGAACTGCTTAGGGTTCGCACAATCGGAATATTTTTTGCTACCCAATTATAATAATAACATGGACATCGATAACATGGTTATAAAAGGATATCTCAATAAACTAAATTATATACAACAAAGTAATTGCAAATATTTCAATGAGGTGGGAGGATGCCAAACTTTGTAAAGTAAAAATAAAAGTAATACTTAGGTAAGTTAAAGAGGCTTAAACAGATATAAAATTTCAGCACAAGAAAAAATTTCATATAGACCACAACACATAAATTCTCGTACTCTCTTCTCATCTATAATAGTTTTTAATTAATAATATAATTTCCGGCCTCGATTCTAAGTGATAACAACTTTCAAATATACACTAATATTACGAGGGAAAAATGTAATTCACAATGCAACGCTGCAGAATTCTTCAGTTTTCTCTCCACATAATTATTACCATTTGATTTCAAAACTTTTATTAGCAGTAAGCAATAGAAGTGTGGGTGAGTGTCATAAGAACTGCTTTCAGGTCGGTGTGGTAGAGAGAGGACACTTCCAAAGTTTCCACTTCACTTCACAATATATTTGAATTTTTTTAAACAGATAATTAATATTTTAGATAGTGAAACTTTGTCGACAACCCTATTCAATGAGCACGCAAACCTCACCCTACCGACACGAGCGTGTTAGACAAGATTCATGATAGTCAGTCAGTTGGCGTTAGCTTTGCTGTCTGCCGAACTTACTTGTGCTCTAAAGTGTTTCTTAACAACAAACGCCGCGGTAAGTTTTTTCCACTTAATTTTTGCTTAATTAAGTAAGATCAAAGTAAAGATCAAAGAACTCATTAGTATTTAAAGAGTTAATGCGGACGTTCATAATAGTAACGCTAACACGAAGACAAACGTATTTATTTTATAAAACGCCATAAATTATACGAGATAATATTTTAACAATTCTCACAAACGAAAAAGTTTAACTATTTTACCTCTGACGCTTAAAAAGACGCACAGCTTGAAGTAAAATTAGCTGTTAGTGTAGCTAGAAATAAATAAATTTGCTATCAGTGTTTAGTAATCGTGTTAATGTTGGAAAACAGGTTGAATTGCGAATAAATTCGTGAGATTGCGACATGCGATCATGGAAAAAATAGTAAAAAGAGAATAAAAAATGTGATTTATTGTTAATTGTAAATTTCTTTTTCTTTTAAAATTAAAAATATTTAATTTATATTTTTTACAGTCTGGCAAGGCTGTTCCCCATTAAATATTTTACGTTTTTTTAAGAAAAAATGTTTCCCTCGTTTAGGTCAATTAATTTCCTTTTTTCATTTAAACAATGACAAGTTAAAGCTATAAGAAATATGTATGTATGTAATAAAAAAGATTATTTCTGTGAATTCATTGTGTAAACAATAGTTTCTTTTGTGTACATTGTGTATACGTACAACCGAAACAGTGTAAAAATTTTGCTTTGTTGTACGAGTACTGTGACCATGTAGGTTCCCGTTTTTAGGGTTTCCTACCCAAAGAGTAAACGGGACCCTATTACTAAGACTCCGCTGTCTGTCTGTCTGTCTGTCCGTCTGTCACCAGGCTGTATCTCAAGAATCGTGATAATTAGAGACAGTAGAAATTTTCACAGATGATGTATTTCTGTTGCCACTATGACAACATATACCTACTAAAAAAAATATTTAAGTATGGCACCCATACAATACATATGATTTTTTTTGCCAATGTTTTTTATAGATAATGGTACGGAATCAAACGCGAGTCCGACTTGCACTTGGCCGGTTTTTGTATTTTTCTGTTGTATGTAACTTTATAAACCAGTTGTTACATTTGTTCAATTTCGAAATTAATCGTTATTTAATAAGAGACGCAAAATGGCTGAGCATATCGGAAGTGCTCACGATTTAAGACATGTAGAGCAATTCAAACAAATATTCGCTTATTAATTACGCATTTAAAGTTCTCTTACTTTCATGTTTTTGTAGATCATACGTATATGTGAAATATATGATATTTCATTATGTACAGACTATACGAACACCGAAATTCATTTAACCTCGTACTTTATTAAATAAAACCATTGCACAGATTGTATCGCGTTCAAAATTATGATTTTTATGATATGTTATTTGGAACAACGTACTGTATCTACTTTTCAGAGAGGAGCTTGATTTAAATTAGTTTTGTACACATAAATAATCTTTAACAACTAGCCAGGTCAACCAATATTGTCTTAGGTCTACACTTCAGATTTTTAAAATTGTATGCTTTTATTATATGCTTAGTTTAAATCTTCTTCCTTTGAGGATAACATGTCGTTATATTGTTTGTAAATCACGTATTGCTTGACTGAAAATGGAGTAAGCAAGCGATTTGGAAGGCCATTTTTGTTTCAAAATTTCTTTTTGTATTATGAAAATACTTTTTATAACATTATAATGTAATATGAGGCGAGTAATAAAGGTTACAATCAAGATTCAGTATGATTGAAAAAGATGCGTCAATAACTCGAGAATAAATGTTCGAGAATACAGTTATAAATGTACGAGCGGTTTATTGTTTCTAACGTTTATTACCTATTATTAATTCATATCTATTAAGCTGTAAACGCAAATCCGTTTTATTTTATTACTATTAAGCGAACAAGTGAGCATGCATTTCGGAATAGTAAATTGCATATTATATCTGTATTATATACAATTATATCAGTTAGTTAAATTTTATGCAGAATACAAAGCAAGATGGCAGGTAGCGTTAGTTACGCAATGTTTGAAATGATAGAGATCCGGTTGCCGCAGAACTGAACTTTCTCTGGAACCGGCGTGCGTAGTTTCCATTAGTAGAAGTATTACGAAAATAGCATTTTTTTTGCTTGTTTACTTCTCTATGTTTAATGATAGAACATTTTACGGTAGAGAATATATCCTTGTTTAAGAATGGGTATTATTTCTAAGACACAATCTAAAATCAAACCAAAATCAAAATCAAAATAATTTATTCATCGACATAAGAAAAATACATTTCATTTAATGATAGTCATTTTTTTAATCTATCACCGTTTCACGGAGAAGAAGCAGGCGAAAGAAACTCCGTAGGTATCCTCTTTTTTATCAATTTTTTTCTTCTCAACAAAATTAAAATATTTTTTTATAAATGGCTAGGGAGCGATCAACTCATTCCCAGGGGGTTTTGTCTTTAATGTATTCATTTATATAATAATAACCCTTTTTGTAAAGTTTTTCTTTAATAAATTTCTTAAACCTGTTGATAGAGATCTAAATCTGCATTTGGAATATGAAATACAATCAATACAGCTTCCCATTTATTATCTATTCAGAAAGCTACATAGCGTTAGCTATTTCTCTCTTCTTATCATCTTAAGTTCAATTATGTAAGGAACATCGTGAGACTCAATTACAAACAGGTTTAAAATTTAATCGGATCATATTTTATTTCAATGAACAAGACATATTTTCTTACTTTACGTGTTTGTTTAGAGCGGTAACTGTGGTAGGGACCTTTCTTACAACAGCGGAAGCTGGTTCCTGCCACGGGGCTAGCATGGGCTCGTTCGGGGAATTACCGCGACCTCACAGAAGATCAGGTTGATGTAAAATTGTTATGCTTTGTCTGATGAGTGAGGCTACTAGGGGCCTACTGTTTTAAAGGTTGGCAACGCACCCGGAATCCCTTCCATCTTGTAGATATTCATGGGCGGTGATCACTTAACGGTCGGTTGAACTGCCTGCTCGCTAGCCATCTCTTCTGCTCTCACAACTAATATGCTAACCGCGACATTGTACACAACTCTTACGGTAAGCGAAACGAATCCATGAAGTGGTTTTACTTCATAACTGGGAAAAGTTATTGCGTAACTCGCGGATGATCAGAAATTTCAAAACTCTGCTGTCTCTCTTTTCAACTGTCTTATTTCCTATTATTTATAGTACTGTTTTGAAATAGCCGGTAGTGCAACCTGCTTGGAATACTCATTTAACACAATAAGTACTTTGTTCATGTTTTTCGTAATTAATTGCTTACGTTAATTTACAACTATTATCAACTTATTAGGACGCTGTAATTCATGACCTCAACTTCATCGTTTTTTGGGTTCCGTACCCAAAGGTTAAGCGGGTTCCTATTATTTACACTCCGCTGTCTGTCTGTCTTTCTGTCCGTCTGTCACCAGGCTGTATCTCGTGAACCGTGATAGTAAGACAATAAAAATTTTCACAGATGATGTATTTCTGTTGCCTTTATAACAAAAAATAGAAAACAACAAGATAGATAATCAAATTCTGTATAACTGTTGTTAGAATTTGATTATCTATCTTGTCATGGCTTCCAAGTATGTCTCGGTCGTATTTGAAGATATTCTTGGAGCAACTTTTTTTAAAAAACAAGACGTAGAATTAGCACATTATTAGTATAAGTGTGACGAAATAACAAGCGTTTGTTTTTTTCATATGTTTTAGTATGCTATGGTATGTCTTCTCTTCGACAGTCGTACATATAAATGAACAGTTAAGAAAAATAAAATTACGTCATATTTAAATTTCACCAACAATATTAAGTTGTAGTCAGAAGAGCGAAGGGCGAGGAAATAATAGCAAAAAAAAACCTTCCCCTTTGAATGGACAGTATGGTCTAGTCATGGTCAATATTCCAATAGAAAATTATTACAATGTAATTAAACTTCAGTTTGGAAATAGACAATAATCAAAGATTTCCTTCGTGGTTATTTAGATCGACTGAAGAAATTCATTGATACATTCTAAAACGTTATCCTTGACAGTTTACTCTTAAATGTTGGTCTTTGTTTTTAATACTTTAAAAATAATAAATTCTTAAATACTTCACATTGTTATAACACCCTGTTTAACAAAATTTTATTAAATATTTAATATAACTGCTATACTATTATATAATGACTATACAATTTTAACATAACAGTGACAGAGAGATACAGAAATTTAACATTCTCGAATGTCAGGTTGATTTCCATGTAGATTGTAGTTTTAGTGTGTACATAATATGTACGCACGTAAGAACTTATATAACTAAGAAAATTATACCGTGTACCACTTGCCAGTACTCTCTATTTGTGAAAAACGCATTAAATGCAATTGATAACGGTTTAATTACATAACTTGGAATTATAGAAAAATGTCAAATGTTGTTATAAAACTATAACTTCAAAAAATATCGTGTACAATGAATTCTTTCAAATAATATTCTATCAAAAATTACATATTATCTAATAAACCTAATCCACGCAGCATGGTGCCAAGAACGCTAGCTGCATTTCCTCGCTGAATAGTTATGCTTAACCTTTGAGCGAGAAAAGAACCAGCTCTGTCACCAGCCGTGGCATTAAGCCTAGGACAACTTTTAAAAAAACATTGATATGCGTGTGACCCCACGGACAATGAAATGAAATTTTAAGCGCAAATATTGTTTAGCAAAATATATAAATTCGTCCACGTTTGCCTTGCGTTTCAGGTGCATCATGAGCTCAGAGGTGAATGAATGGTACAGGGGCAGGAATGTTCTCATCACCGGCGCCTCGGGCCTGATGGGGAAAGTCCTCATCGAGAAGATTTTGTACAGCGTGCCCGATATAGGGTGCGTGTACGCATTGGTACGCTCAAAGCGTGGCAAAACACCGGAATCACGCATTGAAGACATGTGGAAACTGCCGGTGAGTACGTTTTGTGTGAGGCAATAGATGAACTGCACTCGTTTCCGCGAATGTATTCTTTTGTTTTTATGGTCATATATGTCGCAATACAATTAAACATGCCATTATGGAACGCAACGGCGATTCATTTCATTATCATAATCATCATCATTTTAGCCCGTTCTGTTCCATGATGAAAATGACAAATGTTAATGAAAAATATTTTTATTACAGCAAAATAATAACACACAATTGTTATGACAAATAAAAATAACACAAATATAGAGTATTTTGCTGACGATGGATTGAACCATTCAGTATAAATATGATTTCCATTAATTTTAGATGATCCTGGGCCTTCATAGACAGCTACGAAGTAGCCTCCCTTCATATTCGGCTAATCGCTTTAACTCTTTAGACGATTAGTGCGTGTTATTAAATGTATGCAACCGAGCTATTATTCAATTTTCCTTTCTTAAAGAGAGAGTTTTCTTATTACAGCTATTTTCAAGAATAAGAGAAGAGAAACCGCACGTGATGAAGAAAGTGGTCCCCGTCGTTGGTGATATCATGTATGATAATCTGGGAATTGAACCGAAACTGCTGGAACAGATATACAACGAGGTAAGCAAATAGAAAATATAAATACACATGTAGAAAATATATAGAAATGGTTATATAGTAGATAAACTATACTTGTAACTAAAACACGAATAGAGTAAGTAAATACTCGTATGTACATTAAAACCAACATATTTTATCATAAAAATAGTTAAAATGTATGTTACGTATAGATAATAGATTAAAATTAAAAAAAGCTAAGATATTAAGTAAGAACAAGCCACTAGCTTTAATTATTATTGGCCATGCATATATTTTAAAGAACAATTCAATTAAATTTCATATAGGATGTGATCAAGCATGTTTTGAGCCCCGAAATTGAACTATACAATATTAAGAATGTATTCTACTAAAGGTATTTCAATGATTACGCCAAATTTATATAACAATGTTAATATCGCTATATTCGTAATGAAGGCGTGAAACTTATTAAGTAATGAGTAGAAAAGAGAAAGCCACTAGCCGTACGGCAGTTTGTTCTAATTGAACGTATTTAAAATAACATTGTCAAATTAAATCGTATAAAATAGTAATACTATCATATTTTCTATCAGTATGTTCGGCTATGGCATGTTAGCACGAACTTAAGTTATCTTAGTACGGTAACTAAGATAACTTAAGTTCATGGGTTCGAGTTTGTGTGGAGTGACATGCGCTGATGAGTTTTCCGTTTCTACTGCCCAAAATCAAGGTTGTTTATTCGTTATATATATACTCAATGTTAATTTCCTTTACAAGCATAATGTTTTATGGGGATTTGACGTTTTCGCAGTCTTGCAAGGCAGCAAAGGTCTACGGCTTTTCTAAGTTAGATTTGCGAGATAGAAGGACCGTTTACTTAGCACATATTTTTGATACATTAAATAAAACCGATTCAGGCGGGGAAATACGTTTAGAAAAAAACAATATTGTGAAGTTCCCGATACCGAAATCACTATTTAGATTAAGAACAACATTCAATTAATTAAATTTATTAGTCATATATTAAATTAATTACATATCAAATAATTCCTGGTTACTTAAGTATTACTTAAATTGTCTTCAATTCTAAACAAAAAACATTAATGGAAAAAAAGTTTAATTGAAAAAGAACTTAGGGATAAAAAAAATAGAACCTGCTAATATATGTACGCATGGGTAAAAGTATATTTTTCTTTTACTTTTTATATAATTTAATTCCAGGTGTCGGTAGTTTTTCACTTCGCGGCTAGCCTCCGTCTCGAAGCACCTCTGAAAGAGGGACTAGAAATGAACACAAAGGGCACAATGAGAGTGCTGGATGTAGCAAAAAAGATAAAGAATTTGGTATCATTCGTCCACCTTTCTACGGCATTTTGCTACCCAGACTACGAGAGGATGGCTGAAAAGGTAAATATAATCAATCATATTTTAAAGCATTTAATAAAAGTTTTCTAATCCATTTGTTCTATCATAGTTTTATTAATTTGTCGACATAAAATATTCATAAATCTTTAGGTACACGACCCGCCGGCTAATCCACACGAGGTCTTGCGTGCAGCAAGCTGGCTGACGGATGAACAAGTCAACCTCCTCACTCCTTCCATTCTGCAGAAGCATGCAAATTCATACACATATTCCAAAAGACTTGCGGAGGCACTCGTCGAGGAACAATATCCAAATATGCCCGTTTGTGTCGTACGCCCTAGTATTGGTAAGTATTTTGTAATTATTAAGAACATCAGTTGATCTTTCCCTAAAATAAATAACATACTTAATCTTTTATGTGAAGCGATTTGGCGAGTTTTTAAGTCAATATTTTCATAAAGCTTTCTATTTTGTAAGTATAGATGAGTATTGTGAAGTGTTGAGTAGGACATCACATAAAACCGGCGTGAATTATAAGTGTTATACTTCTGCGTTTCGTTTCACTTTAACGCATTTGCAACCCCACGGGTCTTGCATATGTCCATGGGCGGCGGTTATCACTCAATATCAGTTGAACCGCCAGCCCGCTTGCCACATTCTCACATAAACAAATTCTTCTAAAATCACATATATGATAAATGTCATATTAATAAAGATCTCTCTAATTTATCTCCGTATGAAAAAGGAGCTCATAAAAATATCAGCAAAAACTGCTGCGTGACAGATGGATTCGGAATTTGAAAGTGAATCTTAATTTGGTGTGTTCTTGCAGTGACTCCTTCGCACAAGGAACCGATTCAAGGCTGGGTGGACAATTTGAACGGACCCATTGGGCTTATGGTGGGCGCTGGTAAGGGGGTTATCCGCTCAATGCACTGCATCGGCCACTACCACGCCGAGGTGATACCGGTGGACATCGCTATCAATGCCATCATAGTTATACCTTACTACATCAACACTCAACCCGAAAGGTAGTTTTAAAAGGCTTACTACATCAACACTCAACCCGGAAGGTAGTTTTAAATTATGTTTAGAAATAATTGTATCGATGTGATCGCTTGTGTCGTTTCTTCGAATCCTCAAATCTGCTTTATGACATTGAACCAAAATTACTATTACGAGTACGACGACGAAGTTGATGGAAAATATATGTGCATGACGGTTTTTGAAGGTGCTATTGTAGTTTACCTCTTATTTTAATGACAAACATTTTTTTTTAAAGTATAAAATTAAAAGTAAAAAATTGACAAAAGCGAGAGGAGTCAATTACACATGCCGCTTCGTGCTTCCACACGGAACGGACGTTACTCTGAGCCGGAGGGCCACAATTGCAACCGTTGTTGCTAATTCTATTTCTTTTATCTCTTGGTGTGCACTGTTCACCTCATCGTTGTCGTGTTTCGCGGTCTACGGTTAGGGAAGTCTACAGCAAGAAGAAAGAAGAAACATTATAGAAGAAAGAAAAAAACATTATAGAAGAAAGAAGAAACTTTGCCCGACTTCCGAGCGGATAGTGTTAGTGTAGTGTTGTGCTCGTAGGCAGGTTCCTGTCCGTAAGTAGAATCTACACACATTTCTCGTCTCAGAGGCGGCATTGTAATTTTTATCTGTGTGCTTGTTGCATTAGGCGACAGCTAGGTACTCACCCTAGCGCACCTAAAGCGCAGGCGATTAAACGTTAATTTTTAGGCACACACCTCCCTGCCGCAAGGTGGGGAGGCCTATTTAGAAACCACACGCCGGCGGGGCGCAAGCCCCAAAGGCACAAGCGTCGTCATGGGTTCCCTCTTAGAGGAGTTCCTTCGGCAGGAATGCCCCGAAGTATGGGCAAAATATTTAAGCTTCGCGAGGGAACGGCGCCTTGTCGTCGAATTCTCTAGCGACAGTCCGGCTTCACCGGCTGCCGCCTCGCCGCCATCTCCGGTGCCCTCTGCGCCAGCTATTGTGTCGCCCTCAGCGACAATCGAAACGCCCGTCGCGTCGACCTCCGCCGCCGCGATCGATCTTAACGCGCCTTCCGCGCAACCAATTTCGGCCTCCTTCCGCGCTGTCGTTCCCGATTCACAATCGGACGGCGGCTCAGACATGGAGGTCGAAACGACCCCCGCTAACAACGCGAACGCCGACGGCTTCACCGTCGTCAAATCGCGAAAAAAGGGCAAGAAACGCCCCGCTACAGACAGCGACCCCGAAAGCGAGGCCGCCCCGTCAAACCGTCCCACCGCGACGCTCGCCAAAAAGGCAGCCGCGTCTGCCCAGTCGGAACCGACATTCGCCTCCGAGCGAAAAATCAAGTCACCGCCGCCAATAATTATACAAGATAAGGCAAAGTGGCACCAGGTTTGTTCGTGGTTTGAACGCCACAACATCCGAGACCCCCGGTCAAAAAATACAAATATGGGTATCCGCGTATACCTCGATTCGTCAGACGATTTCCGCCGCGTAACAAAAGTACTTGCGCGAAGCTAAGGTAGGTTTCCACACCTACTCACTACCCGAAGAGCGTAAACTTCGGGTCGTAATTAAGGGCGTCCCAAAAGAGTCGGATGTCGATATGGCTAAGGTCGACATCCGCACTCAGGGATACCCTGTTCACGCCATGCGCCGTCTCCGGCACCCTCGCACCCGTGTCCCTATGGACATGGTCATGGTGGAACTTGACCCTACCCCGGAAGGTAAGGCCATTTTCAACCTTAAGAGGGTCTGTGGGCTCAGTGACTTAGTCATCGAGCCCCCACGCAAATCAGGTGTTGTGGCACAGTGCCACAACTGTCAACATTTTGGCCACACGGCCAATAACTGCTTAGCTCACCCAAGGTGCGTCAAATGCACCGGTGACCACGGCACAACCGAGTGCACGAGGCCGAAAGATTGCGCAGATCCACCGGACTGCATAAATTGCCACACTACCGGCCATCCGGCTAGTTATAGAGGCTGCGCTAAGGCTCCGAAAACTCCCGCGAGAAAATCTCCCGCGAAGTCTACGTTGCCTAAACCCGCGCCCGTTAAATACATTCCCGCGCCCGTAACCGTCATTAACGCCTGGGAGAAACCCCAGGTGGCCGCGCAGGTAATCGCGCCGGTAATCCCGGTCGCCTCACGACCGATCGCGCAACAGCTGCCCGCCTCTCAAACGGCGCCGCGGCCGCAGATGCAGCCAATTCCGTCAGTTTTCGCGGAAAACAAGGACGACCCCTTCGCGCAAATAGCTAACATCTGCAGCTTATTAGATAGAATTAATAGGCAGGAACTCGCCCTATTGTCCGCTAAAATAGCGGCCGCCATATCTGGCCACGAGCGTCTTAGGGCAATTAGCCAACACAAAACGCTTGTGGAAGCCCTTTGGGCTTTTACGAGCCAACCGTAAAGAACAATAGTCCGCGCAATAAAACCGCGCTCCGCCGCGTCGTAAATTAGACCCATAAAAAACACCTTAATGGGAAGTACAACCGCAGGTAGAACAAAACCTCGGGCTCTGGTTGTTTCGTATTTCAACGCAAACGGCATAAAGGGTCAAAGGGATGAAATCGCGGAATTCCTTCGCGATTATAACGTAGATATTTTCCTAGTGCAAGAGACATTCTTGAAACCTAGCGTACGCGATCCCAGAATCGCAAATTACAATATTGTCCGCCACGACCGGTTAGCAAACCGTCTGGGAGGTACACTAATTTATTATAAACGGTCCTTGCACTGTTGCCCGCTCGACATTCCAGAGCTAAGTCAAATAGAGCCATCCGCGTGTAGGTTAGCGCTCACCGGCCACAGGCCGCTTGTACTAGTCTCAGCCTACCTCTCGGGGAATAGAACCCTCCTTCAAAGCGACCTAGATACGCTTCTTAACTTAGGCCCTTCCGTGATAATTGCAGGAGATCTAAACTGCAAACACGGCTCATGGGACATCAACAGCATCCCAAACAACAACGGAAAGCATCTCTTTAGCTTATCCGATAACCTAAATTTCAGTATAGTCGCTCCCGCGACTCCCACAAGGTATCCTACGGTGGACAATTACCAGCACGCGTCACCGAGTGTCCTAAACATAATGTTATTCATGGAGGTCTCGCTCGATATCGAGTCGATAGAGACAATCCATGAACTAGACTCAGACCACAGGCCCGTCCTGTGTAAACTGGGCCAGAACGCCGGCGCGGTCCCTCCGACCAAATCCGTAGTGGACTGGCATCGTCTTGAGGTCAAACTCAAGGCCTTGGACCCCCAGGACTTAGTAGACTTACCCGAGACGATAGCTACGTTCGATGACGCAAATCGAGCGATAGCGAGTCTCCGCGAAACTATTACTTCCGCAGTCGCAGACTTGGAACGGACGGTGAAACTGTCGGGCGATCGACCGTTTAACTTTCCGCCCGATCTGCGACTGCTAATTAGACAAAAAAATGCAGCCAAACGCGCCTTCGACCGATACCGATCGGAATCGAACCGAACCCTACTTCGACGCCTTCAGCTAGAAGTCAAAGATCGTGTATCGGAACACCGACACACAACGTGGGACACTCTCCTAGAGGACATCGAGCCATCGCACACCGCCTACTGGCGGTTGGCCCGCAGTCTGAAAGCAGACCCCCGCGAATCTCTACCGCCGTTAGTTAGACCTAATAGCGCTTCAGTAGCCCTAGATGACTCCGAAAAAGCCGAATGCCTTGCGGACAACCTAGAGCAGCAATGTACGCCATCGCGCAACACACCGATTCGGCCCACCTAACGGAGGTGGACCGCGTAATCGAGACTAGGGCTGCGCTTCCACCGGAAGGCGAACCTTTAAATTCAGTGACCCCCGAAGAGGTCCAAGATATTATTAAAAATTTAAAACCAAAATCCGCCCCGGGCCCAGATAATATAAGTAATAAGATTCTCAAAGCTCTCCCTGGGACGCTTATCTGTTTACTGGCGACGATTTTCAATACCCTTCTCTCCAGTTGCTCCTTTCCGGACGACTGGAAGCAAGCCACGGTTATCGGCATTCGCAAGCCGAATAAACCAGCCAATAAGCCCTCCAGCTATTGTCCCATCAGCCTCCTCAGTTGTCTGGGGAAGCTCTACGAGCGGCTATTGTTAAACAGGCTCAAAGAGCACGTGTTTTCCAACGGCCTTCTGCCAACGGAACAATTCGGCGTTCGAGCTAGACACTTTTGTCCCGATCAGCTATACCGCCTAACGGAGCACATCCTAAAAGGCCTTAACCACCCCAAACACATTAGTACAGGGGCTCTATTCTTCGATGTCGCAAAAGCATTCGACAAAGTCTGGCACAACGGCTTGCTTTACAAGCTGTACACAATCAAAGTGCCAGATAGGCTCGTACACACCATCCGGGCCTTTTTGTTGAACCGCTCTTTTCGATATCGAGTCGAGGGCACCCTCTCCACAAGCCGCCGCCTCACGGCCGGCGTACCACAAGGCTCCTGCCTCTCTCCCTTGCTATTGACGCTCTACACGAGCGACATACCTAGAGACCCCCACGTCAATCTCGCGCTTTTCGCGGATGACACGGCGCTCTTTTACTCAGATCGCAACCTCAGTCAATTAACAACTCGACTCCAAAGCGCCGCCGACCGCCTCGGCGATTGGTTCCGCAAATGGAGAATCGATATTAATCCCGAAAAGAGTGTGGCGATTCACTTCACACGAAGTACCTACCCGTCACATCTTTATAATGGCCCTCGCCAATGCAGAAAGTTGGGGCAAATATCCCTTTATGGCCAACCGCTCCTCTGGGAGAAAAAGGTCAAATACTTAGGAGTCACTTTCGACTCGCGTATGTCATTTACTACGCACATTAATAACGTTCGTAATAAAGCCGCGTTCGTCTCGGGCCGGCTACACAATTTAACTAATGCTAAAAGTAAAATGCCCTTAAGGCACAAATTATTATTATATAAGACCTGCGTACGACCTATTATGTCCTACGCATGCATGATCTTCGCCCACACGCACCCTACTCGCTTGTACAAGTTGCAAATAGTACAAAATAAGTTTATCCGCCGCGCAACCGGTGCGCAGTGGTATCAGCGCAACGTCGACCTGCACAGCGATTGCAGACTCCCGACGATTCGCGCACATTTTAAAGATTTGACAAAGCGGTTCTTCGATAGAGTCCAGCATCATCCCAACCCTCTGGTGGTAAGCTCAGCAAACTACCAACCGGACACAAACGCGAACGTAAACAAGCGTCGCCCGCGAAACGTCTTCATCGACCCGGTCGACGAAGAGGACTTAGATACGATGGACCCACCGCCGGGGGTCCCGCCGGATAACACTACACCCACAGTTAGTGTAACAACAATCACACCAGTTCGCCCTCGCCTCCGAGCACGGCGAGACCCACACAACGCGTACACAAGGTACACCCGCGTTCCGGGGCGGTTCTCACCGCTTAGCTAAATGCACAGTCGACGGCCGTCGGGGTCTCGGTCCGAACCGGCGACCTCGACGGCCCTTAGATGACACACCATAGTAGTTAAACGCACGCATGAGCACATGCGCGACCCTACCCATAGCGGAGGGTCCAAACCCGTGGGTTCTGGCTAGCCCACCGGTTCTGCGTCCGATGAAGCTTTAATAGTCTCGGGACTGAAAGCAAAAACATCAGTTAATACAAGATACAAAGTCAATTACAAGTGCAGTAAGGGAGTTTTTTTTTATCACACATGGTTCTAAATTAAAAAAAATATCCTATAATGTTATAATGTTATATTACACATTAATTAAGTTTGCCTTGATGATCTCTATATCGACGCAAGAAAAGGTATTTGCTGTAAATAGCTGAATACTAATTTTTCACTAAAGACAAAAAACTTTTTTAAAATTGAAAAAAAAAATTCATAACTTTTTTACCATCAGTGAAAGAAACATGATTTTTTGAACGTAGTTTCGTTTAAATTGCGGCTAATAAATAAATTTAATATATAAAATAAATTTCTCCCAAAGTTACGAGAAGTGTGTTTTTCGCTACTTCAACATTCTATGACTTCTACGGGGAATAGGTAGCTATATATTTTCCGACATCTAAAATGCTGTAACTAGATTTTATGAATTGTGTATCATTAAAAAGATTTAAGTCTAGCTAAGAAAACAAACTTACATTATATTACCATCCGGTGACTGATCACGGTACTGTGCGAAAATTTCACATGGTTCAACGAGTTTTTTTTTAAATGATGTTTACTCAACCGCCAGATGTTTTTTCTTATTCTCAATCGTATCTTTAAACATCCGCAGAAGTCCTGAGATACCCGTTTTCAATTTAACATCGGGCGACGACAGGAACACGACTTGGAAGGAAGTGCTTGACGTCGGGAAGGCGACCGTCCGTAAAATTCCCTTCGAAGGTCCCTTGTGGTACCCCGACGGCAACATTCGCCATAATAAGTTCATACATAATCTCTGTGTTTTCTTCTTCCATATCCTTCCCGCCTATTTCATTGACTTCTTAATGCTCATATTTGGACAAAAGAGATTGTAAGTATACTAACTAAACATTAATTACTTGCTGTTATAGAAGTTTTCCTATTTTAACATTTGAAATTGTAAAAACTTACCATCGAATAGGCAGCGTTGAGCCTGCCTCAATATGTCTCAAAACCTGCTACAACCGGCAAGAATTAATATATTCTTCTCATCCGTAAACACTTGGAAATTTATTTTTTAATGATTTATATTTTATACATCCTCAATTATGTAATAAATATTGAATATTTATCTTTACAGTATGGTACGGATACAAAATCGTATATCAGTTGGGCTCGAAGTCTTACAATATTTCACGACGCGTGAATGGTGGTTTGACACGGACAATTTTAAAGCCCTAACGACGCGTCTCAATCCAGTTGACTTCAAAACATTCCCCATGGATCTTAAAGTAATCGATATCGTACCCTACATAGAGAGCTGCATGATAGGAGGAAAATTGTATTGCCTGAAAGAAAAACTCGAAAATCTCCCTAAAGCGAGGCTGCAGAATAATATGTAAGTAACATTAACGCTCGATTTCTGAAACACTGATCATCGTCATTCTGATCATTAAGATGATCATTCTGGTCAATTCAGAGAGTTTCACCATCCTTTTAGCAACTAAAATGTAATATGCAGTCATTTGACAGCTGATAAGTTGACATCTACGATGATCAGTGCTTCAGAAACCGGGCGTTAGTCTCTTAAAAACTATCAGTCAGTCATTTACACTCAATAGTGTTCAATCTATTTCATGATCTATTAGACAACAATCAGATTTTCCAAATGCTATCAAATTATACATATATTACCGTTGTTTTGAGTGAGTATTAGACTTGAGTCTAATGCTCACTCAATTGATACTATTCGGCGCAAAAATAATTGGAATGATTGTTTATCACATTATAGATTTTTTGTCACATTCATTTCAGACTCTACGTGGTGGATTTGATAGTCTCTGCGTTCGTCTTCTATCTGCTGCCTCTGTACGTCTTAGTATCTTACTTTGAGTCGTTCAGAATGTTGCTGTCGTACGGAGGACCATTTGTGCGATACCTTCCACTGGTTGGCAAAGTGGTATTTCCAGAAGTGTAAGAAGAATTACCATTATTAGGTACAATTAAGGGACGAAGAGAAAACGCTTCGAAATTTGCCATTTGTTTATTTTGATCACAATATTTTATATTTTTATAAATGTAAATAACTTTAAAACTCAAATTATACAAATAACATTTGTAAATAAATAAATTTACTTAAATACAAACTACTTTGTGATAGTTTTTAATACAACATTGAACCATTTAACTTACTACTAATGCTTATGAATCGTTGATCAATTCCGGGAAACTATTAGAACTGGAGCTAAAATTTGTTTGACGTTTGTTGCATACGACTTTGTGTTTATCAGCAGTCAGCGGATGATATAGTTCTACATAATACATTGAATGCAATTTTCATGTTATTAAAGATAACTGTTATACGTTCTTAAATTTGACGAACTTGGATGATTTATAACTATGTAAGCGATGCGTTGTCGTTTCCAATTTTATGATCCATTTCTTTCGTCCAGACTCCCGAGCAGTGGGTTTTCATGTTCGCAAATAAAGGGGCATTTATTTTCGCAACTCAAACCCTTTAGTAAACCATTGTAAGACATGAAACCGCATTGTTCAGTGCCTTCTTCGGGTTGATTTTCGTCCCATTTCTCATATTCACTCTCAATTAATTTTGTACCTGAAATATAAAAATATGTACTCTATATATAATTTCTTTAATATTCGTTATATTTCATATGAGATGTATTATTGATATTACAATGTATATCAATTATTAGTATAAGACTATGGTTCTTATATCTAATACATACATTGTATTACATAGTAAATAAACCACCGAAAAGTATTTATATTAAATTTCTATAAATTATTTTATAACGTGTATTAGAAACAACTAATACACAATTATTTAAAAAGTAAGGATTAATGTTTAAATTATAAAATTGGATATCCTGTAATTACTATAAAAATTAAACAAGTTATTATTAATTTAATTAGTACTTAAACTGACATGACTGTCAGTTTACGTATAGATTACAATAGATTTTGCTCCGTACACAGTAACCTGTGTTCGAAGCGAAATCTATTATATATAAATGAAAATGTAAAGATGTTCGTAGGTAATCGCATCTCTCCAAAAAGCCTAGTTTTTCTAAGTGTTCATTACAGTCCGTAATGAACACTTAAAAACCAGGCTTTGTGCAACCATGTGGTATCAAATTAAAGAAAAATGCACAATCTTTTTTCTATGGTTTTTGTTTGAAGTCGAACTACGTACATGCATGATTGTTTTTGTTTTGTCAGATTGCTTCTGATATTTTCGGAAAAAATTTTCAGTGCCGTTAGAATTGAGTACAAAATCATAATTTTCAAACACACTCTGTTATAACGGCCTATAGGTATATAAACGAAATCTTGATTTGAATATTTTTATTTTGTTTATGCTTCCGGGGTTGAAATAAAATGAAAAAAGTACCTAAGATTTCGAGAAAAACATGGAGGATTTCACCTTTTTATTTTATTGTACAAGATTATAAAGATTTCACCTCAAATTAAATACTATTAATTTATTTCCTATCCTGGCAGTCGGTGATATTCCAGACGCATTATACAGTTTCAGCATTTCAGTGGTTCTGATGATAAAACATAAAATACCCGTGGCTAAAGTATTTATGATCACTCAGAAATACCTTTTTTCCTTATATTTATTTATTTAATGAACGCCAACATAATGTTAACTATTTATGACTAAAAAAATTAAATATAAATGAACTGTTCGTTAGTGTCATTACAATTAAAGGCGCTATCAGTATGCAATATTCTTATGCATGAAGATGGCAAGCGAGCTGGCGGTTCACCTGATGTTATGTGATAACCGCGGCCCATGGAAAAATGCAACACTGTCCGGTAGAGTTGCATATGCAACAATACCAAATAATATAGAGGGTCCTAGTTACTTCACTTATCAAACGAAACGTAGAAGAACTCTTCCACTTAACTCCGGTCGTCTGTGAGGTCGTGGTGCTTCCCCGGACGGATCTGCACATTCTTACAACAGCGAAGGCTGTTGTGGCCCTTCCACACTTAACTTCCAATTTTTTTTTACACATTTCAAATAGCTCCCAAATAAATTTACGGACAAATGTATTCAAATTTGGACAGGACTTCAGTCGGGACAAATAACTCAAGATTTATACAGTATAGAGGCAGTGGCCATTTCAATTAAACTATGATTAAACTATGCTGGTTAACGGACTTTGCAGTAGCAACACAATATCTTAAAATTCTGTTTATAAATTGTTGTTATTGACTTGCATTAACACATATCTCTATATATCGCTAATAATATTAATATATTTATTTCATTCATTCGAACGTTGTGTCGGACGTCCCCCTGCCAGGTGGACCGATGACCTGAGAAAGGTCGCTGGTAGTGGCTGGATGAGGAAAGCGGAAGATCGTACTCTGTGGCGTACTCTTGGGGAGGCCTATGTCCAGCAGTTGACTGCAAAAGGCTGATTGGATTGGATTGGATTCGTACGTTATGTTCTAAATGTTCTCAAAGTGCTAGGTTGATCCAAGTCGTTACTCGTTTGTGAGACACGCGAAATATACAAGAATAGTCCGTATAAACTTAAACAAGATGTTCAAAATGAACAACAGGAAAATAATGAAAGAATTGCTATCGTTACCTAAAATGGTCTTCCATCCTTCATTATCCTTGTTACTAAATCCCAATGCAACGGAGTTACACAAATTCGAGGTAACCCTGTTGGTGTCAACTGAGTCTCCTGTTATTTTGGCCAAATGTTTCGCTTCCACGTCGCTATTCAAAACCGCTAAGTAAGACTGTTCTATATCACAAACCAGGGCAGCTTCCGTCCAGCTTTGAGCTGTCGCATGAAATTTATAACACCGTCCAAGCTCATCGTCGTATCTATAATCTGAAATTAAAGAAAATACACTTTTGTTCGAAAATTTCTTAAATTTATGCGTGGAACTAGATGAAAATACATACTTGTGATATAGTATGAGGGCCACCATCGTTAAATCCCTGATAAAAATAAATAGCGAGACAGCAAGTTTATTCAAGGAGTTTAATAAGTAAAAGATGTGTGTCTCCGAAATGAATGGGTGCTGATGATTTTTTAAGAAACTACAACAAAGTCCAAGAGCGGGTAAACTACCCTTACTACTGCCTTTTGAGACGTACTCGTAGATGGACTTTGTTAGGTTATTAGACTTTTTTTTAATGTTGCCAAACAAGCTGACACCTGATGGTAAGTGAATACCGCCGCCCATAGACATCTGCTACACCCGAGGGTGTAGCAGATGTGTTGACAACCTTTTGAAAATTGGGCTCCGGCCACCTCACTCACCGGACGAAACGCGAAAGTATTTGTCATACTTCCACTTTACGCTGGTCTTCTGTGAGATCGTGGTACTTACCCGGACGGGCTTGCCCAAACGTGCAACAGCCGAGACTGCTGCGTGGCCCTATCACCGTAAAACGAAAGTAGGTACATTGACAAGGATTTTTCGATCTTACACATGTTTAATGGAAATTAGATTGAACGTAATTATCTTACCTAAGTCCGGCACATTGCACAATGTATTCCACTTTAAGGAGGCGAGGGTTTTTTTGCATATAAATGGATATCTTTTGTTGCATTGATCGTCGTTCAGTGTTCCGTCAAGGTTCAGGACCAAACAGTCTTCGTTGCCATTACTATTGTTGGGTTCACCTGGTGCCCAATTACCATATACATCCTTAATTGAGTCACCTGTAATATTTACATATTATGCGTTTGCAATATTTGTTTAACGCCCGTCTTATTTCTACCAAATCACAGCTATCACAGGCTTATTTCTACCAAAGCTTTATCATAACTGTAGAAACATCCTATTAATTTACCATTGCTGCGCAAAGGACTCCTCTGTACAGAGGGTGTTAGGGCATAGTCCACCACGCGACCCCACTGCAGTATGGTGGACTTCACATCTTCGAAATATTCTTTATTTTTTATTATTTTAAAAATATGCAGGATTGCTCAAAATGTTTTTCCTTCACTGCGGAGCACGTGATAAGGAAGCACTTAAAATTAACAAGTTCATAGGTGTCGGCACCAAGGATTGAGCTCAGGTTGAATTAAAATCGAACGCCTGAACAATGAGTTATTACGGCTCTTAATGTGAAGAAAACCAGATGTTTATTCATAAAACTATCATGAAATAAATAACGAGTAAGAAAAAAAATCACCATTCACCGTAGTGTATACTTCCTTAGCCATTAAGTCTGATACGCCAATATAAACAACATTGAAGGGTTGTGTTTGATTCCAGAAAGTAATAATTGATTTAACTTCATGGTGGTCCTCGGGAAAGAAAAGACTGGCTCCTTCCAATTCACACCTAGTTTCGCTTCCTGCCAGGTTTTATTGACCGTGTGAACTTTATAAAAACTTCGCATGTCCTCTAAATATTTGTAATCATAGCGAAAGAAGTTGGTTTGTAACTCGCCTAAAAGAATATCCACATTTTATTTTAATAAATACAAATAGAAATATTTTTGAACGAACCACATAAAAATTGAAATACAAATACTTACAGATACATTGAGAATATAGAAAAGCCGAGCTTATAATCAACATTAACTCAAAGTTCTTCATAGTTCTAAATAACACAACCTGCCTTCAATTAAGCGTCAGCATACTGAAGAAGATTCTATTCTTATTCACTTGAACGTAAGTTAATACTCGTTCCACAGAAAAACTCGATAAACAGGAAATATGACTTAACCATCTGATATTTACAAAATGCAAACGCTCATAAAGGCTCTAATGTGGTATAAATTGTTGTAATCAAAATGCTAATTTTATATTCGGTTTAAGTCCCAGCTTAACAATAAAATGTTTTGTTATATTTACACCAATAATCATTAAATATTGATAATTAAAAGTATTGCGTTTAAAAATGCAACATGTTTTGTTGCAATAAAATGTTGATAACACAAAGAAATAAATAATTAAAATTGGCCATGTTAATTGAGTGATAATTAAATTAATTTTTCATCAGTAAAAAAATGTATTATAATAAACTTATTGTAATATACGAAACAAGTACAATTGTTAAAATACTTAACTTTATAGTACGATTATCTATACTACTCTTTGCATGAATTTATTCTTTGTGTTAACCAGTTTTTGAAACGTAAGATGAGTTCTATTCTAATAACAATGTAGATAAAAGAGGTTAAGATTTTCTTCGGTGTGACAATCAGCCGTTTGTTTAGCTTAGTGGCGTGAGCGTCAGGCCGAAGACGTGGGTTCGATTCCCACAGCGGCGACAATCTTTCGTACTTTTTCTACGAGTTTTAAGTAAACTATAGTTTTAGACTTATACATCGTTAATCAATACTGTAAAGTTGGAGGGATTTTCCGATATGTCAGCGATTAAAGCGAGTGAACCCGAATAAAAGTCAAAGGTGCTACTTGTTTGACCTATCTATACATATATACTGATAAATAAAATTAGCAATTAAAACAACCGCTTTTTACTAAATGCATAGATTAATACAGGGTACATATACGTAAATAACATTTTTTGCATTTTTTGTCTGTCTGTCTGTCTGTTTGTTTGTTCAGGAAAATCTCTGAAAAGGCTGGACAGATTTTGAAGGGATTTCACTAGCAGATAGCTATGTAATAAGGAATAACTTAAGCTTTTATTTTAGAAATTTTATACATTTTAAATTCCAGGCGGAAGTCGCAGGCACAGGTATTTTGATATATGAAAGATGATGAAAAAGTCAACTTTCATAATTCCTGAATTTTTATGTTTGTTTCTACAAACGCACATCTCTGACATATGTCAACTAAAACATCTCTTTCAAAATTAGATACTGATTTTAGCAATTACAAAGAAAAATATATTTCCGCTTTGAGTTTTGTCCGATATACCCGAATAGGAATTGACACCCTACCCGTGTTTTATTAACTATATCTACTAGGGCAGTCGCAACCTACATCCGGTTGTTTTTTAAAGTGGGCCACGTTTTTCTTTACTGTAGGATAACATTATCCTGTGTTGTAAGGATGTTTTACATACGCAAGTATCACGTGGACTACAAATGAAAGGAAACACTCAGATCCGAAACAATTATTAGTGGGTCATACAAATAGTTGCCACGTGTGGGAATCGAAAGCACGTCCCACGCCTCCGCAGCTAACACCTTGACAACTGCGCCACGGAGTCATCATAGCCATGTGTCCATTGGTGGCAACCACTCACCGTCGGGTAAAACCGGTATTGTAAAAGGAAAACGTACTTTCGTAGGGAATATTACACTGGTTGTTCCATTTCAGAGCCAGTAGAATTTTTTTACATATAAAAATGGGTGCCTCTTATTGCATTTTTCGTCGCCGTACAGACCATCGCTTCGCGATATCACGCAATCTTCCTCGTCATTGAAATCATTGAGTTCGCCTGGAATCCATTGGTTTTAAACGTTTCTTACCGCCACGCCTGTAACGTTTCAGTTGTGGAAAAACTTTACGGCGTACTCCACTGACTTACCAGTGACCCCTAGACCTAATGAAAATAGGAATCAAGTTTACATAATAATTTCTTGTATTTACGCGATTACACATTATAAATGAAACTAATTTTACGTTCATGGTCACGGGACAGACTGTCTGTCCCGTGACCATGAACGCTGTAAAGGGTTCGAAACGTCGGGAATTAAAATTAAAAATAAACGCGATAAATCCGTAAAATTAGTTTCATTTATAGGAATCAAGTTTTGTAAATTACACTTGTTTTTTGACCTTATCCTCATCACGAAAATATTCTTTTACTTTCCATAGACACCTCGGACCGTCCTATTAATCTCCTGAGTTAGTAGCATTTTTCTGCTTAATGAAGTTTCTGCTGAAGGTATTAAAAATGTAAACACTGAATACATGAAATTACGATACATTTTCGTTTCCTCTGGTAAGAGAGCTACTGCCTTTAAAAGTTGGCAGCGCATCTGCAATCCTTCGAATGTTATTCATATATCAGGGGACATAGTAAAAAATTAAAATCAAGTAAATCTCTTGCAATCTTTTAACATTAAAAAATAATTGTTGATAAATCATTAAGAGGGAAGGGGGAAATTAAAGTAAATCACAATATAATTAAACTCTAAACTTACTGTCTACTGTATAAAACACTCATTTGCCTAGTCTAGATAAAATACCAACAAATACTAAAGGAATCATAGAATTAGTTTCATTTAGAGAGTTAAGAACTGTATTCGTTTCAGTTACATCAGGATGGAAAAGTGTAGTGCCTTCCAATGCGCATCGTCTTTTTACATCCACCCAAGTTTTTGCTGAACTATGTAGTTTGTAATTTTTTTTTTTGTTTCTTGCAAATAATTGTAGTCATCTCTGAAAAACTTTCTATAAGGCTGGCGGTCTAAGAATAAAAAATTTAAGTATCAATGACGTAGGAATTATAAGAATAATTGTATACAAAAACTCTGAAATTATTTTAATAATTTAACAGTTATACCATTGTAATTTTAAGGTATGGTAATTTGCCTAGAAAAGTCAAATCCTTGCGGAGAGATGTTCGTCTACTCAGTGAGACCTCGTGCCCCAACATAGAATAACAGACATGGATATGTCTGTCACTCTATGTTGGGCTTTTATATCCGATAATCAGAGAATGTTTTCAACATTGTTAGAGTTGTACATTGCAACAATTTCGTTTATGTAGTTCATAACAAAATACATATTCTGGCTGTAAAAAAACTTAACTTTGTGATTCGCAAGTAAGGATGGTAGGAGTGCCCCACAAAAGTATATTTCAAGTGTTCGTCGTTATATCAATAACGCACGAGTAGTGTTTGATGTGTAAATTTTAAATTCTAAAAGTTATGTAAGAGTTAAAGAGAGTACCTAAAATCACAATTTAAAAGTCGTGAGCTTATCAGGGTTTTTAACCATAACGTACTAAACGTCGATAGTAAATATTCTCGTATCACCACGTTATTTAGCCGCAAAAAAGAATTGCTAGTAAAGAATAATAAATACGATAAATTTCTTGGTGCAAGTCGATGGTACTCGATCCCGTTTTAAATATCGTAAACCCAATCACTACGCACTCTCCGCTTTTTTGAAATCTCCAGCTACAAATAAATATATATCGGAACTTACTTGCGAATAATGACCATGACTGAATGATAACCAAAGCATAACATGATAAATTTCCACCAATCATATTCACACTTGCAACGCTGCTGTTTGTTCTCCGCGAATTATTAAAATTACAATGAGAACAAAATATTGTTTCACTTTTGCAACTTTGAACCTTAACTACGCTAACAGGTAAAACTGTACACGGACGTTACCACACCATCATGCATCTTGAAGATTACTTTTGTAAGTACTTGAATGGTTTTTCTAAACTTTAAAACGCCGTTTCGTTAATATACAGCGTGTCGTTACCATCGCGACAATAAATGAACACAAGTCTAACGCTACGAGCCAATAATCATAAAAAAATATTAACGTAAAACAAAATCCATAATTAAATTTATTATTTTTCAAACAAACTAATTAAGTAAAAAAGAAACAAAATTTCTAACACCTATACAACTCGCGCCACAGCGTCTTATTACAAGCCTCTCCTTCTAACAGTATGTTTTGTCTCTTTTAAATTCATTCAACCCATTCATATGCTTTGTGACCTTTACAAATGAACTTTACGTTACGCTTTTGTAGGTAACGGTGTTCTAAAATTCTTTGTTTTGGAAAATTTAATAACTCTGTAAATATTGATGTTTAAAGAATTTAAACGTTTAATACAACTTTAAAAAGTTATCCCTATATGTCTGTTCATTTATTGTCGCGATGGTAACGACACGCTGTATATGTATTGAGGAAAAAGTTGAATGATTAATTCAATATACATATTTTTTTTGTAGTATTATATCTTGATATTGTATAAAAAAATCAGCCTGCGTATGTTTGTCCTTGCAGAACTCCAAATGAAACTTGTTGATCGTCTTAAATTTTCCATATAAATTTGCATTATGTCCGTTTTAAAAAAAATCTATTTGTTTTTTTTTCGACCAGTTCATCATCAGTTGTTTTTTCGCATGGTTTAATAAGAGTTCCTTTCTTTCGTGACAAACTTCGCTTCAGCCATTAAGGGTAGGGTATTAAAATTGAAGTACCTATGTATTTCTGCCATAATTCAATATAGTATGCATAAGATTTATTTCATTTATTTTTCTTTAATATTACATCAATCTGGGCCAAAAGTTAGTTGGGCCGGTTTAAGCTAATAGTGTTTACTTAAATATAATTGTTTTGAGAATCAGTTACTGTTTAATTGTAAGACGCTACTACTTCCGATCTTATGATAACAGGTTCCAGTCTAAGTTGCGTGGACCAACCTTTGTGGTTGGTTCGCCACTTTATTTATATTGCAAGTCACATTTATTTTTAAAATTGAAAATTCTATTTATATTTTCAAACTTTATGTGAAAAGTGAATACCGCCACCCATGGACATTTGCTACACCTGAGGGTTTGCAGATGCTTTGACAACCTTTTTGAAAATCGGGCTCCGGCTACCTCACTCACCAGCTGAAACGCGAAAGTATTATACTTCCACTTCATGCCGGTCTTCTGTCAGGTCGTGATACTTACCCGGAAGAGCCTACCCATTCGTGAAACAAACGAGGCTGCTGCGTGGCTCTACCACAGTTAATGATAACAGCGAAATCAATTTTTTTCTATCTCGTTCCCGATTATCGATAAAAGAGGTGATAGTAAACAGTCTAGGACTTTTAAGAATCCAGTTTGCATATTGAACTGAACTTGATTCTGCATATTTATTTCTCTTTACAACGATACCTATTAAATATTAGGTCCTTACATATGAAATTAGCGTTTTGTCGTACTGACCACTTTGATCTGAAATATCTCCTCTATGGTTAAAAACTCCAAATTTAAATTCATAAATTCATTTAGCTGGTACGTTTGAGTTTTGAAAACAGTCATTCATTTGTTTCTTCCTCATTATTTTATTCTTTGGCGGCGCTTATTACCGCGCAAAGGAAAACAAAGGAAAACATGAAATATCGGTATATACGTTTTTGCTTTCAACGTTTTCGTTCTGGATATTTCGACGTTCAGAACCAACCCCATGAACGGCCGAAGACCAAAGTGGAAAATGAAGAATTATGAAGGCTATTGTGGAAGCGGATCCATCACAAAGCACTTCAAAGATAGCTACAGGCTTCGGGGTAAGTGATAAAACTGTATTAATACATTTGAAGCAAATCGGGAACGTAAAAAATCTTGAACGATGGGTACCTCATGAATTGAGTGAATCGAATTTGCGAACACGCGTCGACTGCTGTGTCACTTTGCTCAATCCACACAATAATGAAGGGATTTTAAATCGAATCATTACTTATGATTAAAAGTGGATACTGTACGATAATCGGAAGCGCTCGTCGCAATGGCTGAACCCAGGGGACCCAGCCAAATCCTGCCCTTAACGAAAATTGACTCAGATAATGTTACTTGTGAGTGTTTGCTTGACTACAGCTTTCTAAAATCTGGCCAAACGATTACGGCAGATATCTTTTGTCAGCAACTGCAAACCATGAAGGAAGAACTAACTGCTAAACAACCGAGATTGGTCAATCGCTCTAGGCCACTGCTACTTCACGACAACGCAAGACCACACACTGCACAACAAACAAGCACTAAATGAGATGAGCTACAATTGGAATGTCTGCGACATCCACCGTACTTACCGGGCCTTGCTCCAACAGATTATCATTTTTTAAGGAGTTTGGATTGGTTTGATTCTCGCCCACATGGTTTATTTAGTAAAGGGATCTATGAGTTGGTAAAAGTGCATAGATAACAACGGTGCTACTTTGAATAAATTGACTTTATATACCTCCCGTACAAAACGCCAGTTTCATATGTAAGGACCTAATACTAGTTGCAACTATTCCTCCACCAGATGTTTTATAGATATGCTGCCAAAACAACAGAAGTCCATACAAAGCAAAATTAAAATCATCCGAAGTAACACAACGATATAACTCTGGATCACTTCTGGCCTAATAAAATGAATGCACCGCTATGACAAATTGCACATTGCCTTACGACAGTGTTTATCCTTATGACATAAATCGATATGTCAGCACATAATAATTAACAAAATTAATCGGTACCGGCAACGGGGTTTGAACTCAGTTTGCGCGATCATAATGAAATCAAAACAAGCGCCCGGAATTATCACGGCTCAGAAATTGTAATAAATTGGAATTTGAAATAAACATTGTGTTTTTCATGAACGGTTTTTGTTTGTGATTGTAAGAGTGAAGTTAATTTTGGTCTCGTTTTTTCTCAGACCATCGTCTCGTGTTGTTCCACGTTTATTTGCCAATTTTTCACATTTGTGAAAAAAATGTGTTAACATTCTGATCCTGCGTTGAATCTCCATGATCGTTAAATTTATGTGATAGCATTGCCGCAATGCTGCACATGTAAGGTACGTTATTATGTTTCTTTGTTTTACTTAGTTACAAACTTAGTAAATGTATGTTGAGAATTGAATATTGATTGAATTAAGTCTATAGACATATTTTGTTTCTATTTTAATCCTTACTTCCTACTAATATTATAAAGGGGAAAGTTTGTATGTATGGATGGATATTTGTTACTCTTTCACGCAAATACTACTGAAGGGTTTTAATGAAACTTTACAATAATATAGCTTATACAGCAGAATAACACATAGGCTACAATTTATATACATCTTTTATGTATTTATGTCTTTCTGTCTGAATGTTACGCCTACGCAGACGTAGTCGCGGGCAGTAGCTAGTAACATATAAAATATGATGTTTTGTATTATATGACCATAATTGAATAAATCTCCTCTTGTGGACCAGTTATCTGGAAGTAGTACATAAAAACTTATACTATGAGCAAAGACTAATCCGTGACCCTCGTTGCCGAAACTACGACGTTCGTGTTATCATTTTATGAAATAGGCAACTCAGCCTCTTCAGTTTTATTCAATCCGCCAAACCTTCAATGTATTAGACATTTGACGGTATCGCAAATAAATTACAGACGCTCTCCGCTGAAATAATTGAGCTGTTGATATTAAAATCGAAAGCAATCATGCGTCGCGAATTGTTACTACAACAGAAACCACTTGCTGTGATTAATGAGCAAGGTCGACAATTAGATAACCCGTGTCTTATGATATTAGTTTTAATACAACCGTGACACAAAAACAAATATCATTAATCGCTCCCGTTTTGAAATATCCACAATGATCCCGTGGCGTAACTACTTGCTACCCATCAATCATTCTTACCTTACCTTGGTTCAAATAATTTACAGGATTTCATCAAGATTTTACAATAGTTCAAATCGGAAAGTGAAAAAATTCCTTTAAAGAGATCATAGTTGCCGTCCCCATGGTTTCTATAGCAAAAGTGCATCTAAAATAATAGCCAATAGTAAATGACCGATTAATTAAAACTATGCTTTAATTTTTTTTGCATATGAAATAGCAATTTCAATAGACTGGACTGGACTATTAGAAACACATGCAATGACGTGACTCAGAAATAAAATTAATAGTTTAAACAAACCATTATTATGTCTTTATTATGGCTTTATGAGACTTTCGGGGTAAAGGGTCCCAACCATCATCTCTTGGAACCCAAAGCAACCTCAACTGCTCGCGTTACCCCCTGGCGATCAGCGGACGAGGCTCTGTAAACCCCCCAATACTCACTGGACCAGCGTGGTGAGTTATGGTTCACCCCTAATGGAATAATCCCTAGAGGAGACCTATCTTCAGAAGTGGTCGCTTACAGGTTGAAATGATGATGATAAAACTGTTATAATTTTAAGACCATCTTAAGATACCGCAAATTTTAATTTAAGAAGACTTATATTTTTTTAATTTGAATAAAATTTAGCATGCCTGATTTCTGGTGTTTTAATAAAGATGACAAATTATTAAAAACATGCCCATGCAGTTTAAAATATGTTCCGCTTTACATTAAATGATATATAAGCGAATGTGACAGGTGATATAGAACTTATGATACGGAAAGAAATAGAGTCTATAGAGTTACAATGTAACTACACCAATTAGCGTAATTCGAGTGCGTCAGTTTCGGTGCGCAAGTGTCATGTCTACCTCATATTTGTATATTATATATATTTGTATATCATTGTATTCGAAGGCAGTTTGATTAGTCATTTCACTTGACTCGTTGAAAAAATAAAATTCAGAGGTTGTCCGCTTTTAATGGTTGTCAAACACAAACGGTTGGCTCAAATTTTAGCAGTAAATTGTATAATAGATATGTGTATATAATTGACATGTGTAGTGATGCCATTTAAATAAAAAAAAACTACAAAGAAACTTCAAAAAGTCACTGCTTCTTAAAGTGCCCTCATATGTTGTCCTATAGTAAGTTGACTATTTCACTACACAGTATTGTAACTTATGTTTTAAGTGTACTTAAACCAACTGAAATTTTTATGAACTTAAAATGCGGGAACTCTCAAAACAAATTAAAGGAGCCTTACGTATCTATCATATAAAATTGATATGTTATAATGTACCTAATTGTACAATGATTTTAAGCCAACCTCAAATCAAATAGATGTGGAAATAAAGGCAATAGACAGAATATTCCTTTTTTCTAAATTTTAATAATAACATTCACTTAATTAAAAAACGTGGTTTATGATATTTTCAGATCACACGCTTAATTAACTTCGTACGGATATAAATATATTGGTTCATAACATTTTAGAAATTTCTTCAAACAATTAAATTACAACCTCGCAATTCGGTAGAACCATTACGTGCCGAACCGCTCGCTGAACAGGCTCAGAAGTTCGTTCTCTCTTTCGCATATGAAGAAGCACTTGTGCGCTTCGCAGCTGATATCGTTCAAGTGGCCGTTGTAGAACATTGAGCCGCACCTCTCATTGTCACCACCGTCCGGCTGATAGTTACCCCATATCGCGTAACCGGCTTCTTCTAAAGTATCCCCTGAATAATAAACCAATTTAATAGTTAAGCGGTGAGATGTACATGCGTTAAATCTTACCTGTATTGAAATATAAGTAAAATGTATACGTTTTGAGTATCTGCCGAAAATATAAGATATATGATACGTGTATATTGCAACAACTTTACAACAATAACACACATAACATATTACTTTATAACATTCAGCAAACATGTTTTAATTTCAATACTGTCAATCATACTGTTGCACGAATGGAGAGGTCCGTCCAGGTAAGTATCATGCGTGCATACCGGCGTGTAGTGGAAATGTCATACCTCTTCGTTTCGACTAGTGTGTGAGGTAGCCGGGGCCCTCTTTATTAAAAGGTGACAACGCATCTGCAATCATACGGGTGTTGCAAATGTCCATGAGTGGCGGTTATCACTTAATATCAGGTGAACTGCCAGATTTTCACATAAAAAAAAACAACAATAGCATTGTTTTTCCATAAACACTTTCATGGGCTATGCAAAATCTATGAAGTAACCGAGAAAAAGTACTAAACCTTGTCCTAATTAAGAAAGCCACGCACCTGCATTTGTTCTCCAACTATCTTCTGTAGTATCGTAGCTGAAGCCTAAATGCACAGCCCCGCGTAAGTACCACCCGGTCACTTTATCCTTGGGCGCCCTTTCAGTTATATTGACGAGGTAATCGGCCTCCTCTTGGCTATTGATGATGGCTAAATACGATTGTTCCGCATCACACGCTTCTAAAGCGTCTCTCCAATTCAACGGGTTTAGGTGAAACTTATAGCATCTACCCAAGTTTTCATTATATTTGTAATCTGCAATGATTATGATATAAAGAAAATTTCTTTTCGGTAAAATAAAACCCATTGGATGTTATTACAAGGATGTCTTATATGACGTTATTATTGATGATAACATTAATTTCGTAAGCTATTTGTCCTAAAGTTATTTTTATTTACCTTTTTAAATTAACAATCCAGTACAATTTAAGTTGTTTATAAGAGACACTCATATTTAGGAAATCAAACTCAATTGCTAGCATTATTATACTACTATTACCAACAATTACTAGAAAGTAAGTAATTTTTCTACTCGTCTAGTTGATCTTTTGTGTAGAGTAGTAAATTAATCTTGATTATTAAGTTCAAAATAACTATGGGTTATATAATAACTAAAATATAATATTAGAAAATAGAGCAATAATGAATACATAAGATAAATCCAACCATACCCAAGTAAGGCACGTTGCACTCCTCATTCCATTTCAATGACGCCAGTGTCTTTTTGCAAATGAACGCGAACTTCTTCGAGCATTTATCGTCATTGTAGCTGCCGTCGGTACGTAAAATCACGCAGTCTTCGTCGCCATTTTTGTCGTTAGGTTCGCCAGGTCCCCATCTATTGTAAACATCCCTCAGCGCTATTCCTGGAAGAGATCACACAGGTCGAGATAATAGACTATGAATTAACTAATGTCACATATTGTGAATATGTGTCGAATTTTATCGTTGACTGTCTGTGCGACCTTGTGTCAGAAGTACGAAACCGCAAAAAGAACGAGCGAATGCATCAATCGTTCAAATAAGGAGAGTTACCGAAGAAGTACCATTTAACGCTCCGGTACTTCATCGTCTTAATACTACCTTGTGAAATGAAAGCGACTTATAAGATAAACGATTTATACCTGGCATACAGCCAATATTGGGTTGCAATGTCAACTGCGAAAATACACGGAACTAATAATTTCTTGTATTTACGCGATTACACATTATAAATGAAACTAATTTTACGGATTTATCGCGTTTATTTTTAATTCCCGACGTTTCGAACCCTTTACAGCGTTCATGGTCACGGGACAGATTGAGGTGTTAGACCTCTGATTGTCATAGACTTGTTCAATCTACTATGTTTTATGTCAGCTATATGTTTAACGGGGATGATGTAAACGTCGGGAATTAAAATTAAAAATAAACGATAAATCCGTAAAATTAGTTTCACTTATACACGGAACTAGTTAATATTTTGTTTGCCTTGTGGAGCGGAAGAGCCTTCGTGATTAATTTAATAACTTTAGAACTCCTTAATATCTATGACGTCATTAAACTTACCCGCTTAAGTACAGGAGAAAATTTGTACAATACCCTAATATATAACTCAGTTATTATTGTGTAAATTTGTTTGTTCACTTTGTATTTAAGAAAAAAAAACCTTCGATGATAAGAACAATAGAAAGAAAAATAAAGCGGTTTGCATCAGTATTATTAATATGTTACTTTATTCTACGTTTATCTTTTGGTAAACCGAACGAGAAACAAACACAATATAACACTTACGAGGTAGACAGTTAAAACCCGATGCTATAATACCCTGTTTAAATAAATGTTATATCCTTTGAATATACACTGTATACCTGTTTATATGAGATAAGTGTTATGAACACAAACATTAGACTTATCATTTTAAGTTAGTTATAAGGAAAATTTGTCATAAGGTAACACTCTATGAGATGTGTATCTAAGAACTAAGACATAAGAACGCCGTAAATCACTTGTTATGTGATTTATATGTTTCTTATCATGTCTATATACATGTATATATAATTGCCGCCATATGGCGTTTATTACATTAAATAAAAGGCTTTTGTTTCAATGATGTTTTATGCGAGTGCTTTAACTGTATTTTTACGTGTGTTTAAAAAATTTATGTATTATGAGATGCTTACCGTCGACTGTTGTAAAGACACCCTTTGCTAGCTTCGAAGAAATACCAACGAATATCGTACGGAACGAAGGTTGCGTCTCATTCAGGTAAGCAACCACTGCATCAACTTCGCTCTGATCCTCAGGATAGAAAAGCCGGGCGCCTTCCAAAGAACATCTTCTTTTTGCATTATCCCACGTCTTTGCTAAAGTATGGATCTTATAAAAGCTACGTGTTTCCTCCAAATATTTGTAGTCAGAACGGAATAGTTTGGCTTGAGGTTGTCCATCTAAAAGTCAAGTAATGTATTCTTAGTAACGTATTCTTGATTTTAAATGTCAGTTGAAACTTAAGATTTTTACACTTTTTTAAATTGATAATCACTTACACGCAAACTGGAAAACTGATTGTATTAACAGAAAAATAAGAAAATGTTTTGCGCGAACCATATTAATGGGAGTTTCACGCGCCGATGTAAACGTGTTGTCGTCTCGGACGGCTTTATCCTAATGAGTGTTGAGAATACAGCAGATTCAACGATCGTGCGTTTCGAGTCCGCACATAATAACGTGATTAACAGGAAAAATCTTCCTCAGGCGCAGCTCAGCATTTGAATGAATTAAAACTGACATGAATATATTTTGTCGAGTTCATGAAGGCGAAACTTGTATATTCTCTAGCCGCAGAACAAACGGACCTCATTGGAAATCCGAAGTTTTGGGGTTTTCATCTTTTGGATTACGTTGTGTTTAATGAGTTTCTTTACTGTTAAGTTTATTTGAAATATTTTTTTTTAATATTTTGCATTTATAATCTAATACTCAAACTTTATCTTTTTACTTCACTAAAATTACCTAAAGCTTCACCAGTGCGATAACGATGTAAAATGTGCAATATGTTTATTAATAATCGTTGCAAAACATCGATTATCAGTTTTGCATAAAGGTATGGTCAAGAACGAAATTTCTGAACTAAACTTGCGTTATAAATCATTTATTCATCAAAAAATATAAATTCTATTTCTGATTTCAATATCAATGTGATAATTAGAAAAATATTCTCGACATCCTGGTCAAAAGTGGCGGCGAAACTTGTTATATACAACTCATAACGACATCTGCTTTTAAGCTCGACACGAGTTAAAAATGTAACAGTATTTAATAATTCTAAATACAGTTTTAACATGAAACACGGTTCTAAAGATATTTAATTTAAATTAGTCAAAATGGAATATTCATTTAATGACTAAATGTTAAAATAAAGCGCTCTTTAACCTATAACTTTATTGGCTAGGTTCATGCGGCGACTTCTGCTTATGCAAAAATGGTAAAAGAACGTCCGGGAGAGTGCCACAGTCTCGTAAGAGCGGCTTGAAAGAAGTACTTATACTCTTTCGTTTCTCTGGTGAGGGTTGTAAAAGGGACTCTTTGAAGGTTGGCAACGCATCTGCAATGCCACATGTTTAGCAGGTATCTGACGGTCGCTAATCAATTAATATCAAGTAAACCCTCTGCTTGTTTGCCCCTTTCGTGGATATAAATTGTACCTTAGTAAAATGAGCAAGCATTTAGGCGTCAGGAAGCTTTGAACCAGATGAATTCCCTATACTTTAACTGAAGAACGTTTTTGGTCTTCGGTCTAAATATGGATTGGTGTCGCGAAATGTTAAAAAATTTAAACGGACCTGACTGTAATTCTGTATTTGACATCGTTACATGTGATGAAAGCAGGATATATTGCTACGAACCGAAAACCAAAAGACAATCTGCTCAGTGCGTGTTTCCTTTTGAGGATCGGTCAAATTAAGTAAAGAATGTAAAAAGTCAAGGAAAAAACATGATTGCCTCGTTCTTTAGTCGCAAACGTCACATCGCGACAGTTGAGCTAAAAGATGGAAAGACAAGTTACTGCAGATTGGTATGTTAAGCAGGATTCTCCTTCAGCACAACTCTTCAGCGCAATCCACGAAACGAACAATTGAACATTTGTCTAAGGCAGGTGTCGAGATAATGAGTTATCCGCCATGTAGACCTGGCGCCCTGCGTCATTAATCTATTCCAAAGATGAATTTCGAGGTTTTCGCTTTACGAGCCCTGAAGATACGATGAGTGCGTAAGAAAATGACGTACAGGAGACCTCTAACAATGAGCCCACTGTTTTTCTCAGTGATTCCGTCAAATGCGAAGATGTATAGACAGGAGCGGAGACTAATTCAAACAAAAAAAAATATATTGGCAACTTTCTACGTCGAGCCGTTTTATAAGAACTTTCCGTGTGACCTACGTATCTATAAAAAAGCCAAATAAATAGACTTCACATGTATTTCTAGGAGACATTATATGTTTATTAATTCCGGAAATAAACCAGTTCCATTATGGTGAACCGTGACTATCAAACTGATGGAAATTCAGCATTTAAAATAATTGCAATAAAAACTTCTATTCACGGCAATTTAATTAAATTTATTTTGCTCGAGTATACAGAATTAGAAGTGAACGCCCTGTCACATGTCCCAACACCAGTTAACATAATTAGCCATAAAAGTTATGATTACTGTGTCAAGTCATCCATAAACAGTTTTCTTTACTTTGACGCACGGTGGAAAAGTTTATGCGATGACAAATGTTTAATTACAGGGTACGTATGTTATATTAGATTTGACGAATAGCAAACAGGTATAAGGATCGTTTCCGAAATCAGGCTCTTCAATTAAATTACAGTATAAATATAGGCGGGCAAAAATCTGTGTAGAATTTCCAAACAACCGAACGGTTGGTTTTACCACCAAGAACGGGAAATACCATTTAGTTACTTGCATATTTGTTACGTGATTCAACCTCATGTGAGAGTTTATAAAAAGAATAAGGTTATCATTATCAGTATGTCGATTAGTTTGAAACTCAAATTCTAAACATTCTTTTACTTTAAATTTCTTTTAATTGTCAAAGTTAGGTGAAGTCTAGTGAACTGGAAGGTTTTATTTAATGAAGAGCCTACCTACCTACCTACCCTTTTCAATAATATTTTCAATATTTTCTGATAAACGGTAGCGATAGTGAGTTCTAAATTTGCTTACCCAGATAGCCTCCATGCATATAAAATAACAATTAATTAATTTCGCTGACGCACAGTGAGTGCCATTGACAAGACTCATATATAAAATCATTTGATTTCATTTTAAACCTGTTATAATTTGGCTAGAGTTCGTAACAAGTTAACTAACCCGTTCAATTGTGTGACGGACGTTGTTTTTGTGAACGAAATTTATTTTGATAAATAACAATTTAAACTTGTTGTCTTTACTTTTTATATAAAAGCCGAAACTCTGTTACACATGGTGTCCTTTTTTACGTTATCATAGTTCTATTATTCAGTAGACGCTTTTCTTAGGCGGCTCGAGCAGCGAAGGGGTTAAATGAAAAAAAAAACATTAAAGAACTAGTTTGTAGTATGTTGCTTAACTTTACGATTACTGACGTCTATTAAATAATTTTTATGTAAATCTTAAACATCTGTGTTGAATTTAGATAAGTTTTTTTTTTTAATTTGGGTGATCACTTTGGTTCCGATTTTAGAGTTTTACAAAGAACGCAGTCTTAATGATAGAATTCTTGAATAAAAGGTTTGCTTTTTTACGCTTCTCTCTTCTGTTAGTTATAAAACTATATATATTCTATTCGGTACAATGACCTTACTTACATCCAAAAAGAGTTTTGTAAATAATACTACTAATAGTGATACGTTGTATTGATCTACATTTAATATAGATCGAAGAATTGAAATGCTTAAAAACTTAAACTGTTTAGTTGCAAATAATAATAAGACCAGGCAATAAACGAGCACAATAATTCATTCAGTTTTATCTTTTGCTAGAGTTTATGTTTTAAATCCATTATATGAAGCAGAGCAACTCATATCTGGCATTAAGATAACCCTTGACACAAATGAACACAAATAGAAGTACTTTATTATTTACATAAAATATATTAAAATTAACAGGAATTAATTAAAATATCTTTAATTAATTTTTATTGTTTAAATTGGAAAATGATTTCTTTTTTATATATTGACTTCACAATTTTGACATAAATTCCGGTAAAGTTTTTACAATTCCTAGTATTAACTATTATTTATTAGTAATTAGTAACTTATTATTTTATAATGTATTAATTATATGTATTATACATACCCTCTGTATAGAGGAGGCCTTTGCCCAGCAGTGGGACATGTATAGGCTGTTACTTTACTTTATTAATTATGTACTGCGTAATCAATACATAGTTTCATCGTTTTATATTTTAAGGTGCTAAATGAAGAGAAATAAAAGGCAAAGTTATTTTATATCGAGGTGTAAGTTTATTCGCATAACAATGTTTCATACAAATTTCCTCGTTTTGTACACACCTTCTCACGGTTTGCTTTTGTAGTTATCTTTTATAAAAGTTGACTCTCTAAAATTTTTTAACATATCGTCATGTCTGTTCCCTATATCTAATTCGCTTCACCACAGCGGTTAAATCATATAACATAGGATTCACTAAGGCAAAAAGTATTAGGAGGAAATAATAATTACTGCGGACAGATTATATATAACGAAATAATTAATATACAAATAAAATGTGTTTCCATGAACACGGAATGGGCTCCTATCGCGTAACATCAGCCTTCCTTTATCGTTCGACGTGGCACTTAGCGCGAGTCTGTTAGGCGGCCGAGTGCGACGTGGCGAGTGGGGCTGGCAGGAGGTGGCAGGGAGTGGCAGGGCCAGACCGCTGCCACCGCTGGCCGCTCGGCCATCCGGCTACACAATTTTTCTAATGGACATTGCACAAATCGCACTGGTATCGGTGAACTGGCCACGAGGCTGCCAGACACGCTTAATAGAAAAAAATTCGTCACTATATAACAACTAAATCACTTTAAAAATCAATTCAAAATGTACATTATTCATCTTATTCAATTAAACAAATTCTAATCTGCTACAAAAAATTAGCAAATTTAAATACAAAGATCACCCACCTAGTCCGTCTATGTAAAAATTAGTCACTTAAGTATTAGCGAAACACATAAGTGAGTGAATGTTGCATCGCAACCCACTTGTGATATAGGTTATTATGCCTTTCATTGTACATTCAACGAATGAATAGCGAAATATATTGCGTTGACACATTAAAACTAAAAAAAAATGACTGTACATTTTATATTTTATATGTAAATATTTGTACATATTGCACTCTGAAGTAACAAAAAAATTATTAAGAAAATCTGTTCGAAACGAAGAATATATACGCAGAACAAAAAAAATATCTCAGTAAATACAAAGTCGAATGAAATCATTTTGTAATCACAATGTTCGTAGCTCGTATATTACTCTAAGTCCCTATGGCTTACAAAGCTTACAAAAGATAAATACAGAGGTCATTTACAAAAAATATACTTCTACCCAAATAATATAAAAATAACAACAGCCATCTGTACTTTCTTAGATGAATAAAATTAAACATATGTCAAACATATGACGATAAAATCTAAAGGTACCTATATACAAATTTTTAATGGACACAGCGGACCCTCCCAAAGTCCACATTAGTTAAAAGACTGGACATGCCACGTTTGGTCACTGTAGTACTCGATCCCAACGGCAAATGAAACAGTTTTGGGGAAAGACAACCGGTCGTGACGTCATACCATCGCCCGCTCGACGGCGCCCCACGCCTATGCAACTCTGCTTTGCACGAATCTTGCGCATCACGGTAAGCGATATGAACTTATCAACGTACTAATGTTCCATTATCAGCTAAGACACAAATTATATTAGGGTATCTCATTAATTATTACGAATCCCGCGAGAGACAATTACATTACGTCCTTAATAAAACTATTACAATTTCGAAATTGAATAATATGTATCAAATGCGACCGGCTCTGCACCGACGGAGACCGTATACTACGAAGCTACCCACAATGGAGAACTACGCGTCGAATGATGTATAACAATTTACTTATCGAATGGCAGTTATAATTGTCACGAGGGCCGAGACGCGGACTCGCGTTCGCATCTCGGGCCGTAAGGCATCTTATCGTAGCGCAACCATGACGGGAACACCACACGCATCCATAGATCACAACTGAAACGTTTCGTAGAAAAACCACCGCTATGACTACGGACATACGGCTCGCACCATGAGATTACGTTAACAATGGCAGTGTGATTGTTATTACGCCCTAAACAGCGGAGACCTAAGACACTCGAGTGACATTTGTGCATAGTCTTCAACATTTTAGAAACGCCTACCGCTAGATTAAAATAATTGTATAATTCGAAAAGGTGCGACGAAGCGAGCTAGCGCCCGGTCCGCGGTGCGAGCGCGATCGCCTCACGCTGAACTCCATACGTATATTAAGAAATGCATCTCCAAAAGACCTCAGGCACACATACTATGTAAATTAACGCCGCGCTTAGCGGCATGTAAAGAAGACACATTCAACACGCACCAAACAGACTTAGGTTACTAAACGCTTTTAACATACGTGTCTCGGCGAGTTGCGTACACGACGTGTGCATAACGGATGGGATCGCGTGCTTCGCTCTACTTTCCGCCGAAAACTCAACGACCCTCGATTATCACGACTTCAAAGAGCGCACTGTACAACGATCAAAAATTACGATTTTTTAACGAATGGGGACTTCCCCAGCGTACCGTCGCAACGACGCTTACTAGCGATTGAGATCGATTAATTTTATGACCTATACACTAAGACATTTAATCAACAACGTAGGTACGAGGCGCAGGTAACGCGTAATAAGGCATCCTGTAAACGGGTCGCGTTGATTCGGGCAGTTTCGAAAGCGTTGCACGTCAAGATATTGTTCTGCGGTAGACATCGGTCGGTTGCCTTATTTTATTTTCTCGGAGACAGATGCGGCCGATCGATTGTGACGTCACGTTACGTGCATGTATCCTATCAAACTATAACATTTAGTACTCACTATTCCAATATTGTTCCCATAGAGTAAGCTCGGCCAAATAGAGTAAGTTATGTACAATATATAAAATAAATAAAATCCTATCGAGGTAAAGGAGCTGCCATTTTTGTTAAAAAAACTATAAAAGTCGAAGAGGACACAAGAAACAAGAAAAATTTTAAATCCATAAGTTCAGATCAAATAGAAACGAACAGTTAATTTGGATAGAATTTATGGGCTATACATTTCCTAACCTCAAACCTACTTAACAGCTGCCTGATCGCATGCACGTAAAGTGATGTTCAAATAGGAATTTTCGCTCAATTAAATAAAGATGAACAACTTCGTTTCATCATATCTTGAGGATCGGCCGCAGAGCGCCGTAGTTGAACAAGTAACGTGAACAATCTTAGTCTTTTATTTATACGTTCGTTAAGCTTATGGCGACACTTATTGTAAATTGCACAGACTGGTACGCATCGTTCGACCTTTCAACAACTAACATAACGTCATCACGGGGGGACACGGCAAAATCGGTTATCGAAACACTCGTGCACCTCGATGAATGCGGGTATACCATCTAATATAACATTGACTTAGTGCAGTGTGAACAACACCGTGAAAAAAAATGTTTGTAGCTACGTCTTAACTACTAAATAGTACTTAAACAGGCAGACGAGGCGCTGGTAATGCTCTCGTGAAAGCGGACTTTGTTTCTATTTTTTATTTTTTTAATCGTAATAAGACACACTTATCTCAGCCTACGTAAGATATTTCAACATGTTATAAATGTAATCACAGCAATAATAAATTATAAATTAGTGAGGGATACGGGCACAGGACATTGGGACTTGGGTCATAACCAAAATCGACAGGATATGATAACACGTTTGACATAAACTATTTATAAACAAACACAGTCGTAAATCAGTAACAACGTCCGCCGACAGATGTCTTCAGAGCCGCGGTACGTTCGTTATCTTAACGACTCTCGCAATATATTATATATATGTATAGATTAATCGAAAAGGTCATTCAACGCACCCTTAATTTTGGTAAAATAACTATCAACTTTTATCATCCCAATAGAAACATCTTTTATATATTATTTTTTTTCGCTCTTTATAACTCTCGTAGTTTATGTACGTATGTGTAATTTAGGAGGTGTACTTATTAAAGTCTTATGGTGATAGTCGTATCCGAGTGACCAACTATCCAGCCGTAAACGAAACAAACGTGGGGGGGCGACACGCGTCGGCCGAAACGAGGCGCGGTCGTTTCGGCAGGCGTTGCGGCCATTCAAACGATCAACACTAAATATATACTCCGAACGTTCAACAGCACATATATTCACTAATCTCTCGCACGTCGTCGGTCCCCGAATACGCGTACCCGGTCAGCTTTCGCGGTCCTTATAAATACTTGCATCACGTCCGACATCAGTGTCCGAGCACATCACTAAAACTAGCCAGTCTATGAGCGTTCTCTCCTCTGTGGCGCGGTCGTCGCCAACGGCGATGGGAGAAACACGAAACCGCGCCCGCTGCGGCGCCGTCGCGGTCCCGCTGCGACGCGTCCCCTTTCGCCAGCCTTACCATTAGTTCGCAATGTTGTCTCTCACTAAACCAAACCTCTCTACCGGTTATACGTCGATTGCTGATCGGAAACAATATGTGAAATGTCATTTCTTGTGAGTTGTGACTGATTGCGTTTTCATTTGTCTCATCTCGCGCAATTTTCATTCTGCCGGCGTCGCCGCTCGAGCTAATCGGTTTCTCATTAAAATAAATGAACCTAAATGGCGCCTGCTCTGTTTAGGATTTGGCCGTCCCGAGAGCGGATCTTTCGTCTCGTTCGCGCACGCCGCGACACGCGTCCGCGGCGCGCGCGATGCGCTCCCACATAGAGAGCGTACGTTACCAATTGCCCTCGAGTTTTGCTGCAGTGAGCGAGCGGCGCTTCCGCGCGTGCTTCCGTCGCCGCCCGAGCTCGTAGCACGCCTCGTGTTCGAGTTCCGATCGCAGACGGAACGCATGGTAAGGGGCGCGCTTCGTGCGTCTCCGGCGCTCGTCGGCTCAGAGGCCGCGGGGCGTGGCGCGCGCGCGCGGGCGCTAGAGCTCCGCCGGGTTGTCGACGATGGGCGGCGGCTGCGTCGTCGACACGTCCGCCACGTCCCATATCTCCTCGAGGAACGGCGGCAGCTTCCTGTTCTTCAGCTTCAACGAGATGCACATGTTCGAGTTCTGCATGCCGAGGGTGCGCAGCTCCGACAGCACGGAGAGGATCTTGCCGTAGATGACGGAGCAGCGGGGCGACGCGCTGTGCTGGTTCACGATGTACATCCGCAGCGTGTTCAGGTAGTATCTCTGTATCTCCTCCACGAGCTTCGGCTGCTCGAGGCCGGGCCGGTCTGGAACGCGAGAAACGGAAATTTTAAAGCTTGTCGGTCTAAGTTATTTGGTCGGTGTGCTTTGCTGTTTGTTATCAAGTTATCGAGGAGCGAATGGTGTGCTAGTCACCTGAGAATATGACGATGGCTGTGAGGAGGGCGTAGTGCACGTTGTCGAGCGACATGGTGTATATACACCGGCAGAAGTGGAGGAGATCCTCGATGACGTACGCCATGCCGGCCTTGCGGTAGTTGTCGCGCGTGTACGCCTTGTTGTTCGCGAACAGCACGCTATCCGTCTCCGGGTCGTAACGCCGCGCAACTCGAAGCATCATCACTTCACTCGAACAGGCCTGCAAAATATATTGTAAATCATTTTTTACACCTGACGATACGTTACGATGCGACCACAGATGATAAACGCACCCAGTTGTAGCTAATGTACAAAACTATGCTGCAGATAATTTCACACACACTAAAACATTCTTTACTCTATAATGGGTTTAAGTATTTTTTTCCAATATAATGATTGTAGCATTCAACTCTTAATTAAAAGAGAATTGGGCCCAACCTTATTTACCCAAACCTTGAGAGAGTGGGGCAAATTATATTATTGCGCTTTGGTAACCTTTCAACGGAGGCCGCCTATTGTATGCGTTAATTAATGAACTGTCTGAACTTTACAAACAGAGCTCGGATAAACTTCAGTTAACTTTTCTGCGCTTTTTCAACCTTGTCTGTTAAAACTTGTTATCTTGAGCCTGTTATCTACATCGAGCTAACAATAACCAATAGCCTCACAATGTTCTAGTTATGGTCATTAAGGCTTTATAAAATATTAGTTATAATTTAACAGTTATAATGATAGCTATTTAAATGATGTGGTTAGTATAAATTTAGCTGTTAGTAAATAAATTTCTTTGACACGGGCAAAATATTTACTCCATAAGCTTTTTTTTATATAGAGTAGTTTCAAATTATTCCTAATACTGTTACTGTGAAATAATGCACGTGAATTTCGACACAGTAAAAAAAAGGAGCCGTATTGACATTTCAAATACCTTCAATAGTGTTATTTGATCAGGTTGAGAGATCTTGGCGAAGCCCGGCAGGCCCTTGGCGAACTCGACAATAAGCTGCACAGTGAGAATCGTCATCTCGGTGATTTGGCGGAAGGGAAGGTCCGATTCCTCCTCCTCTTCATCGCCCTGCTGCCACGTCTGCAACGAAAAATATAACCAGTAAAAAAACCTGCCAAAATAAATGTACGGCCGCGACAGCGCCATGTTTTTTTTTTTTTTTTTAAGAAAACGTTGCCCTTACTTTAGCATAACATTATCCTATGTTGTAAAGACGTTTTACAAACATAAATTTCACACGGACTAACACCCAGACGCGAAACAGCTATCTGTGGGTAACACAAATAGTTGTCCCGTGTGGGAATCGAATCCACGACCCCCGACGCTGAAGCCAATAACTTGCCAAATGCGCCACGGAGTCATATTGCTTGAACAGTTCAGAAAGACGGCGTTTCACGTCCGCCACGTCCGTTTTGATTATTCGCGCGTTAATCTACCTACCACGCTAATAGCAGAATTCAATTAAGACGAGTGGAAATTAAAGAGATAACTAACTGCCTTAGTTACTGCTGTGGTAGTAACGTTTTTATCCCGAACAAAAACAAGGGCCCGATTTATTCACGGATGTGGACATAAATATTAATCTCGTACGATCGCACGACAGTGAGCCGGGAGATTATAATTTGAATACAGTAAGCGTCCGTATGAGGCTCGTATTTTTTTACTTGTCGAAATTTGATCGCGACAAAGCTCGGTTACAGCGGTGTAATTTAAGCACTGCTTTTATCCCAGTTTTTTACATAAGTAGTTTAGTCAACAAAGCCTAGAATTTATGAAAAGCACCGTGATGCTGTAATATTTACTTATTGGTTACAATTTATCGGTAAGACCTAACTTGTCAGAACCGAGACATATAACTTGTCAGGATAGTAATTTAATTCTATCATAAACCTTTAATTCGCTGTGGGAAGAAGGTATTCTTGTTTGAAAAAAAAAAACATAGTTAACTGAATTTTATCAATGCAATATTTTTGGTGCTGCTCAGAATATACCAAAGTGATATTCCTTATCGTAACAAAAATCATATTTGTAAAGATATTAAACGCAAACAAAGTCGTATTGTGGAAGTCCCTTACTTGTGTCACCCGTTTGAGGTCTTCTTCGGAGGGCTGCTCATAGCCGTCCTGGTACCAGACGAGCCTCGCAATGAGGAACTGCTGGTTGGTGGTCAGCGGGGGTATGTTCTTCAGCCTGTTCTGCTCGAGCAACTTGTCCGGGAGGAACCGCGGTACCAAGTCGTGCTGCAAACATTCCAGCTTCACGTAGGAAACAACCGTCGCGTTAATACTTTGCTCGTTGAAATTCACGTTTTGGTCGGGATTAAGCAAATGTATTCAACGTGGATATATTTAAGATGGGCTTTGTTTAATTGTATGGGGTCTACGCAACTGCTCGTATTTCGTCGAGACCTGGTTAATGCGTACTTTTATTAATACTTTTGCTATACGCATTTGTTACATACGCCGTGGTCTGGTTTGTGCTAGATGGTGTTTAATAAAAGTTACACTAACTTATTATAGATACTAGAAGGTAGTTTTGATGCACTGCCACCTAAAACCTCTATAAGAGTTTGGGACAGAGACGGGTCACATAAGGATCAGTAAAATATAATTGAACGAAGTTAAAATTTGTGTAAGAATCCAAAGACTACTTACAATCCGAGCGGCCTCTGGCGGAGGTGGATCACATTGCATGATCGGTGGCATGTGGTCGTCGACTGTGGTCGTGCTGACCGGCAACTTGTCCTTCTCCCTCTGCGCTTTCTTCTCTTTCCTTTTCATCGCGCACTGGGTCTCGGGGACGACGCACTCGGGCCTCATGCCGACCGCCAGGCACTTCTTCAGCCGGCACTCCTGGCACTTCCGGCGCATGTACATGTCCATCTCGCACGCATGTCCGAACTTGCAAATGTACACCGCGTTCTTAGTGACACTCCGCCTGAAGAAGCCTGGAAGCACGAACGAAGCCGGTCAGGCGGAGGGAACTCGGGAATCGTCTATTAATAGCACCGCGGACGAAGTTATACATCAAAGGTTGGGCGAAAGACACGGGTCATTGACTGGGCGTCGCGATACGAGAGGCGCGATTAGGTAATTCGAGATACGGAGATTGATGATAAAAAGGGGCCATATCTAGTTGCGTTCAAAAACGCGAAGCGGCCATTGTAAACATGATCCTCCAACACCTGAGCATTTTATTAGTTCCTTTGTAATACTTTAATAACATACATATCTTTAAGCTATCATAAAGCGCTTGTGCGATTAAGGTAGCGAATGCAAATGTTATGTGCGAGTCGACATTGAAGGTTGCCCGGTGATGGCCGATAGTGTCGGAGTGAATCAAGGAGCAGACGGTCTGCAGACGGCTATTGTGACGTCTCGTCGCGACGCAGAGTACAATATGCACGCGCCTCACAATTGGTGCCCACAATGCACCAAATCAACGATAAACTCGTACCGTTCACAAAACAAGTACGACTATAACATGTCCACCAAAGATTGATATATTTATCAGGGGATTTGTTTTATATTCCATGTTGTGGGAAGGCATTTTTAACATAAGGCTTTTAAGCTTACAAAACCTCCTTTCAAACTTTAGTGTTATCAAAGGAAGAACATTAGCAGAAATAAAATTCATATCAAAATCAGCACTTTTAAGGCAACTTGAACACGCTATTTACGTGTGCATTCCGATCTTCCTCCTTTTATAATGGAAACTTCAAAATTGAAAGCATCGTTGTAAAGCAAGCATTTAAAAAAAACTTTCGCTATTCATATTGCACTGCCATGGGAACGCCTTAGAATTCTAATCCAACATTTAATTTCAGATGCCTAATCCACCAAATCAAGAACGTGTTTACAATAAATGAGACGTAGGTATTAGGCCAGTACTATTTGTGTTTCTAGAAAGCGATTGCTAAAGAAAAAGATTATAAGCTGACAGTATGACCAACCATTGGCCATATGCATGTTTTTATTTCAAAATTAAACACAAACAGTATGTGCGGTAGACGCAGACCACGCGCGTTGGGGTTACCTTTGCATCCTTCGCATGTGAGTGCGTTGTAGTGATATCCGGAGGCTCGGTCTCCGCAGACGAGGCATAGTTCCTCCTGCTGCCGAGGCGCGGGGCCCTTCTTCTGCCTTCTCGCCTCCCCATCCGTGCTGCAGCCGTTCACGCTCGACGCCGGCGACAGCTCCTCGCGACCTAGAACAAGCAGCCAATGAAATACGATCATTCGATATGTAATGTAACTGCCCATATATCGCAGCGCTGTTCGGCAAACGCCTCTACAGAATCAAATCAAAATGTTTTTTCTTTGTTATTAATTCGAACACACGCAGGTCTCGAGTTCAGCAAGTGGTCGCTGGGATTTCAACTCTAGTCACTCGAGTTTTATGTATATTGAATTAATAGCGAGCTATCAAGATTGGACGATATGTGAAACGCTATTATAAACATGATACGGCTTTGCTGGCTGGAACAGTAGTACGTACGGTCTACAAATATTCGTACCGTATCAGGGCGTTCGTATGTGGGCAATTTATTTATGTAAAACGAGTCTGACACTATTGGTATAAAAAATAAATGATTATTTTACATGTTCAGAACTCTGTTTATTATATATTATGGCCGTTTAGTTCTGAAGTTCTAAAGTCGTGCTGTAAATAAAGAGGTCAAGTGTGGTCATTTCAGAGCAATAGTCGAATGTAAGTGAACATTGCAACAGTACAACATGGGCCCGTAGACGTCGTGTGTCAACAACATCTATCTATCCGACGGTATCGAATTTGCGTACATTTCGCGACTAGCCGAGCGGGTATCGCTTCTATTTCCGATATTTACAACTCGCCTCGATGTTTCGGTAACGAAACACGAGGGAGCAATTTTCGGCGGCAGCGTGGCCGTTTCCTGCCCAAACAAAAGGTGGATAGAGCGGCCGTCCGCATACTGATTAGGTGCCGGCCGTAGTTTCGTATGCCGCGCGTACTCGGGAATGGGGAATGCGATGCGCGGTGGAAATTTAATGGCCTCTGTCGATCCTGCACTCGGAACTCCTTAAATGTGAACGCTTCATTAGTATTTTCGGCGCACGCGACACCACGTTCTCTCGAACAGCATCAATTCTTGCGTGGATTAAGCGAGAGCTCTGTAAACGACAGGCTTGTCATCGTGGCATTGCGTAAGACTTAATTACTTTGCGTAAGATTGCATTTAAGGTAATAGGTAAGGTTTGATCTATTCTTCCCGACTGTCTTTTTTAGTTAATTTCGTACGCCTCGGGTTCGGTGGCCGCCGTTACGCAACTTGCCCGATTTAACCGCGCTGCTAAAAAACTAGTCCCACGTGAGATTGCACCGTGTCGAAAGCCACGTTGCCCACCAATGCATCAAATGGTATTTTTCACGCTGCAGGAACCTGTGCTCGTGAACGTATTTATACGTTTATGATACTCTAAACGCTCTAGCAAAAAATTTAAATGAACTATTTTTTCATTTTGGATTTCATCGTGTTAAATTTTAGACACTACAGCAAAAGTCGTCACGGCAGACTGAGGGACCAAACCTGGTGAATTATGTTCTCTTTAAAAAGAGAAAAAAATATACATTTTAGTTTTGTAATAACCGATAAGCATTTTAAAGCAAATACAGGGAACACTTTAACTTCAAAGTTGTAATAACAAAATCGCCTTACAATATCTTAATTATATATAATAATTAATTATCCGTTAAATAATTCCAATTAGTTTTTAAATAATTAGATTAGCAATTATAACTAGTATTCAATATTTATCCTTCCGCACGATATAATATTAACCCAGCGACCTTATTTACTGCTAAATTGGCAAGCGTCGGCAAATTTTCTATCGGGCAACACTGTCGACTGCAGGTTGTAAATTATTCGCCGTCGGCGCGGTCGCTATTTAGACTATAAAAATGCCACTATAAAGAGGTCAAGTGCGCTGTTTTATCCCGGCTTTATTTATGGCGACACTAACATCAAAGTGGTTTTAAATAAAATGGTCGCCAATATGACTCCGATGAAAAGCGGTGCACTGAACTGGGTGACCTCGATCACCGGTTTTGCTAACATGTATTCGTTATTATATAATTATTGCACAAGCTCTGCGATTTAACTCGGCCAACGGTGTCGCGTTTCAACTAAGCGATAATTAATTAGCATTGGAAATGCGCTAGGTTGGCGAAAAAAGATAAATGTCAACATAAGCCTTTCCAATCTGCCTCTCGTTATTCGGAATAATGTATGTAAATTTTCAATTAATCAACACCATTACCGATGTTAGGTAACGTTTTGTTGGTTAACTGTGTGTTAGGTTAGAACCGTCGTGTGGTGAAAGTGTCCGAGATGGGTTGAACTGGTTCGTGGTAGGGGCTTGCGGCCGCGCTGGTGCCCGGCGTGATGAAGACGCGGAATTTGATACGCGCTTTGCCTATTATGTTCCGTGGTCAATCGTGGGAAGGCGCGAGAAGGGAACTGTTTTTTTTTAGAGATTTTCATCGCTCTCTGTAAGCGATGAGTTGATTGTTAGTCGATTGTTAGAACGCTTATGAAGATACATACACAGACATGTTGTTGCCTCAAAGGAAAATATGCATATTTGATTTTACGACTGGGGATAAACAAAGTAAGCTCGTGCCAGGGAAGATTTTATAATGGATGTCCGCAACATCGCCATATGTTATCGACGGTGCTGACGAGGAAGAAAGCCAATCAAGAGTTGAATGCACGAATGACCGAGTCAGTGTGTTATGTTATTACATCTCAGCTGTTCGGTGTGCTGCGCCCGCGCATAGGAAGGTCTAGTTCGTGGCGTTTCGGGCGCTCTCGGCCGCGTTCGGGCTTTAGAGCGAGAGGCCCCGACGGCGCTGGAGAGCGACAAGTGGGGCGCGAGCGACGACCGGGGGCAGCGTGCGGCCTTGACTCTTACATTCGCTCCCCCCCCCCCCCACCCCGCTGCCTCCCCCTCTCGCGCTCCGCACCAAGCTTACCGCGCAACCACATTATTTATGATAGCATCAGAGCCCGGAGCAACCTCGCGATTCTCTACTAACTAATAATAACTCGTTTTTCCTCTCACGCGATTCAACTTTTACGTTCCCTCGCTCGGACTTCTTGCAATGTCTTTATATATAAATAACAACCGTTCGGTCAATTCGTACACGTTGATTTCATACCGGTTCAAATTCGATTGGTTTTTCCATACACGCAGAATAATGGTGTTTTTTATTTCAAAAGATAGAGTGCTATAAAAATTCGGCTTCAAATACGTTTCTTTAGGTGTAACTAATATAAAGTTATTATTGAAAATGTTACTCATGAAAAAGTGAATAAGACTACTGACTACTGAAAATAAAAAAGTTCTTCCATTCTTAGAACTAAAACGTCAATTGCATAACAAAATGGAGGACCTGACAGTTTCAATTTCTGTAACTGTCCACTGAACCGAGGAGAACGAGCGATCAACGCTGTCGGGACTCTCGGACGTCCAGTTTCGTAAATAACCAGTGCATTTCATAGCGAGTAAGGTGCGCAAGATTGCAGAAGCGAATTCCCGGACGCGATACCAATGTTAAACAATACCGATAACTTTCACCGTGACCCCGGGCGCGGGCGACGAAATTATTTCGCAGGCGGGCCGCGTCACCCACCAGCTAGTGAAAGCTGCCCAAAGTTAGCGGTTGCACAAGCCACACAACACGCCGCGCAATACAAATTCGACGGTGGCGAAAGTGGCTGTGACTCGCGACAGCGCTATGCCGGGAAGTCCATTAACAGCAAGCGGTGACATTCGAGCGTCTATGTTCAATTCAAATTAAGAACAAAGTTTTTGATTTTAGAGCGGCTTTATCAATTATCCAGTGACGGCTAGCTAGTAAAACAAAGAGTATCAATGGTAGTTGACGATCCAATTGGTTTAGTGATTAGTAAACATTCTTTTGTATCAGAGGGTTCGATCACCAACCACTACAAGAAAATTACTGTTTGATGTATTGACTTTGTCCATTGTCTTTCTCTAGTGTTTAGGTTTACATGCCTATAATATTTATTTATTGACAAAAGAAAATTATGTTTATCAGTTACTTAGTACTCATAGTACAGTAGGCAACGTTGTGTAAAACTGTGTCCAGTTAGATTTATTTATTTATATTTACTATTTATGTATTTAAAAGATTCAGATTGTGTGATAATAATGCAGTATGAAATGTTGAATGTATGGAGTGTCTTTACCGAATTGAAAAAAGGAGGAGAACATTGCATTAGGTTCAGTTAAGCTCCCATGTGATGGGACCAATTTACAGGTATTTATTTTGTTATTGGACCTTGGAGTCCCTCGTACATCAGGGAACTCTTCAAAATGAAATAGAGTGAGATATTTGTAGTCTATTTGGTTTTGGGTTAATAAAAATATACTTGTTTTATGTGAGAAAAGTGCAAGCGGGCTGGCTGTTCATCTGATTTTAAGTAATAACCACTCATGGACACCGTGGAGTTGCAGATTTGTTGCCACCTTTTAATGAAGTGAGCTCCGAGAAATGCAGAAAACACTTCCATTTCACGGTGACCTTTTGAGAGGTCGTGGTACTTCGTACGAGGCTGTCCATTCTACAATAGCGAATACTGCTGTGTGGCCCTACCACACTAGTATTATTATGATTTTATTTTACCTTCATTTTAAATTCACTTAGCGTCCCATACGCTATGGGTATCGTTTATATTTTTATAAGAAATATGTTTTAAAGGCCCTTTTAAATCTACCACAGAAAATCGTCTTCGCCAAGATCAATAGCACCTGCAGATTACTCAGTTTTAATTTCGATGGTTTTAAAGCGAATGCAAGGAGTAGGATAAGCGGACACAGTTGTTGCCAATTATGAAAACAAAAGCGTATTTTCTAAAACCGATTGACGCAAAAGCAAATAGAATATCCAGTGAGACGGTTTTTGCTCCTTTCAGGGGGGACTCCGTCCGCGGCGCATTTGAAAATCGAACGGAATACAGATCTTCGCTATGAATATTTATAATTGGCCGTTGCAAAAAAAAAACTATGCGGGGGGAGTAAAAAAGAACACGTGATCGGCGCATCGCTTGGGCGGAGATCGCTCTTGGAATATTACTTTCTACGATACTTTCTAGCAAGAGATGTGGGCCGGAGCCGGAGCAACTAGAGCGTTCGGTTTCACCGCGCGCCGGGAAAATCGGATTGAAATAGAAATCGCGCTCGGTGGAAATCTGCTTTTCGCGGCACACGCAACGCAAACACTTCTGCTACAGACTGAGCTGTGGCGCCACTGTCACCCGCGGGGGAGTCCCGCTAAATGAGACGCGTTAATCAGACACACCCTACTGCAGTTATCGTCCGCCCGCGCCCTACACAGATTTTAAGATAACGAACAGAGTTTTCAGGTCGACGAGGACCGTGCACGTAATATATATTGAAAGGATAATACACGGATTGAAAGCAAATGTGAAATGACGGAGCCTAGTATTCTGTTAGCGCAGCGCCATGCCGGCCGTTTCGTCATCCGTGAATTAGAAAGTGGTCATCGGTCGTCACGTACGCGGTGCCCACATGTAATGTACATAAGTGTACGCAATGGACGCGCCGCAATACCCCAACAGTCGTACGTATATTGACTGAGTGCCGGATTACGGCGCCTCCGTCTCTGTTCCTCTCGTGGTGCCGATTGGCCCGTAAGTGTTTCCGTCTCTATCCGCTCCCCAATTTAGTGCGGAGGCCTGCGCGCACCCACGCTCCGGCGCGCCTTTTCGAGTAAACATGGGAATAGGTTAGTAAATAGAAAAAGAAGGGAGTTATAATTAGAATTAATGCCGCAGCGTTTCCTCACCCAAACTGAACTAGCGAGGCATTAACAAGCAGCTGTTATGAGCCAAAGTGCATCCAAATGCGTCGGGATACACTTTTTGAAAGATTTACTTAAAGTCATACATGTCAGCGTGTTCTCTTATGGCATAGCAAGATAGCCACTTAATTTTGGATAGTTTTATTGTATAATACGATCGATAGAGTAACTATTTGAAACAATGGAAATTAAAATCGTTACATGCAGTAGCTGCGTCGTCCGTTTGAGATAATAAACGGTCCGTATGGACGCTATCAGCGCCCTTGTACTGCAAAGTGTGACCTCGGTCGATGTGAGACTCACGACGGAAACACATAATCCGCACCGTCCTAGCTGCATCACCAGTTAATTGGAAAGAAATCGGAACAGCCGTTATTACCTAAACAAACAGATAAAATAAAGTGGTCGATACGTAAAGACTATATTGTATAATTAAAAAAGTAATTTTCCTCGGTAGGAGTACACGTGTATAAAAGATAAGATTTAGATTTATGATCGATATTTGCAATTTATTTTTGAAATCCCAATAATTTATTTCTGTTGGAGTCGAAGTGACATCAACATGTACTTTAGTGCGAATGAATGTAAATGCGGTTTGTATGCCGTTTAGTTTTCAATTATAAATACAGCTGACTATTGAGTTTTATAACATCCGAACGATGAACCAATATAATGAAATTCTTTTTAAAAGCAAAAGAGGGTTGCGACTGTTCGCTCCGGGTTTTCCTCAAGCGTTTTAGCGAAACACAGGACGACTAAAGTGGGCCAAGGCACTGATGTGACGTCATCACTGTCGCTATTCCAGCGACCGTCATAAAGGGCTAATTGACCGCACACCACAACTAGGTCAACGACTCTTTGTTTTCAAAAGTTATTAATTTCATTTCATATTTATCACAGTGGGTCGGCTCGCAACCCGGTTCGCGGTTAACCCATTCGAATAGTGGGTTAAAACGCTTATATCTGGACACGGTATATTGTTATCTCCCGACGTTTTGTTTGGATTACCAGAAATCTGGAATGGAACAACCTGCCGGCGTCCGTCTTTCCGTCCGATTACAACGTAGATGCCTACAAGGCAAAAGTGAATAGGTGTTTACTGAGCTAGCGCGCTTACCATCAAAGACTGCATCTCCACTTACCATCAGGTGGGATGGCAATCAAGTGCTGGCCAGTTTTGTATTTTTAAAAAAATCGCGCTATGCACCATCTACATACAAACAGTTTAATACGCTCAAATTGCAGGAAACATTCGACCGAAACATTTCTTATTTGGGTCATTAACACCGTAATTACAGGAAAACGTTTTCGACGATGAATCGCATCGCGGAGACGGACGAATTGGGTCGAGTTCAGGTTATTGTGAGATAAAGGCTGAAATAACAGCGACGGGTGAGGTAACATAGTTGGGTAACGCAATGTTCGTGCGTCGGATGCGACGGACGTGCGGCACATGTGATAAGTGTCCGTTTGTAAAAGAACTTCCAGTAGATTATACCCACTAAGAACGATATGTAAAAATCTTGGGAAAGCCTTAAATTAAAAACAATTCTTAAAAGGTCCTCGTAGATTTAATTTAACCAAGAATATAGAAATAAAAATAAATAATAAGATCACTTTATCGTTAGATAACTATGACTCCAGAAACCTGTTATCATGTCGCAAAGTAACATTTAATATTTAACGCGACAGAATCCTTTAACATATTTTCATTTAAAAACATGCAATACTCGCCCTAATACAAGAAATCGTTATGTTATCGAAAATATTCGCGTAATTAGAAAAGATCATTATGATTTTTCTTTGTATCGTGTATTATTGGCCTAAAATTAATCGATGTCCCTATTAGGTAATGAGCGCGGAACGAATCGCGGCGATGTTTTGTAGTTTATTGTGCCATGCCATCCGGGAACGACGGGGTCGTTGACCGAGTATCAGTCGAGATAAGCGTGCTACGAAACGTTTATCGGCCGAGAAAGAACGCCTTTGTTTTCGACTAATTTGACGACGAACAGACCATGATTAGATTAACACAACGGCGTGTGATTTTCAAATCACGCCAAACGCGACACATTAATTATTAAAGCAATATAATGATTTTAAAGTGCAACTATTAAATGTAATACTTAGTTAGCAAAAAAAATAACCAAAAGTTAAGAACGCCTGTGCATATGCAGGTTTCGTTTGAGCGAAAACAATTATCGCGGCAGAAAATTTACAAAAACCTTTCTTGACCAGGCACGTTTCGCGCGTTTCGAACAAGAGAGCCCGTCGGTTTCAAGTACAAATAATACAGAGAAGCGGTCACACCGGCAGGGCCTCTTGCCGCGTGACCAGATCTCGGTAACGAGCAAAAACTCTAAAACGACATCCGACCGAACGGCGGCGGAAAAAACGACCGTCATCTGCTCGAACCAACGCGACGGCGACACTAGTCGCAGGCTAGATGCATTTCAATGTACAGCGATTGCAAATTGTGTTAAAACTTCGATAGGCAAGCCCGCAGGAGCTAGATTTAAACTTGTATCGACAGCAATATTACTTATGCAGCGTTATATATAGACAAGTAACGAGAATGGCACAACATTGTAGCGAGGTGTTTACGTGGAGATGCGACAGAAATAATCGGCCGAGTAGCGCATCCAGCAAACTGTGTCATGGGCTCAGCCCACGCCCGTGGAAGGTCGGTTACTACGTACTCATGGTGGACTCCATTCAGCGCGTTCTGCGCGTACTGACATATTATGTCACTCTACTGTGAGAAGTAGACCGGCTAAATTGCACGCCTTGAATTGAGATGCGTTTCAAATATATTGTAAGCTTACTGCTTGTGTTTATAAAAATAAAAAATTACATATCTGTTTCGCCCACATCTAGAAAACCTTTATTTCGTCCAACACACGAGTCATTTTCGATCTCTCCAAACGCTGATAGGCAATTCAATTGAGTGCGCAACAAACTACCTTTTTCGAGGGCTTCGCAAACAGCACGACAGTAATTGGCCGATATTTATGTTAAACGCGATCCCAACGGCGAAAGAATTCTATTTCGTGCGATGAGATGTGTTTATAACACGGGCCTTTTTACGCCTCCGCGTATTCAAGCTAAAGGATTGTAGAATAAGCGACCGATGTTAGCGAATAATCAGCGCTGTCAACTTGATGGATCGTACGGTGGTGAATAAGCAAAGACGGCAACATTTGTACCCCCTCCTCCACCCCCTCGCCCAACCCCTTCAGTCCCTCTTCCTATCCCCCATTTCGCCGCAGGTCTAAGAGCTTAGGCTGTGCTCGGTAATCACCTCTCCGAGCAGGCTCGGATGTGCAGCGGCGCATAAATGTATTGTACAGTTACGTAATATAAAACTTGTTACTCATTCGACAACGTGCGTAAGGCACGAGTTCTTGATTTTTTTTTCATTTAAGGTAGCCAGCGCAAGAGTTTCAACTTGATTTACATGCCTTATAATTTTTTTAACATAATAAACAATAAAATTACTTATTGACACGAATACAAACAAAAATAGCAAAAAAATGTTTTTAAGTGGTGAGTTTCGTGACCATGTGTAAGGTTTTGAAACATCCGAAATTTAGAATCTAAATAAAACGCGATAAAGTCCGTAAAATACTTTTGGCCTGTTAACACTGCAACCCAAAAGCAAGTATCACGTTATCAGTGCGTCTTACTCCGATTTCATATTGTAGCAATTTAAAGTGGTATGGAGTGTGATCGCTCTAGTGTAGTGTATAATATGCACGACCTTGCAATCCTCTCCTTCAAAGTGATTCTTTTTGAATCATTTTAGTGGGGATTTGTTGCCCAAGTAATAAACCCAACTCGGGTATATTGATAAGACAGTTGTTAGCTCAAGCAAGGTTTCACGTTGCTCCGGGTTTTCCAAAGTTCTTTCATTATCGAAGGCGAAGTTTTTTTGCGTCATACGACTATTGTCAAGCAGAATAAAAATCCGCTATTTGAATAGTAATCTGTGTAAATAGGCAGAACGCTCCTTGAAACCGAGCGTGGGCTATTGCGCAGTCATCAAGTCGTACATGATTGACGTTCCCATATTGACACTTGCACATATTTAAGCGTGGGAAACGCGGAAGTGGGTACTCCGACTAAATACATACATCAAACAGATGGTCTTTATGGTCTTCGGCTGAAGAATTTATTCTCGTCTGGACGTGCGCACCTCGCCAACTTTTATTTTAATTGGTAAGTCAAATTAAGTTTTCCCTTGCAAATGGTGGTGACGCAGACACTGGGAGTAAGGCATGAACCAAGCCGAACAAATACATTGTTGGCGCATTTGCAATCGTTCTCGGGCAATGATAGTCAACGTGTAGCGAGAGCAAGAGCATTCCCCAGAGCCGGGCTGACCGGTTCCAGGCGCAGGCGGTTTATGGACGGACCAGATATAAATAGATATGCCGCCAACATCCATCTTCGCTGCGTTTTAGTTTTTTAACCGCCTGGCCGCAAAATACAATACTGTGGCCGTTTTAAATCAGTTACAGAAATGTTTTTCCCTATACATAAAACGAGTCAGTAGAAGTTAAGCGCATTGGTTTCCATAAATGTATATATAAAATCGTCCAATAGATATTGTTCGCTTGCTAAATGAAGAAAATTTATGTCCGCGTAATGCCGCATGAGGCACGTATTGACAAAACCATAAAATAAAGCAATCGCCGTATCTGCCATTCAGATATGGAGTGAAGGACTGCAGCGGCCGGCACAATGAGGCGAGCCGAGTTTTAATTCTGATTGCTATCTCGAGACATTGTAGTACTAGCCGTTTGTGAGTTGTTCATCGCCGAGGGTCGGAAAATGGGGGGCTACGATGGAGTAGGCGACTAGTTCAGTTGTCCCATCGTGCCGTTCACTTTCACCGGCCGGTTAGTTCCTCGGAGCGTTCATTAAGTCGGCGCAACGACGGTGCAGCCGCAACTTAACGATAACGTCGACGCACGAGGGCACGGTTGCATAAGCCACGTGGTGACAGGAGCATTGACCCCGCAGAATGTGCCGGTATCGCTCCACTATCGAGCGTCCAGATAGAGCGAGATTATATTCGGCGATACGGCCCGTCCGCGGCCGCTACTTTTCGTTGCACTCGATCCCCTACTCTTGTCGTAGTAGCCACCCACTTACCAGTCGCGATCGTTGCATAAACGACCTCGCGCGAAGGGGGTCATTGTCACCACCGCGCAGGTAGGTCGCTGGCTGCAGGTTTGATAAGCCGCGACAAGCGAACCTCAGTCTCCTTCACAGTGTCTGTGACCCCGATGCAAATAACCCGAGGCGGTAGTACTGTAAACAACTGGCGGCGCTTGCGTCGATCGCTCGCACGCGGCCCGACTAGCAGTTGCAACTCGCGCGACCGTCGAAACGTTCTTGTTGTTTAGAATATGACTATGACGGACGATTTAGCCGGTTTATAGCCGAACGATCGTCTTATACATTTGCCAATTGGATTGTATGAATGTGGTGATCGAAATTTTATGTGTTCCGTAATTAAGTCGTTGATATTAATCGCCGCCAAGTGTACGGTTCAGCGAAACAAGTTCAAACGCGGAAACAGGTTGAACGAGTGGTTATTAGCCGAATGAACGTGCTCAAAACACGACCGTGAGGCATTGCGATACTTATGTATCTTTAGTTACAAATTGTCGGATGGCGTGCTTGCGAAACAAAGAGTTTCATTATATCGAATTGTGTTTCATAATCTCGCTGAGATTGAATGATACCGGCCGACTGCCGCTTTTATTTTGATAACTGTGCTGTAGATGCTCAAACACTACTCGAATGAAAAAAAAAATCCGTCAGCCGAATACCACTCTAATATTGAACGAGAATAATAGAGTTGAAGCGAAAACCTGCATAAAACGTTTGCACGTAGAGCGCGCATTCAGCGAGTACCAGTGTGTATTTATAATCAACAAAGTAAGGTGACCTATATGATAAGATTACTTCAACGGCACAACTACATGCGAGGCATGGCAGGTCCACGTCGATGTGTGAAATCGCTTCGGGCCCGTACAATGACATCGCCGACCTTGACTACCGCCTCGTATATCAAACGCACACACGGGCGCGAGCGGAATGCGCCCGTCACAGAGTATTTAAAGCTAGCAAATAGTGAACTGGATTTATATGTGTGCACCGTTCGCCGCGGCGCCCGTGGCCGCGTAAAAATACGCGGGGCGTTGGTCGCGCGGGGTGTATTTCAGGCCCATCTCGGGCCGCACCGATATGGAGCAGTTCAACACACGATAAGGTGGGTGCCGGCGCTATGCAGCGGTGCACGGCGATCAAGGCCGGACGCGCCGCGCCACGGTTGCGCGAAAGGAGATCGGCCAAACGCAGATGGGCTGCGAGATCAGAGGATTGGGGCACCATTGGATATGGGGATAAGGGCAAAAGTAATACCGACAAACATGTAAGGATAAATAACGGGAGAAAACCCGTAAAAATTAACAATTAAAAACAACATAGTCAGCTCTATTATAATACTATTACAATAGAGTATATGCTCAGGGAAAAATTTGTAAAAAAAAAGAGGACAGTTAACATGTTTTTATAAGTAAATGAAATTATTGGAGTATTACTGTAAAAAGATTAATAAATCGCGTTTAAACTTATACCTACAATTACAGATAAATACAAAAATTTCTTTCACATTACAACATCGTATACGCATTAATCATAAGAAAGTGACTTAATAAAACAAATGACATTTAGTGATTGTGATGAAAAATGTACGCCCATTCATTAGTTTTGCAAAAACATCCACATGACACCGCAAAAAATATTCCATTGGTAAATATCTCAGGGTTGTTAAGAGGTTCAAAATTTATTGCTCCTATATTATCTCGACAACAAACCCGCATTTCAAACTGTTATAACAATTTCAAACTATATTTACCGATCAATAAAAATACTATTAACGAAATCTACGTACGTCATACAATGAATGGTTGGATTACTTCACGCATATCAGTTCTTATCTTACTTTCATTTGAAAATTTGTCAACCCCGATATTAAGAGTGAGATGCGAACACGCACAGGTTTTAAGAAACTAGAGTTACCAATTATCTTTTCAATATCGTATCGGAAGATTTATGATCTTGATTACCTCATAATTGTGAAATAGACAGCGGAATTGTCAATAAGCCCTGACTTACAAAACGAAACTATTTAAGTTTCATATGGAGAGGATAGTTATTTTCCTTCGCGTTCAATAAATCAGATTTTACTTTTATAATACCGGTTTCTAAAATTTTATACGAAAATAACTTATTCTGTCTGACATACCTAATTCTTTAAACATAAAACAAAACTTCCCAATATGGCTATAGTAATCGTTTTTTCTACTTTTATATAAACAGGTCCTTTTTATATATTAAAACAAATTGCTTTGAAGTAAAGTAATTTTCTTCTTAACCTTACGCCCTTCAAAGACTGAATAGGAGAAAACTCGGACAGAAAATCAAGTAAAAGTATGTACAATAACGTAAATTTATGTATCCCTATAATAAGAAAAGCCATTAGCCATCTATACTTTGCAAGAGCAAAGGATAAATAATTGCCGTGTAATAAAGCGGGCAGGTGTAGGTATCTCGTTCTTTGTTTAATGGACTTCGCTATGAACAGGTTCCAGGCTTTAATACATTAACTGGTTGTCCAAAACAATAACCGACGCTCAACTGTGAGAATGAACTTAGCTGTACTCATAATCGTCTCGGCCGTTGTACTCGTTTGGAGGTCACCGTAACAACTTTTATAAGGCCTCAGTTTGGAAAACGCGGTATCGTTCTACGTGCCGTTTCGTTTCTTTAACCTTTCAATGTCCAAAAGAAAACGGACTGAATTGAAACTTTTTTGCTACATCTCATCATAGTTCATAGTCTGCGACGCAAACACAAGTGATATTAACGCAAAACAGACGTACTTTTTGGTCCAATATCAAATAAAATTTTTAGGTAAATATCCATATTTGTCTTAATATATGATATGTATTACAAACAAGGCAATTTGGTTTTTACAGGAGATTTCAAGTGATTATCATCGGCCATTAACACCAGAGGATTTAAAAACGCCTCTTTAAATTAGACGTAGGCTCCCTTATCATAAATATCACCATCTCAGCCTGTTTTAGTCCACTGTAGGACATATGCCTTACCCGCAGACTGCCACCAAGCACGATATTGAGTATCTAGCAACTGTCTAGCAACCATCGACTTCCAGCACCTCATCTAGCGAGGGGTCTTCCTACATCGCGAGGACTAATACGAAGCTGCCACTCGGGAATTTTTTCCCCCATCGGTTATAGGTTCGACGAGCAATATGGCCACATTACCTCTTCAGCTTACCAATCTTCGGAGCATCGTTGGTTGCTTTGATTCTACTGGGAATTTGTATATGCTCCATTTGGTCCCTGAATTGTATTCTACTTGATATATAATATCAATTTAAGCATCAGCTTTAATCGAAAAAGTCATTTAGATCTCTTATACAACAATAACAGGTTCTATTACATTAACTAACGGTTTAAGAACCTCAATAAATCGTAATCTAGTTAAATAATCGTCAGATCAGAATACTGAGGTATTAAAAAGGCTTTATGTTCGTGAGGTTTTTACATACAATTGACGGTACAATTTACACAACACAGTCAAACGTACACAATGCACGCGAAGCCATAACTTAGAGAGTGTGGGCAGAGTTCGATGATGGTACAATAAAACGTCTCGGGATAACAGTGTGGAGGTGGTAACAACCTCCGCACTCCTAGGACATTGTTAAGATAAATCTTATTCCAAGTCACGTATTAAGTTTTACATTTAGTATATTTCCTCGTTGTTCAACGCTTCGACTAACACCGTATTGTTTCTAAAGATCAATATTAAGTATAAAATATATACTCAATATTTAAACGTTATTCAAACACTTTGCTGAATAAATAATTCACTACACGACAAATTGAACACTACACGAAAAATTGAATTCGTAAACACGAAATACTTCTAACCTTACCGATCGGTTGTGCGCCAAGTGTACTTATAAAACAAAAACTTTGACTTACAGAATAATAGGGGGCGATGACCTTACGTTTAATTTAGATATTTTCGTATAAACTTTGAAACGGTCTACATCGGAATTAAGAGCGCCTTTTTTTATATTTCGTTCGCGTTAAGTAATTTGCATTGGACGCTCGGTAAGCAACAGGTTTACTCGAGCAGCGAACGCGCACGATTCCCCCGACTACGAAAGTCGGACCGGTCATAAGATAATAAGATGACAATTTCGACTTTGACGGCGCTCTTTCGAACAGTCACCGTTCACACAAAGGAACTGAACAACAATGCGTTTCGGGAGATATAAGCGATTCCGTTACGATCAACTATTAGAGCTGCACGGTACGAGATGCGGCCTGTATGTTTCCAGATAACTGTCTCGAAACGTGCCCAAAGATATCTACGGCGAGATAAATGAAATTATTATGAGTTATAAAAGCAAACCTTATAATAAGAACGCATTTATTTGGCACGAACATTTGACTTTTTTTTCTATTTGATCTTTTCAATTACTTGCACAGAAAGCGATATAATCAGCTTTACTATTTACTTCGCATTTATGAAATCAAAAGACTGTTTGATGAAAAATAAAAATGTCTTTAAATTTGTTGCTCAATAACATCATAAGGATTCTTACCATTGATATGTATTAAGTACTTCTAATAATATTAGTATCTTTATGTTTCCTTTGATGTACGGCGTAATGGAAAATCATGACATTCGTGACTGTATTATTAAGCTACGTATCGACTTGCATATGTAATAGCCAATTCTTATCGAAATTGTTATTGTGAATTGCGACAAATGAAATTTATTGCTTGCGCTTAGTATCAAAACGTTTAAATGGTACGTCGTATTTCCAAGACAACAATGTACACAACATCCACAATTAGGTGAGTTCTCTGGACAACCCTAAGGTCGACTGCCAGAAATTTCGTTCACATTAACTGCGATAAAAAATTTCCACAACTTTTATATCGACATCCGCGGTAGCTTAGTGTCCGAGCGCTCGCTCGGAAAATTCATGTATAAACAAGCGCGCTTCAAATCTGTAATTGTTAACAGAAATCCTATCTTGTATTCCGCGGCAAAGCGAAACGTCGCAGATTACATATTTATCATCATTATAAAAATATATACATATGTATTAGTATGTAATTTACCGACTCGGTTTTAAAATATGCCAATCCACACTGTGCCGTGTAGGCGTGATTCTCAAACAACCTCAAACAACAGTGGAGTGAGTGAGACAAATATGTAAGTGTTGTTCCTTCATCATATTTATTATCTGAAGATGTCTTCTTTTTACGTGAACGTAATTATCGTGTTTCGACGGCTTGATAGCATTCATGATCTTATAAAGTCCGTCGACTAAGATTGATTTAATATCAACACAGTATTAAATTTGTTTAGTTCAATCAATAAGGCGAAAGAAACGAACGTGTGCTATTTGCGATGCGGCGGTGCGTACACGGCGATGGATCAGAGCGCGGCGTTGAAATCGAGATTTATATCGAGCCACCATCTCGGCTCGCGGCGGACTAAGGTGGAGATAATGGAGGCTACGGCGCGGGCGCAGCGGAGCGGCACGCCTAGCCGACCGCACATCCGCCGCGACGCCTCTTCCTAGACTCGCTTCACACCTCGACTGGAGAAGAACTATGCGACGACACTATGAAGGGCCACGCCACAAATTTTTACACGACTGGGCAGGCTCTCCCGGGGAACCAGCCTCACAGAGGACCAGCGTGAAGTCGAAGTATTATGTTTTCGCGTTTCGTGTGGCGAGAGGGTAAACTGGTACCACTTTTTTTAAAAGGCGGCAACGCATCAACGGTCCTACGGATGGTACACAAGTGGACCTCCTGCTCACTTGTCAACTATTCACATTAAAAAAAAAAAAAAAACTAGCAAAATTCGCGTAAATTCATTCACTTTTGCCAGCGTATTAGGGGGAACTGTTAATCCACGTAAACAAAATCATAAAGCTTGTCTTCGGTAAGCAGTTAATAGCGTAGACCAGCTTAATGAAACCTTTGGTATCATGCAAATGCAGTCTACGTAACAGTTTTGACTCTTACATCACCCAATAATTAATTTATGGCGTGTTAATGAAAATTATTAACCTGTTTATCAATCTATACTAATGCAAAGTGCATTATCAACATTGAATCTCCACTTTTAAACGATAAAGATCATTAAAAACGTAATTAGCTTTGTTATTCTAACAAATAAGCTGTTTTAAAATTTCATTTAACCCTACATTTTAACATAAAAATTTGTAGAACCACATTTTAAATTAATTGATATTTGGAGCAGAGCATGGCGATTCCATTACTGTAATTAGAATTTGGTTTTTCTAGGCATCAGGCCATACGAAATAAAAATAACATACGTATGTTACACTATATAGTGTAATTAATAAAATTCTAGTAGTATACTTCACGTATATATAAAAGGCAACTTGCTTTTTAAAACATACAGTAAGACTAGCAAATCGTGATAATGCCTAATGAGACATGGTCGGCTATGTACCGACTACGGAGTGCCAACCTGTGCCAACGAACCCCAGAGGTCAACAATAACAACTTCGGAGATTTAAATTTAGTTCACAAGTTATCTCATTTCTAGTTCCAGCGTCTCGTAAATAAACTTCGACGGAGTGAATGATTCTTTACATTTATATTTGCGTTCCTTCGGATTTTTATCAACTTTAATAAATCCTTTGTGGTCTCTTCCAGCGTCCTTTATTGAAATCGCCGAGTTAGAAAACTGCAAGGCGTATTTAGCGACTGAATAAAAATAATTACTTTAATAAATTGTTAATTCACTGAGCGGGCTAGCTGTGTACAATACATTGTGTGACTTTTATATTTTACGTACACGCGCAGGGGTCTGACCGACCATTAGATTATCCAAAGGGTTGGCAAATCTAAGCGCTGGTAATAATGAAAATAATAGAGCCCTCGTCAATGGCTGAGCGGCAGCTGCGTTATGTTATATAGCTTACAATCTATGACACAATTCATATATCCCGGTATAACGTTTTATAGTGTTCGAAGATAATGTCTTTTGTAGTACATTCATAAGGAATGACCTAAATATTAATAACAAGGGCAAATTATTTAACGGCAAGACGCCTACTTGCGGCCATGGGTTCCAATATCGTAAGGATCAAACACATTCTCGAACATTCGTAATCGGTGTGGAGCGTCTAATACACTGCGTTTGAGACTATAGATTCAGCAAAAATGTGCTGTATCAATCATCCCTGCCTACCACTTAAGTGTCAAAAGGTTTGAGTGCTTGTTTTTTTTTTTAAATACTGATATCTTTTGTATTCAAAGACATATTGATAGATTATTAATTAAGACGAGTTAAATAATGTCCGCTTCAAACTACTGCAATAAGCAGATAAACACAAGATCGTGTTTGATTAATTTTACAAAACCAAATGTTATTAATTAGACTACGACGTGATGAAATTTTACTACAATTCATGTACTAAAAGTAGCTTGTATGTGTAGCAAACACTTGGTCCAATTTGTTATTCCTTATATAATTTATTATAACTTTATTTAAAACAGATGAAGTCATAAGCTATCGTCACTCTGCAGACTCGAGTGGGTCAGCGACCTTTTTGATTAAGGAATCATCAATCATGATCGTACCTACTCGGGAGGATATCGCATTTCACACTATTGAAACAGATATATTTTATTTATTACACATGTGTGCATATACGTATGTACGTAGAAACCGAACAAGACATATATACAACACGCCAGTTTATACGGCTGTAAAATGATCACTATGTACCATTTACTTGATTAGGATCCGTTTCAATATTATAACAAGTAAGTCTTCGTGTTACACGAATGTTACAAACTGATTAATCTCCATCAGATTACTTTTGTGCTTATGTAACTTGAATACGGCGCAGAAACTGCTATTCGAGGCTTCGTAGGCACGCAAATCAATCTCGAGCAGCCATCAGAGCACCAGACCTTCGACGGGGTCCGTAACCCGGTGGGGCGGCGTGGTGACGGCAATGCGACAATTGATGGCGACACAGCGCTGGGAACAAACGGTTTCCGTCTAAACGGACGTGGAGTATGGCCGGTAATTAGCGCTAGTGCGCGGTGCGGTCGCCTTGCCACTATTTATAATGCGAGGTGTCAAAAAACCGATGTGACCTTGGCGCCCCCGCGCGTCCGCCGTTACGTTCACCTCGGCTCAGGTGGGGCCCGCGAGGATCAAAATACGCCCTGCAGGCAGCCGAACATGACACAATTTGCCGATGCCATCACATCAAGCGATCCGCGCTCTATGGTCATATCATAGTCAAAGTCAAAATTTATTTATTCAATATTGCCTTAATTTAAGCTCTTATTGAACATCAAAAAAACTACCACTGGTTTACAGAACTTGAGCTAGGTCTACGGCTAAGGAAGAACAGGCAAGAAGCTCTGCAGTCTTGTTATATTGTTTTAATGATACATTTATACAAATTATTTTAAAAAAATCAGCAGCAGCTAGGGGACTTGCAATGGCAGAGCAAGAGTAATTTCCACACATCCTTGTCCTCAATGTATTCTTCGACATTGTAATAGGTAGGTCCATGCCACAGCTTCTATCTATCCGTTATATCTCTAATCGAGTCTAAACGAGATTCGACGATCGATAATTAGGTATCATTGTGCTGGTTTCACAATTGGTATTTAAACTATGCAGCAAATATAATAGAAATAGACAAACTGTAACATGTTAATTCTTCTCTTTTATACTTAATTTTCAACAGCACCCGCATGCACGATTAACTCTATGAAGTTATGTGTGATAGTTTTAATTCCCCATCACTTAAAGCTAATTTTATTGAAGCGTTAGGCGTTGTTGCGATGCGGGTCACCATTAAAGTATGGATTATGTTGATGTTAAGCCAGAATAAAGAAATTAGTTATCCCTGGGTGAATAAGCGCTTTGTCTATTAGAGAACCACACTCCCCTACTCCTGTTTAATTTTCTATATAAATTAGGTTTTAAATTATAGTTACATACAAGACAAAAGCCGTGATAGGTCATTGTCCTGGCGTCCGTCTTTAATTAAATTTACTCGAGCAGGCTGAGTTCGATCCCCAGTGCTGGCATTAATGAAATTGTTAATTTAAATGAGGGCAATCCGCAGTGGTGAGCCACTGCGAATTGCCCTTATATCCTCTTTACAGTGGAGGCCTTTGCCCAGCAGTGGGACATTTATAGACTGTTACTTTACTTTAGAGGGCAATCAAAACTTGAAAGATTACGTAATCTGGTTTTATTCAAAACATTAAATAAAATATACCGAACTAAATGAGGTCGTCATGGCCGTAGTTGGTTTTATTTTTATACGCACAGAAACCACCATGATAGAGTACAGTCCATCAAATCCAAACTACAAATGAAATAGAGTAATGTAACAAGTGTGTGGCAAGTGAAAAAACAGAGTACATTATTGATGTACAGTGACTAAAAAAAACCAGCTACGCTATATATGTCTTTCTTTTGAAATACTGTTTTACAAGACTTAAGATTTACTTTTCCATTTAACTGATTGAACATATTGATTCAGATAGCTTTTCCCAAAGCTTATTAGATCTAAAAGATTTTTTTTCTTCGATTTTACAACATACATAGTTTATATCATACAAGACATAGTTATTACTAATAGTGTAACTAAAATTTATCTCTTACGACTCTCAATATGTATTTTTATATGCTGTTGATGACATAATTTGCTTAAATTATTTATGAAAATTTCCTAGCGCACGTGTGTAAAGTTATTTCTTCTACTATTAAATTAGTCTTATCTTTACTTATTTTACTTATTTTACTTATTTATCCCACGTGGCTTACGAATCGCTGTTTTTATTCTAAGAAATAGAGTACCGTATCTGAATTTAATGAAACAATTAGTCAATTACGGAGTGCGTAGAACGCGAATGCACCGCTTGGCCGCACTAGATGAAAGTTGTGAACCGAGAGATCAGAGAGCTGACACTTTTACATCACTGTTATATCAGCGCTAATTGCGCGGGAAATGTAATCAGAAAAACATCCATGTCATCGTTATGACGACCAGAATGTCGTAGTTAGTGGCTGTGGGTTCGATCCCCACTACTGGAAAAATATTGTGTGATGAACATAGTTTTTTTTAAATATCTGGGTGTTTATATATGAATAATATGTATTTATTTACAAAATAAAAGTTTGTTTAAGTATGCTTATCAGTCATCTAGTACCCATAGTATAAGCATTGCTTGGTCTGGGATTAGAGAACGTTTTGGAAAAATCTGTCCTAAAAATATTTATTTATTTAGCAAATTGCGATCTCCTGAATTATTATATCGATTAGATTAGGCGTGGCGTCCAATCGACTTCATATTGGTCAGCGAAAAAAAATAAGTCAGCCCATTGTTAACAGACATTCAAACATCTGGAAAGATCTGTGTGTACACTTATTAGAATTGCGTGGCCCTTATTAAACATTTTTATATGAACAAAATACCCAGTATATATGTATTGAAAACGACACGTACTATTTATGCTTTCCGTATCTCTATGTTAAAATTGTTATTTGTTTAGGAGAAACTACTCGAAACCAAAGTAATATTCTTAATAAAAGTGAACAGTTGGCCGCAAAGTCAAGAGCACGACCAGTGGCGGCGGCGAGGAGATAGTCTGATGGAAATTAACTTTGAATAAGGAGAGTCAAGTTTGCAACTTGGAATTACATGCAATTTATGGTAACAAAGAAACTCTATTCTTTAATATAAACCGTAATGCATACGTGATAGTATGTCAGTTTTTAAAATTAAGAAAAAATTAAAAAATCGATAGCAAAATCCGTATTATATAGTATATATTTTTACCATTCAAATAAGTAATAATCTTTTGTCTACAGGAAATTAAAAAAAACACGTAACGCATTAGGTGTTTGATTCATATTCATCTTTAGCGGATATTACGTACAATACATTTTAAATTGTAACACATTTTATTTGGTATTGAGCGTATTGTGAGTTAGGTAACACATAATTTCATAAATTATCATATTTTACACTTATCGTTTTAATTACAAAGAGATCGCCGCAACAAAATTGCCGTTCGAATACAAATACGCGCTATTTATAAAACATAAACGGTAAAATGAAATAAAGGTGAGCTAATTTTCGTATGTTGACTTTTTATAATGAACACGTCGGGACCAGCACGTCGTTACCTTCTCGGGTACATATATCATGCATTGGGCTTGTCAGCCGATGCGATTTACCATCAGAAGTGGTCTCTTAAACCGGTCGGACCGGCGCGCCGGTCTCTTCGTCGAAACTGTTGCATCCAGCAGCCTTAAAATTGTTTATGCCGTATTACTTTACATGGTCCACTGTCTACCATAAATGGAGACGAATCCAGGTGTTCGCTTAAAGTCGACGCCTTGAGACTTTACCTATGAAATGATTTCACTTGAAACACTTGCATATGATAGACGTAAATTGTTTCAATCGTAATTAGTAATATAAAATTGCGAATATTTCTCCAAGAGCTTATTTTAAGTAATGTTAATTCCACTGTTTACGGAACTGCAAACTTATAATGGACAATAGCTCAAAGTACACATCAATTTCTCAGAGTTTATTTTTGGGTGGTAATGCACAAAAGAAAAGAATTGTGGTGCTGACAAAAACGTCAATCAAGTAATCCTACGCGTCATGCGAACAAAAAGATCCTCCTTTCTTATTATAACATACACGGAAAGAGAACAATAGCATTGATGATGGCCGCGACAATCACGAAGATATTAATTTGCTAATTTGTACCGATATCAAATTCTCTTTTCATGGTAAAAATAGACGAAACTATTCAACGGTTGACGGTTCATAGAAGGGAGCGGACTTGAGCCCCTCATGACGCGCCTTCCATCGCCCACCCCCGACGCCAGATGATAGATTACGTATTGTGCTCTTCTGGAAACGTACGTCACGATAAGTGTTTGGAAGCATTCGACCCCATAATGCGTGGCTATTTTTATAACGTTGGTACTCGGCGAGGATTTTGACAAGGCTCCCTATCATTTATAAATTCGCAGAAGACATATACATTACTTTATAAACAAGTAATTGCCTAATATACTTCTTCAAATTGTCAATAACGAAATATATAAAAAAATAACCGGATAAAATTAATGAAATACTTGAAAAACAAATTATAGAGTTGATCACCCATATTAAATTATAGTGTAAACGTTGTTAAATTGACAAACTTAACTGGTTGTGTTAGTTTCTTAAATTTCCGGACGGGAAGTTCTAATAAATTTTCCACCGTTACCTTGAACGTGTACGTCGCGATAAGAATTACTCATTCGATGGTGTTCCTCCCACATTGTATTTGTGTTACTGGGTAGTCATTTAGCGGCCACTAATCAAACATAAACTAGGGCATTATTTACTAATAATATATAAGATCATAGAATATCTACAATACGCTTGCTGAGCTCAGGACATATGACAATAAATTTGGTTCAATAAAATTTACATGCTTTATTCGCATTGAATATAAGCACTTAATGTAAGCACAGTTATTTTAAGTCAATTTTAAGACCTTGTCAAGATTTTTAAAGAGACTGATGCTGTGGTAGTACGAATAGGTGACGTATTTTTAACCGCCAGTCGCCCACAGACGATCTGTCATTCCAAAGATTAGTCACACTTAACAAACACGCACGAAGGACATGAGTTAACTGCGTTGTTGCCGGTAAAGAGGGGTGCATCATAATGGTTTCTCAAAAAATATTTATGGTTTCTAACATACTACCAATTTTACTGTCCGATTAAACGAATATGGAGCATATTGTTTTAATTAAATTCTCTAAATTCGGATAACAAAATCTGAAAATTGAAGTTTTCCCTAATAGAAGTTCACAAGTCAACGTTTAATCTAGTTTCTGCAACTATCAGCAAAAATGAGGCGGGACAGACACCAAAGAAACAATTATAAGTAAATTAGTTCAAATTTCGCAAAACAAAAGTAGGTAAACAAAACGTTTATAACAATTGTGTGTATTGTGAACGGGGCAAGGAGACATCGGCCCGCGTCGCCCGGTCAAGGTATCCGGGCCAAAGGTCGATGACAGCGCCGCATCGCCTCTCGGCCTCTACACTACAACACCGGCTACAACTTGCCGCCAAATTATATGTAAACAAATAAGAATCAAATGCTGATAAAAATCCGTGAGCACGGCGAGTCAAGATTGCATCTTAGTGAAACCATTTACGAAACATTAAAACCAAACAGCCACAGTCTGATTCAGCTCAATCCAAAAAATGCGTGACTTTCAATCAATAAACAAGGGTCTTAAGAGATGTAAATCGAGCCATCCTTGATTGAGTACTTGCAAAACAAAATTGATTACGGGTTATAGTCAAAAATCCAAGACTAACCTGATGATATGGATTCGTTTTCTGATTTTGGCGTCGTTGGTGGCATAGGCAATGGCATGGAAGGCAGCGGTTGCGTTGGTGGTTGCTGTTGTTGCTGCATATTGCAAGTATTGCCAAGCAACGATTGTGCCGTATTGTAGGTGATTCCATCGTCGTATCCCCATAGCTCAAGCCCCCCATATTCGGGAGAGGCTAGTGACTCTGGCGACATAACCATAGCCGGCGGCAGACCCAAGGCAGATGATGAAGTCACTTCGGACGAACTCTCCTCAAGCATTCGCAGCGAATGGAAGCCTCCGTTATTAGACCAGCGGCGTCTCATGTCGATGAGCGCGTTACACGCACCCCAAACCTCGATCGACGACGGACATCCTCTGGTACTCCTAACACTTCACTTTTGCCTCGCACTGAACTATCAATAAGCTATACTAGCGACATCCACTCGTCTACGCGGCGTCGAAACCGAATCGAATTGTTTCTCACAGTTTCAATAGTTTCACTGAATAAGATTAGGAATGTGGCAATAAATATATATTTATAGACACAACACAATACGTGCAACAGGTTAGATGAGCGTTACTTTACACAACTTTGTCCGATTATGTTTGTGAGGTTACCGCGTACGACTTGCGACAAGAAATCAAGCACGTTGCGCGCGCGCGACCGTCGTCAACGGAGTACATAGAGCGAGCGAACAAGCGACGCGGCCGCTCTCACTGCCACGGTCGAGCGTGACGTCACGCCTCCCGCCCCGCCCCCGTCGCCCCGTCTCCGCTCCGCGCAGCCGTGGCACAGAAAGTCAAGTCACCGGCGACATAATGTAGCGCGCCGATAACACCCTTGGTGAAATTTATGAAGCGGCTCTACTTGCTTTATCAAATCAACTTTGCTGCCTGTTACGCAACTTTTGAACTTGAGAAAGTATTTTGTCTTTCGACTGCTGATGTCTAGGATGAACGATGACGACGTCGGATGAATTTCTTTCTCGCGTATTTTATTAATTATGAAATGTTCTTATTTAAGCAAACTGTTCTTTGTATCAAATAAAATAAAGCGTGTGAATTGATTTTTAATTAAGTACAGTTCATAACAATAAATTTAATACATTTTTAAAATAAATATTTTATTACTTCTTGCTAGTTACTTTATTGCATTTTTTTTAAATTAACTTTTGAAACTTCTGAACTAAAAATATAAATATTAGAATAAATTTTATAATCATAAACGTGAAGGAAAAAATCCTCCACGTTATCAAACATCGTAGTCGAAAAATCTGCGACACTGACACATGACACGCTTGTCCTCCGAGAGATATTAGCACGACGACCTACATGGCTACATTGAAATTAGGTTATCTCCCTTGTCGACAGATAGGTGCAATTGTCTTTAACTCACTCAGCGTCAAATTCTACTTTCATTAATATATTTCGTTTATAGCATATTCTATATGCTTTTGAATTTCCATGAGTGTTTTTGTTAGTATTAGTCGACATTAAAATATTTTTTTGTTTATACATATTTCATAAAAACCTTTTAGTAAGTCATACTCTTTTATGCACAACAAATATTTGGTACTTTTGAACGGGTTTCACTGAACAAATCGTAGAAAGTTGTGTATTCAGAAGAGACGTAAGGAACCTTTTCACGTGTTATGTCACAATTCTAAATATTCTATGTCCATGTAAATTATGATTACAAACGGGGGCCATACGGCATGCTGCTCAATCTCGTCAAAGCTTTTTTAGTTTTCTTTTGTAACGATTTTTATATTTATCTGTCTTTTCTTTCTATCATACAGCGATACAATTTTTGAAAAATATGCAAAACGTTAAATTTTGTCAAATAAACCTTATTAAAAAAGAATATAAAATACGTAAAATTGTTAATTTTAGGTAGTTCATAGCTCGATTTTGATATGATCTATGGTCACGGGAAAGAGTGAAGAATTCGGATAAAATTAAAGAAATCATAACGTTATTGGCTTCGTTTCCATCTCTCAAAACGCTTATTGTTTCTTTATCAGAATTGTAGGATACTTAACTATTTACATCTATGCCTATAAGCACAAATATGGTTTAACCGGAAAAAAACTTAAATTTAACGTGGTTTAGTAACGAGGTGTTTTAGCGAGGCGATGTTTTGAGGCATTTTTGGCATCGTTGCACGGGGCATTGTTAATGTTTTGCGCTGTGTCGAAAATGACGAATAGATTAGATTAGACAGTTGCGCGGGGCGGATTTATGCTCGCCGAGCGCAGAATCTCGTCATCAAGCGTCACGTGTTCGCGGAGCGTTGACCCTTCAGTGTTTTGGAAACGCACTCGTGTACACGCTCGTCGCTTCCGTATCGCAGGCAACATAACTATTTATCGGCAGATTAAAATCCGGTGTGACGTAAAGAAAAACAACGATTTAATTCAGCGCCAGCCGAACGCTTCTCACGTGGGTGTTGCGATTTTTACGTTTGACAGAATAGTTTATTCACACGATTTATTTATTTCACACGTTCCTACGTATCCTAAATTGCTGTAGTGAGTTAATTAGAGATTTAAATGTATGATAAATCGGTGCCATCCCGCATAATATTAAACTACTTGGAAGTCAGTGAACGATGAAAGAAAACAACTGATGGCGACGCCTCTGCAATACGACTTGTTTTTCTGTTAATATTCGTGAATTGACGAATATGACGAATGAACAGAATTAGAGCTTGTAATTGAAAGAATGCTGCTTAGCGAATTTCATTTTATTACGGCGAGTATCAAGATGTCTAAATTATTTCCAGATGTCTTAATTATGAAAAAGTCATCAGTACGAGAAATGAAATCGTACTAAGAAATATAATGCCCAATTATTAGGTTTTTAGTATGTTCTGTAGACTAACCACTAAGGGCAAATCTCTCTGGGCGCGAATATGGAAAACGTGGATTCGATTCCCGCAACAACCATAAAGTTTTCGACCATTTTTTCACAATATTTGTATTTTTTCAAATCCTCTTTCCTAATTTTGCAACCCTTCGCCCTTTCTCATATTCAAAACTCATTAATTCTAGACCCCCCTGATTGTAATACATTACATCAGGTTATTCAGCATTATCGGTGAAACAGATTGGAGCACGTACCGCGTGCTCCAATCTATTTCACCGATCACACAAGTCAATCGCTATTAATATCAGGCTATCCTAAAACTTAATAAAATTATATTCAGTAGTTTAAACAAATTTAAAACATTTAGACTTAAAATGTATTTCTTAGTTTACCTAAAAATTAATTTTGTTAAGTTTAGAATTTAAACTGGCGTCTACTACCACCTATTTTTTTTCTTTATACATAAGTCATTGATGTGGCACCATTTGCGCCTTTTTCAGTAATTTAAGTATCTTAGAAAGTCTTATTTATTAAATATTTTTTTTATTATAAATATTCTTGAAAGATTTGAAACAAAGTTTTTGCTGCTTTTACATTACGGCTTGCTCTTTTTAAAGGATTGTTGAAGATTTTTTTAAAAGATTCTTTGAGTTACCAGGACGCTACGATATTTAAATAGTGCTTTTACTCTTAAAGGTTAGGAAAGTATCCGCAGCATCACGGCTATCGAGTCTATTCTGGAAGGTGATAATTCCAAACCAATTAAGCACAAGTTGCCATTGATGATATGCGCTATTAGGGAAGAATGGTTCTCGAGTGGCAGCCTCGTATTATTAGAGTATAGAACAACGACTAGTTGAAGTACGAATGTGCGTGTGGATGGCTCAGGATCGTGGTTCGAGGCGAGGCTCATCTCCAGCAGTGGACTATTTACAGGCTGAAATGATGATCGTGATGATGCTATTTATTGTTTTTACCACATAACTATATAAAAGTTTTACTTTATCTTTATAGAGAATGAGCTTATATGTAACGTTTTCTGGTAATTCGTTGGTGACGCTTGCGTAGTCAGTACGTCGAATGCATACCTAATGAACGAAATAAATTGGTTTTAGGAAACGGAGAAATCGATGTTTTTATTGCAGCTAACGCTATTCGTTGGTCGTTATTGGATGTACTGTGACCCGGTACTTATCAATTATTCAAGGTCACAATTGATAGATTAACAAACGGAACGTTTTGTTAAATGGCGAATAATAAAGAGTCACAATCTATACATTAACACTTGAAGTGAAACTTCGAATCACTTTTTAAGAATATTGCACTTACCGTCAAGCACAAGATTTGCCATAATTAAAGTTTATATTAACAAGAAGAGCAACACGAATTTCAACCAACGCAACTACTAGCTTATATTCAAGTAAGAGCTGCATATCAAAACTTTTAAAATATATTGTCCATGAAAATACGCCATCACCTATCTTTTGCGAATATTGTTATTTATGTGTAAACGATTGTGAATATGTACTATTAATTGAACTATAATTAATGATCTATCGTTAAGTATTGATTAATTTCCCTTTCACTTACACTTACTAGGTTAGATGGACGATTAAATAAAATAAGAATTAGTTTATGATTGTACCTGTTTATTTCAATCACCTCTCCAATAATAAGTAGTTTATTACCTGAAACAAACATCAGATTTAATTAGACCAATTTCATAAAATTTATGTATTCCTAGAATTACTCAATATAGGAATTTTCCCTTAATATAAAAAGAGTGAGTGAGCGAGTGTGATTTGCAAAGGATCTTTGCGACTAAAGCGTTGCTTTCTCGGTAGAGCGCACTTCGCATAATCCAGCCGAGTCGAGAGGGCTCCGTGTTGGTAGAGGCCGGCTTCGACATGGCCCACGTCCGTGCACGGCCGGGTCGTCAGCGTCGTCGTGTTTTACTAGATGTGCAGGCGAATAAAAAAGTGGCCGCGGCGGAATGGTCCGCTGAAGCGCAATTAAGACCAAGGTCTCCGGGTTATCAAACCCGCGTCGGCGACGCCTCGTAGCCGTCGCAAAAAATGTAGCGAATAATGAAGTCGATGGTATTAAAAGATAATGGCGGGGTTAATACGCCGGCTGCATTGCCTTAACAGCCGCATGGTACCGGCTAGTCGCCCTTTGCTAGCGTCACAAAAGACGCGGGAGTTAATATCTAAAAATAATTGTTCGCACACCTTATTCCATTTGTTGCGTCCGATGGCATTTAAAGGAACAAGTCCCAAGGCTTTCGTCGCGGCTAGAGTGCGGTTTTACTGTCGTTAAAAGGAATCATATTATTCTTATAATTTACTTCGGTCTATTAAATTGCTGTTATATAGGATAGCGCAAAACAGGTTCCCTCGCTTGTCCTAGGCGTTATGGAAGACGTATCTAAGTTATAACGTAGAAACTGCGGACTTACAATAAACGAAATTTATAACGGGGAGTCATTGTTTGTGTAAGTTAACGCTCTATGTTAAATTATTTGTTGATACTTCATTTGCTCGAGAGAAGGACCATCCAAAAATATTTGCATAACTTTACACAATTTTCTTCCACTGTTCTATCGAACTGATAAAGGTGAAAAAACAACAAAGGGCGTAGTAGAGGATGGAAATTCCAGCGCAATAGTGGGTCAGTGAATGGTTCTGGCTAGAAGCCATGCTCAGTCAGGAGGAAGTCAAGGCTACGTTGCATCCATTGCATACGCAATGCCAGAATCCTGTTCGTTGACTCCTATGCACTTGACAGTCACTGATGTCATTCGCAACAATGTGACCCGCAAAGCAACCGCGTTACGGTTCCTCGTTGCCGGAACACATAATGCAGCCTAGACAATGTTATCTAATGTTAGTTGATCGTAGTCTTTGAGGGCAAAGCTTTAGACTTGCTTTCGCTTGAAGGCCGTCTGTTAGTTCGCTAGGCGTTTGTATGCACTATCGCGAATACTGCAGTCTGACGGCCATGAAGCTTTAGCTCTAACTGAAGTTGACGTAAAGGTGGTTTTAGCTGTTGCAACAGATCCGCATAGTCCTCTTTAGAGGTGAGTATTAATGCTATCATTTACGTGATGTAACTATCGAGTCGGAACAAAGATATTGGAATACGATCGAATGATGTCGGACGATTTTAATGTATTGTGCTATTGCATATTAAAGAAGAAATTTTTTACTAAATTAAATGTGATAATAGTCAGTTGTCGATAAAATATTTTATAAGTAATAGGGGAATCAATTAAATCACATATATATGAAACACGGGAGGTAGTAGACACCACCACCCTTGCCTACCAACAGCAACAGCAACCGACTAATAGTTAATCATGACCTCCAGAATCAAAGGGCGCGACGAAGTAGAAGTGAAATGAAATGCACATGAGATATGGACGGATAGTTGTGAAATTCCCCTGAATATTGAGCAGACGATTTATTTGATGCTAAAAGATGACCGTCCATGGACATCTACAACATGTGGAGGTGCCTTTGAGTCGCCAAACTTAAAGCAGGTCAGCTGCGGTTGTCACACAACAGAAGAAACATAAATTGTTACAAATAAATACCGACCACTAATCTAAAGAAATATGTATATGCCTACTGTGTTGTTTAGGAAAGTTAAATTTAAACTAAAAATTTTGTTAGACATTTAACTTAAGGATATTTCCACATTATCCTATTAAGTAACATTGGAATCACTATAACAGCCATTTTTAATAACACGATGTTGTACGAAAAGCATTAATCATGATTAAAGTTAGCGGAATGTAATAATTGGAGCCGGCAGTGCTTTATGGTCTTATTTACGAGTTTTCCTGCGAGAACTTTTTTTTTTCGCGAGGAAACAAACTTAATGTAAAATATGACGTTTGTTTTATAGGGAGTTTATGTTGCGCTCTTTATTGCCGGCCTGTGTAAACAACCAGGCGCCGAATTGACAGGAAATTACAACCAACGCACTCTCGACAAAATTACAGCTATATATATCAACGAAACAGGTAATTAGTTTAGTAACATCAGACGTTTTCCGTTAGGCCAATAAATCTTTTTATATTCGTGTCATTCTTTATTCCGATTTGAGCAAAACGCACATTACGAATTATTAATCTCCGCTTGCAAATATTGTACGGTTATATTAGGTAATTTAATATTTTCATATTTTAATAATAAATAAGTACCTGGAGGATCGAGCTTTACTCGGTTTTTTTTGTAAATCATGTATTTTGGAAATAAAAAAAATAAAAAATAAAGAAAGCAATGATCTGGTACAGAAAAAAAAGTAAAAAAAATAAGTGTGTAAATGATCGTGATACGAACCGCGGCTGTCTGTTGTGGGGCCGCCCGATTACCGACCGAGTTATTATAACATTTTTTTTTGCGGCGTAATTTACCGTCATTTTCGAATGATATTAAGAATCGCTCGTTTAAAGGATAATCGTTTAAAATATCTTTATTCACATAGACGCTTGCGCGTTCTTATGAAACGTCAAAATTTTACAAAGAAATTATCACGTTCGTAAGTACCAGTTTATTGTGAAACAGTACAATATCAATTTCTACAATTATTAACACTATGTTATTATGTAAATAAAAATTTTACGAGATAAACATTTTATTAAAATTTCCGACTTATATCATACGTCTTAATTACACTTAACCTAGCCTACCGACAACTTTTTGGTTATTTCATTAAGCCCGATTTTTGTAGAATAATGTAACTTAAATCTGCTCGATTACTCACAATTACATTTTTGCTCAGTGATTATAGAAACGTGATATAAGATAGAACTCAACACAAAAAGATCCGCAAATTGTAGATTTCCTTTAACGATGTCATTTTGAACCGACTTCAAAATAGGAGGAGGTTCTCAATTCCATTTTATTTTTTTATTTCTGTTACCTCCGAACTCTGTCCTTTATGAACGGATTTTAAAAGAATTACGTAAGGTTAGCTTTGGCTCCAATGTATTGGACCTTGGAGTCTAGAGATAGATCAGAGACTCTTCAAAATCAAATGTATATGGAGTGAAATACTCGTATATGAAGTCGGTTTTATTTTTCGTTACTACTTTCATTGTGCGAGTACAAGAAATCGTATTACGGTGAAATAGGTCAGAGGAGGTGGTGCGGGCGGCCTGCATAGACCGTTGCGCGCGTGATCTGCCTTAGAATGCGCCAGTTGCATAACGCATTGTCCACGCTATAGGGTAGTGATGACACAAGTGGTGGAAAACGGCGCATTCTGTTACCATGGGACGTTGTAAACACAAGTCAATAAATGCTACTACTTCCATACGCGAAACGCAGTCTAACAAATGTTAAAGACATATTTTTGAATGCACATTATGGTTTATAACTACAAATTGCCTTTTGTCAAGTTTACTGCGTAACTGTAATGGAAAATTCGTTATTTATGATCTAGTTTTGCGGATCTGTCTTAAAACCTTTGAGGTTTTTTTATTACGAAATATTTATATGTAAAGGATAAAAATAGGCTGATGGGAAAGTCAACTGCGCGTTATAAAATAATCACTGCAACATTTTAATAGTTTTTAGTTACAAAGGGAACTCGCCGTGCCTAACGAAAATAGGAAGAAACTAATTTACATTAAAAATTAGATTTCAGGTGGGTGTTCTGAGTAATTTCTCATGATCACGGCGGAACAATAAGAAGACGATGTATTTTTATTTTTAAAGAAAAGTATCTATTTATTTCTTGGAGATGACACCATGTCGGATGACGGTGGAGACGTTGACTCCAGCTAGGAAAGGGGGAATTTGCCAAAAAGCAAAAGTGTGTTTATTATAGGAACAGATTGACAGCCTGCCTCGTCCACAGTTTCCTTGCCAACTTTGCCATCGGACAAGATAATAACGCGATGTTTAATTTGAACGAGAAACATGTGCGGAGGATTTTTTTTTTTTCGAAATTTTCAGCAGCAAGTCGTAATTTTTATCTCGATCGTTGATCGGCCCGCATCTGTTGAAGGATGACTAATTACCCCGGCGATTAATAATAACTTATAATATTCTGACAAACGACGACGTGGGCGCTATATTTAACGGAATTGTTTATTACACGCCCCGAAAGATGCACGAAATCGGTGGTAACGTTTATATTGTGTATGGGAAAACTAGCATCTAAACCATATTTAATAAACTTCCGTGATCCTGAGGTAAGATGGAGGAATTAATTTGTATAGGCATAGTAATTGCACAGTGCATTAGACATCCAGTCGTACCGCAGCGAATAACATTGGTAGCAGTACAAATTGACGATAATTACAACTAACTGCAGCTCACGGTCATGGCCAATAAGCAACAATAAGTACAATGGAAGGTCTGGGATTTAACAATATGGTTTGGAAGTCAATCTCGTGTCATTTTTCGACCTATATTTTCTAAATAAAGAGTTATTCGTTTATCGGTGTTACATAAAAAAACAGTCGAACCTTAGTTGCATTACAACACCTTCATTGTAATAAATATATAAATGAGTTTAAAATTTTGCAATAAAAACTAAATACAATTTATATTGTACAAGGTGACGAATATTGATATTTAATGTCGTTCGCGATTGGTCGTTCAACATTTTTGTATCGAACTCATTCCCAGAAATAATCCTCTAGTGTATGTAGTATTCACTTGGCGAAATTCGCATAGCCCATTATGGTGATTGCCAACGCATCGTTTACCGGTGCTTGAACGCGCACTTGTGTCCTAGATGCAATTCTGGACATCCGCCAAGCCTTGGTCTAGGCATGAATTAGGAGATATTTTCAGTTATCCAGATTTATTAGAAGGCGTTCCTTGAGCCTAATTTTGTAGATCACTTCGTAAAGGTAACCTAACCTAACAAATATTGTAAAAAATAAAGAGAAGTTTATATTATAAGAAGCATTTGCAAATCATTTAAATGGTGAAAAAATTATAAAACACGGGTATGACAGAAGTTGTATTTTTATCCACTGTTTGCACGTGGAAGTTAACCACACGGAAATAGTTATATATCAAGTTAAATACGTACAATATACCAAAGATCGTTATTTTATATATACAGAAAGCCATATCTTAGCTGGGATCAGGATTAAGGCGGAGCAACATGGGTACTACGGTATGGAATCTTAATATACACGTCGCAATATCGAATGCTTTAAAGTCACGTAGAAGTGGGTGCATAAAGAGCCCTTAATTTACGGTAATAAAATACCTAGGCGTAGCACCGAAGAATATGAAAATAGTTTTGTTTAAATACAAGTCTCGTATTACAGGGGCTGGTTCTCGTCGAACGCGGCTCGGGTCACGGGCAGTCCTACTATATTTAATTTATGGCGTCGTAACTCGCGCCCGTGATTGGCGGTGTGCGTGGCCGGCCACATTACCACCAGCTCTATTGTTCCTGCTAGGAGTTACAGCAGAACGGCAGCATTCAGGCGAACGTCCACCAACTCGCACGTGCGCTTTGCACTTACACCTATAAAAATTATTTCACCGGTGTAAAATAAAAAACACGTTGGGCCTTTAACTGTATTGCTCATTCGCCAAGACTGAAATTGCCACGCGAATATTTTAATGTAAAAATCACCGATCAGAAGGGGAATCGACGTTGACTGGACAGCAATTTATTGGCGAAGCGGGCGAATGAAAGAGACTTGTAATTAAGATGGCCATAAACAATGTAGAGACGCAACCTTCTGACTTTTTACTTATTGAACATAATCGATAATGACTCAGTCGATGTTGCAACGCAACACCCAGTGGTCAAAGCTTTATCGTGCTTTCAATAAATTTTGCAAAAGATCTTAAAAATGTGGAACCAAGAAGATTAGAATAGCTCGGAAAAGAAGAAGATACTCGTACAGCTATCGATAATGCCTGTTCATATAAGGTGCAATTTAGCTATCGTCTTTACCAAAACGAAACGAAAAAATCCAAAATACCATTAATATTTATAGCAAGCTATGGATAAAGTATGGAATGTTGATTTCAATGGTATTTCTATATCGACGCAGCGGAGTGATTAATATCATAAGGCGAAATTTAAAATGGCACATCTAGTCTCCAGGACCTATCAGTGCCATTTTTTTTTATATTATCCACCATTAAGCCTGACATTTCAACGACCACCAGCATCATAATTACAGCCGGTAAAAATACTTTTTTTGTCTGCCGTCTGCCCTCTTCATTACACGTGTCATGTTCTTTCTGTTCAGCATAAGATGGTAGATTAGGCGCAATAAAAGTTATACGATTACGTTTTAAACCGTTTAAAGTGGAGAAGCTTAAACGTGTTAAAGTGTTTCTGAGAATACAACTTACGGAGATGCGCAATCATAAGACTCAAAGCTAGTTAAGTTAGAAGTTATATTAGAGTTCCACTGACACTTTAAACACAAAATAAACGTGTAAATGAGGTGAGTCAAAATATTAAATTATATAAATTTAATATGTGGACCATTTGGAAATTACAACTAATAATGAATTAAAGATTGAAGCTATGACATGAATGTGATTTGTGTAAGCCAATCTTTTTGTTGATTGATTGGCTTTTCAGCATAAAATTAAATAGTAGGCAAAATATACACACTAACGAATAATTGTAATTTTAAAGTAAGGTAAGATAATAAAGAACAGTTAAAAAATTACACCCAAAGATGACTAGCATTTTTTTCATGGATGTCGTAAGTCTTTTCGAAATGATCTACTAAAATAGTTTATCGAAGTAGAGAAATCATGAAATAAATGTTATCTTGCATTTTCAATTCATTACAGTTGAACCATTGCCAAGAGCAGCAAAATCTTATGGTGTTATTGACCCATACGTTGCATATCACAATGAGCATATCATAGCGTGCATATCACAATATGAGTAAGAGCAAGAGAGAATTGTTGATTTTGTGTTAAATAACTATCAATGAATACAGCGATAAACAATATCCATGGTCACAAGTTTTATTTTTGTAAGACGTACCGACATAGAGCATGAAAATAGAGTATTCGGCGTCGTTCAGCGTTCGAGTTCAGAAAATAGAATGTTCCTACCGTTTGCCGGAAGTGCTCTTGACATCTATCAATCACAGCTTCTTCGGGTGCAACTAGAGCTAACACAGTGCGTTGTAAAACGCCATGTTGTGTTTCCGTGATTGTAAATCATTAGATTTATGCATTTGTTATTGCTTTGTACTAAAATATGTCACTTCTCTGGCGCGAAACTGCTTTCGTAATATGAGGTACCCTTCCAATTTTCCCCAAATGATTATTGCACTCGAATATTAATAGTGTATTGTTTATTATATTTTAGGGTGTTATTTAAGAAATAATTATAAATCATTCGAATAATGTTTTCAATTAATAAATTAATTATATTATCTGATAAGCATGTTAAGACGCATAAACACTTGAGAGCCTTTTGATTTTTGTAAAAATTACTGCCGTTTTATTTTTGGTTCTTTGTTTCCTACTAAGCGTGACATGTGATATTTCCCTATCATATGAATCATCGATAGAATGCTTTTAAAAATAAAGTGTCATTTAGAAGCAATGCCTTCTTACGGCTTTAATGTTAATAACACATTCTTAAACGGCGTGCAGTGAAGACAAGACGGGGCGGCGCATTAAATTTTATCTGTGGAATGCGCGTAGTGTACATAATCGGCGTGTAACTGTGACGGCATTGGCTCACGCTCTAGCCATGAACGGTCTAGTTATCCGTCGTCCTGCACCGCCCGTCGTGCCCTTGAGATAATAATGTTTGTCGAGTGTCTCGGCCAATTGCGTAACCCAATATGCTGGCGTTCGCCAACAACCAGGTGTCTCACACCGCAGCCGGCGGGGTCGAAGCGAAAATGTCGCCGATAATTATATCCGTCGTGAGCGATTCCTTTATTAACGTGCGCTCATCTCTAAATCGGCTAAATTCCGAGGACAAAATTGAGTGACTTCAAATGGAAGAATCTTCTAGACACCCCCAAACAATTGGATCTCAGTCCGATTTTGCCCAAGTTACCAAATAAGTTACTAAAGAATTAAACGAAAAAAAAAAATTTTAGGGGTTATGTCTGTGTCGGGATGATTGCCAACATTTTGTTGTACCTACATTCCTTGCATGGGCGGATGGGACCCACTGTTGGCACGAGCTTGTTTCTTAGGTTTGCGGTTCCATCAAATCGCAAGTTGAGGTCTTTCAACTCGATGTTGGTAAAACCCACAACTTTAAAGTGCGGCGTTCAGTCCTTTCGAAATGTTATTTCGTATAGAAGTTAAGTTTCATAACTTAATATACCTCATATGGGTGGTAGGAATGATTTATAGTTAATTATTCAAAATATTCTTGAATGTTGCATTGAATCATTTAGTGCGATTCTGGTACATTTGCTAGTGAACTTTTTAAACGATAAATACACTTAAGATATTTTTTTTATAACTAAAGTTGAAGGCGATATTATAACTATTTAACGGATTGCGTTTGATTAGATTTTTAAATTCCCGACGGTTTGAACCCTTTCCAGCGTTCATGGTCACCGGACAGACTGACGCCCGGTTTTTGAAACACTGATCACCGTAGAACTTAATCAGCTGTCAAATGGCTTTTCACATATCATTTGATTTATTTTTGTTGCCAAAAGGATGGTTAAACTCTTTGAATGGATCATTTTGATCAATTCAGAGGGTTTAACCATCATTTTCGAAAAACAGAGATGGCGCTATAAACGAACGAGACAATTGTGGCTATTTGAGCACCTGGCGGAGGGAAGAGCAAAGGTCGTTGAATTAGGTCACGGTAGGTCGTGCGCCCTCCACGATTAGCCGTTTGATTATGAACATCCTTAGCTCTTCAAAAGACCTTCAGATCGCCGACTGTCTTGCTTAAACAATTGTCCTATCGGATGGGTTCCCCCAACATTCTTGACAAGTTAGCTCAAAACAAACTAAAAATAGTTTATTTTATACAAATGAACAAATCTTTATTATTATTCCGAATAAGTCATGATTATTTAGCTAAAAACGATTATCCTTTTATTAAAATTTACTTACTGAAAGAGATTTGCACGAAATTTTTAAGAAAACGTGTGGTTACGGAAGCTAAATATCCTTTAAGATACGTCAGTAACGTTTTTATCTATGGAAACGTACTCGCATTGGTGTTAATAGCTTTTAACATTGATATCTGATTTGCAAAACATAAAAATGAGGTCATGTGTTTTATCGAGATCGTAACGTTAATTTGATCCGATATCGCGGCTTTGTTCTCTTTTCAATATTACTCACGATCCAGCAATATACCTTAAACGTTCAACTTAGTCCGGTTCCTCTAGTTTGTTACCTCAGGACCATTTAGAAATTCAAAATCGGAATTCGAACGAGACAAGGGAAATGTGGCTAGTGGCCCTATCTCTCGTATCTATCGTGTTCACGCGCTAGATACGATAGGTTCTATAAATCGTGGTTACGCGCGGCCATCTACAGTCAGTGCGTAGCCTTCGTAATTTATAGAAACGGCCGACAGGTCCGAATTGGGGCCAGATATCGAACCGGGTCAACGGATCGTTTTCCGTCGCCCGCGCAGCCTTGACCCGGCCGCGGCGCGCTGAGTCAGCGGCGTCGCGTGCACCGCGCATCGGCCGTGCACCCGTCGTCATGCGTCACGCCCGCCTCTATTTATAATAGCATAGGTTATGAAACGTCCACATACGTCTCAGATGCATCGGACAATGCTCACCCTGTTACGAGAATATCGCGTCTGGATTCCTCTCATCTCACATAAGCTTCGGTTAGATACAGAGCTCTTTGATTCGTTCCCTGGTATCAGAATATAGTACCTATGCCACGAATTGTAATAGCGCTACACGTCGGTGTGAGCCGCATTTCTCAATTGTCGCACCGTTCGCAAAACATCCTGCCCTGGTCGCAGCAACTGGGTCAGAGAACGGGGACAAGGCTGTGCAGGGCGTATTATTCTATCAAGCCCCTTCTGCGCGCCGCTGTTTACAGTTCGCATGAAGTTGCCACGGGAAAGCCTTGTGAAATCTCCAAATGCCACATGTATTTAAATCACTCTACTTTATAGCGAAGTCATTCATTGCGTATAAAGATTGTGAGCAAAATATCTCGTGTTTAATTTTACAAATATATCCTTATTCTTGATCGCGCATGTAGACTGTGCATGCCCCAAATTATCAAGCTTTATCTACGAGGTCAACCTTGAAGTTCCTTTGTCGGCGGCATATTTACGGAGCGGTTTAACTGACAAAAAATCGTCGGCGCCTCCCTCCTTCGGCCGCTCATATCGGTGGCCCGCTTCGCGATTTGGTAAAATAATATCGAAACGATTTCTTCCGTATTCACGAGGTCGCGATACGCTTATCGGCGTCGACCTCTATGGAAAACAATGCAGTTGCTGTTATCACGCGGCCTTCCTGTTTTCGGCTGTTTGGATTGATTTAATTCTAACATATTTACAATGCTTTGATAAATTGCTAGGCGTCTTAAGCGTAGTCTCTTCCGCGATATATGTTTACTTTAGCATAAAAGCCGGCTAAAGTTATATAGTCAAAATCTGAATCACAACAATCTGCACGCAGAGAAGGCCTAAATTTAAAGACTTTAAATTAGCTTAGTCTGTGCGTAAACGAATTTAATAAGTCCTCATCGGGGGAATGCAAACAATTTCGTCCGAAAGTTTTATTATCCGAAGCGACGTCCTTAACGCCAATTAAGGCCTTGCTGTACAGTGAGCGATTTAATGCTTGTCTCGGTTGATTACGTGCTTGCTAAACATTAACGCAGTACCAAATTATCCCGATTCCCGGCGCCCACTAAAGGAATTAAAGATACTCAACTTATCTGCTTATTGCGATAAACTCTCTACAGGTTCGTGTTCACACCAAGCCCGTGTCTAGTGTAAATTGTTTTAGGCATTTAGGGCTGTGGTAGGCGGTCGCACAGATTGAGGATACGCGCCGAAACGACATAAACAGTGGCAAGTATTAGCGGCTTCGGGCTAGCCTTGCATTATCGCACTCCACTGCCCTTGGTCCACTTAAAGCCACGCTATCTCGGGCACATCGCGAGCATCTGATAAACTGGCTTGTTTTCTCCGATCGCTCGCGATTTCTGCTATTTAGCGACCTCGTGTTCAAATAGAACGCGTTCTATTATTATTCCGATATAGAATGACTTTTAGCTCTAAACGAATTTTAACTTGCAATAATATAAACAGTTGAGCTTGCGAATCTGCTTTATTTAATTTATTGCTCGTGTATAATATTCAAATATTGGTTATTTCAGACAGTAAAACGTTGAAAGTCTACGTAGTAAGTTATACTATAGTATGTAAACAAAGAAACATATTTACATTTTAAAGCTTTAGCCATTTAATGTATTAAGCAAGAAATCACACTTTAGAGCATAACAATAATAATTCATTTCCCTATTCAATCGACTTCAATTATACTTGACATATTTGTAATCTAAGAAATATTATTTACCAATAAAAAAATAACTACAGTTTTTATGTCCGTTTAGTCCCACAGGCTTATTATTATCCATAAAATTTCAATTTCCAATTCCTTAATGCTATTGTAAAATATAGTATAGGTAGAAACGTTAGAAAATAACATAACGAAATGCGACCGTTTATCTCTCAGATTTGTATTACTATTCAGTGACGTGGGAATAATAGCGCCGAAAATTTAGCTTATCGCAAAAACCAATCGCTACGTGATTCGATTTATACTTAATGTTGTTTTTTTTAGTCCATCCATTCGGCATTAGATACGTCACGGCCGAAAATCACGGAAGATAAAAAACTGAATACAATTGGCCGTTTTTGCCTCGTGATAACTCAACCAAAGTGAATTTTCGCTATCCAATTGAAAATAGTGTAATTAATAGATGTCTATTCACGAGTAAAAAACTTCTACAAAAGCAGTACATATTGAAGACTGAATGGCTTGCACGTAGACATGTGTGTTGGAGTGACTTCTATAATTGCATAATGAATGAAAAGTTTTTTTGTTATTGTTTAAATTTAATTAATTATAACTGTAGATTGCAACATTTAAATGTTGTCTTAGTGTGTTGCCCAAGAGCCAATCACCTTCTTCTATCGGCTTACGAAGCCAACAACCCAAGCTCGCCTTGGCACCGTGCGCAGCAATGACGATTATGACGATTGCGATCTTAGTAGCTCTTATAATGTAGAGTAGTTCTTATGTATTACATAAGATATCGTATATGACATAAAAATGCTTTACATACGCATAATTACGTAACTTAAGAAGCCAAAATACAAAGCCATTATACAATGTAATAAGAGATTATCACGGCAATATAGTGAGTAAAGTTACGTCTTAAGGCCCATTTACACGATGCCATTTTCTTGTACATACAAGAGCAATAATTGAATGCAATAAGTTGCACGCAATAATTGACCATCAAGAATGGTAAGCAACAGTTTATACACAGATATAGTAAAAAAAATTGAATGCGATTATTGAATGCAAGTCTTGACAAGAAATAATGATCTTGATTCGAATAGTTTAAGACAGTGTTCGTCGGTTGTTTTAACCACCGGATAACCACGTAACATCTCAATTAAGGTGACCACAATTTGTAGATGTCTCAGGTAAGCACAGAGGTCTAATAAAGGGCTTCTTATACTACTAATGGTAAGTAAGTAATTGCGGCTGTTAGTAGAAACAATAACTATAAACTGTTATGAATACATAAGCCTGTAATGAATACATAACTCGAGGTCAAATTCCTCATGTAAATAGGCGTTAACGCAATGTTTCTATGGCTGAACCACTGAGGAATATTGAGAATTCAGTATTGTAGCCACTTTTATATTGAAGTATCAAGGTAAAGACGTAAATTAGAATTATTCCCTTAAAAGACGGCAATGCAACTGCAACTCCATTTGTGTCACGATTGTCTTAGGCGACAATTCAATTAACATCAGGTGAACTTCCCGTTAGTAGTCCTTCTGCCACAAGGTTAAACTCGGCCTTCTCCCATAAAGCTAAATAAGGAGCGACTGCGCGACGTGTGTAACGATCGAATTATTCCGTTACACTAAGTATTACAGTGCGAACAATATTTTTATGCAAAGGTCATACTGTGCGGTTGACAGTGCGCCACCTGCGCCGCCCCAGCACCTGTATGGAATTTATAAATAGCGCCACTCGCCCGACTATTATACCAACTTGGAATAGGAGCAAGACGCACAAGTTGAATATATTGACATTAAAGGCAGCTGCTCCTAAAGCATGCAGCCTTTTATATTTAAATGTCATATTTTCTTTTTACACCAACGTAAACAATGTTATTACGCCGCTTCATGTTAATGTTAAAGTAACGGGCAAATATCGGTTATTATTAATGTTTGGCCATCAAATAATGGAGGTAATTTTTAAGGATATAACAGTCAGAGACTTATTGCTGAAAGAAACAACAGTTAATTGTTTTTGTCGCGTTTATTATCTTTCTTTATTTATATTTTATGTGCTATAATATCAACTTCAATGTTATATAACATATAACATTGAAGTTTTAACACAGATCGCTAAAAGAAGTCTCCAAAAACGCCGAGGCGCGAATTTATTGACGCCAATAGCAGAATCGCCATTAATTTTATATGATATCTAAGCGAGAGCTTTAATGCGAGACCTTGCTAGTTGATGTAAACCGGCTAATTGATGACCGACTTGAGGTTGTCGACTTCACACTTGCATCATTCTGACCTTATGAATATTCCGTTTTATCTATAAGCGAAGATAATGAACACTGTGGTCAAGCTCAGTTTTTAATCTAGTTTTGTATTATACTCTCATTTACCGAAAACAGAAAGTATATAATTAATAAATGAAATAATTTTACGAATTCATGGGATGGTTTAATTATATTACAGGTAGTATTCTCGTAAATATAAGAAATTCTTATTTTTATAATATTTACTTCTTGGAGCTGTAATGTTCTCAGAATTGTTATGTGCTTCGTTAACCTACCAGAATATTGTTTAGGAGTTTCCTTTAACCGCCATATTAACAATATTATTTACCTCAAAGATTTACAGATGTATTGTACGTACAATCCGTTTACAGGCGTACTAAAGGTTGAATGGAACCACTGTACGGATTTTTATTACACTATCGTAACCCTCTGTCTGGAGCATATCCAACGTGTGCACAGAGGTCCGGCGATTGAGCAGACAACGGCAGAATCTGAATATTCTCCTGCAAGAGCATTTCTTGAGTCGTCCTTTCTGTATGGCAACGAGCATTGTCGGGTATCTGAGTAAAATCTGAGCCAATACTCTGTGATACGGGAAATACATGACTCTGCAAAATGTATTAGACTTAAAGATCAGCGTCTAAGTTGCCATTTATGAGGTTAAATGGAACTATTGTTCGGATTTTATTGCGTTCTATTTTGCTTTTAAATTACCGACTCCTCGAACACTTAACAGCCGTTCATGGTAACGGCACAAACTAAATTAAAACGTATAAATATGAAATACGTCTTTACAAAAACAATTAGCGCTGTAGTAACGGATGATAGTAGAATATCTATTTTTTTCATATATAGTAAACAAAGAACAAAATAATTTTAGATACCCAGTTCGCCTTTATAAGTAGTAGTAATAAATATCACACGTATCTCGCCTTAGAATCTAATTTATTTGTATTCGTAAATGTGAAGGACTAAAAAATAAAATATAATATTAATTTTTTAATCAAACTCAAGTAATTAATCATAGTCGCTTAAAAAGAGAACCTTTAAAAAAAACTTATTTATGGCACAATTTTTATCTAAGTCGAGTGTGGGCGCTCGTCTTTTGATACTACGGTATTATTGCTATGCCCAATATATTGTGCATTAAATGAGTTATGAAGATTTTTCTTAAAGAGTAGCACTGCCTTATTTCCCAATGGGCTATTTGCTAACTCTCACATCAGTTTCCATCGGAAAAATAATGCTTGTAGCAAGTCCAAGTCACGTAAATACAGTACTGTAACGATGTCTTCATTGATATTATTAATTCTAGTGCCCGTGCATTAATTGTTCAGTCAAAGCGAATAAAATTGAGCTGCACAAGGTTGAATATAACGGTTTCTCATAGAGTAACGGGGTCACAGCCAGACAGCCTCAAACCGAGCAATTAATGCTCGGAGATCATTGCGGCGCTTCGATTACGAAACAACGTGTCCGAGACATCTCGCAACGGAGGGTAATTGCTATTTCAAAAGCAAGAAGACTTTAAAACGCTTGGGCGCAAGCCATGTGATCGAGGTTTTCTAATTAGTCTCATAGAGTTCAAACCGTGTGATTAGCGAGGTCTCTTCATTAGTCTTATAAAGTTCTAGAGTTCTCGAATAGTCTGCAACAGAATGAGTCTCCGTTCCCCAGATTAATTTATGCGGACGCCTCAATGGTTACGATTTGTCCGCGAAATTGAGAATCGCGTTCATTAGCGCTTCTCGTCCGTCATTGTCACGTCGAGTCACGAGCGCTCAAAGTCGCTATGTAACCGAGCGGAAACTTGGAAGGCTATCGGCGATTTGTGCGTCCGAATCCACTAGAATGTAAGTAAAGTCTCAATAAGCCTCATTAACGGTACGTGTTTCTGCCCTTAAGTTTTGTACCATGACATTAACGATAGATAGCCTTTACTAGGTTCTCCGACAATATGTTTTAACCTAAATAGAAAATCTAAGGCCCTAATCTAATAAAACTAATAAAATATAAATTTAGCGCCCTAAATGACGTCATCACATTAAATTCGATTTGATTTCATCTATTTTATTAACACCCATGTGTCAACGAATAATTTACACAGCTTGGAATTAACTAGAATAGAATCAAAAGAACACGTAGACGTTACAACTAATACGCAAGAATTGTTGGCCTTAAACTTTGAATGGATGCGCGGCGAACGTCATGTTATACCAATCGATATACTTAGTTGGGGAGCGCTGAGATTATAGTGAAACCTGATCGCGTGCTTTGTGACAGTGGTTCGTTCGTCTCGACCAAGTAAAGCGGACGGAGTTGCGCAAACGCATGCCGTGACCTAATGCTCGGAGGCACTTCTTTGGGCGTCTCGGTCCACCGCGGCACGTGGAGCAGCTGCCACGTTGCCCGCAACGCCTCAAGACGAATTACCCGGCCACACAAATGTACGGACGCGGTAACAATTATTATTTAACCCAACGAGTATTGGAAACGTTGGAAAGAGAATTAGAATTTTTAGAAATAAAACCTTTTTCTTTCGTCTGTAAGCTGTCAATGTAGCAATCTTTAAAAGGTGGGAAGGGAAACTGGCTACGGCGGCGAAGTAACGAAATGTTTCGTTATAAAATTTAAGAGAAAAAAATAAAACAAAATCTCCTGTCTAAAAAACTTTATCGACAGTACGTAGACTGGATTGCGTTGAATAGATATAAAGCAAGGGCAATGAATTATAATACCCGTTTTTATCAACATCATAATCCGTTTTGCACCCGCAATTAGGGTTGCTACTTGTTATTTATAAGGTTGTAATTTTTTTATAACTAGAAATGGAGGACCACCGCGCATAATTAATCGCACTAGCATTAGGGGAATTGAATACAAGATATGAAACTAAAACGTTTTTCTGTAACGGTGAATTATACGAAAGTCAGTAATATTTGGCAACCCTGGCTTAAACATTTAGATAGGGAAACATATCAACACCGTTCACATGTGTGGGTCGATATAAAACAATGTTTTCATACGTAAATGAATAGGTATCTATGTGTTTACAGATACGGCGTCCGTTGCCCTCGCAGCAACTCGGTGACATTGACGAAACACAAATAAACTGATAACCACGCATAAATAAATAGTTAGTAGGTATTTGACATATATTATAACGTCTCATAACTTAATGAAAATAACTGATTCTGTTGTAATTTTTGTCCATTGAACGTTGCCAATTTGGTAAATTGTGACGTCAGAATTGATTGTGCTCATAACGAATGAAACTTAATAACTTTTTATGAAATATTCAAATTCATGTATGTGAACTCATTTGTTAAAGGTCGACATTTTTTGTCCCCTGCCTTTACTTTGACAAATCGCTATATATGTTTATCTCTTCTTCCGACAAGAAGGTGGAGAAGGGCGCTAGTTGGATTAGTCCATCACGTGACTAACGATTTTTACAACATGGTGCAATAAATTCACTAGCTGACATCCTCAACATTGCGCTTGCATCATAATATTCTCGGGAATTCTTACGGGGCGGTGTGTTCGCTACATAATCGAAAATTATGTGATTTGTATTCAGATCGAGGCGAGCAATGTTGCCTTGGCAAAAAACAGCGAGGCGATATTTCGATCGTAGAACTTTGCGCGGAGGCTATTCATCCAAAACTCACCAAAATACGGGGTGACGTAATCACAAAGTTTAGTGAACGCTCCGCTCCGCCGTAGCGTGGCCGAGCGGGGCGCACGTTGCCGCCAAACCAAGTTGAGCATATTCTCGAATCAAGGTCTGCGCGCGCGCTCGCTCAAGGCCACCGCACCAGTAGCGGGAAATCGCTCCTTCGCCTGTCCGCAATCCGCATCACTCCCATCGGAAGTCTCGCATTGAAAGACGTGTACATCCAACTGTACTTCAGTTTTGTATGGGTTATAGAACACTACCAAAAGAAGCATGTTCAGAAATGGAATTTACATATTGACCGTAGACGTATCATCTTGTTTTATAACAAATAGGCGGTTGATGCGAAAACTCGCCGTAAGTCTAGAAGGTTCGCTTCGGATTTCGTCTCACGTTGCATTGCGTCATTATGAGACTTTAAGGACGTCGATCGCAACAATATACACATCTTTACGGCGAGCCAAAATACTTTTGGGAATGTGATTAGCATTGTAGGTATCAATATCGGTATTGACTAAGAATTTTTTGCCTCGATGAGACGACAGCAAATAAATGTGTACACGGGCCGCGCCATTATAAATGATACGAATTTTAATCGAAGCTTTGATTTGTACCTACTTTGGTTGGACTCGGTTACGGATGTGGTGACATATCGTAAATAATTAAGACTGCTACTCGTAATTGTGTATACTTTAAAATGTAGAATGTGAAATTTGAACTTATTTGTATAAGAGAAATAAATACAACTCTGATTATTAACAAAACTAAAAAAAATAGCCCGTAAAGATGTAAAACCTCTTGACACCATATAACAAACAAGAGTAGTAAGTTCATTAAAGCAATGTTTTAAGTAACATGCCCGAGTGCTCAGAGTGCAAAGTCAATACAAAAGATGTAATTCAGTAAATAGAGTCATGGGAAGTGAGTACGGGTTTTTGTATTAGATTGAGAATAATTAATGTCTAGAACTATGATCGTGGGTCCGTGACAAAGGAGTTTTTTCATTATGCGCCGCTTCGCCCCTCGATCGTTAAGTTGTACCTCGGGCGGTTAAGTATTAATAGTTAAGAATCTCTGATACATTAATTACATGATGAATTGATATCTGTAAATCAATCGCTAGAGTTCTCTTGTTATTTGAATATTTTGAAACCTTACCAACGATAATACTTTAAAACTTTACGCACTAAAACTTATTTATCATAACTCAATTTTTCTGCTTGTTTACCGAATTGGTCCTTCTAGTCTACCTACTCTGTTGTCTTCTTGAATATGGTGGTTTATTTCGGTTTTACTAAAGGATTTTCTATTGCTTTTATTTTTCTTTATACTTATCGGTCTTTTATTGCTATCCTTAGTCTAAATAAGTATTGTTAAAAGTTATACTTTTGACGTATGAATTATATTGAATAACAATTACAGTTAACTAATACTTACGTCAAAATTTCATCTCCAAATCTACAGACTGATAGAATTTTGAAACCGGCCGTATCAATGGTGTGATGTAAACGGTTGTCTGTTAATTGTATACATATAAACTTTCTGGGATTATCAGATATTCATACAAATCTTGGAAGATACGGCCATAATGTACACTATTGGTATGTCTGCCACCTGTAGTTAAACGTTATGAAATAAATCCACACAAGTAAAACAATACGATAAAGATTCATCGTCTTAGTCAAGAACGCTGAGCAATACGAATTGAAAGCTATAAATAGGTTTTCGTGGGGGTTACTTACATTACAATTAGTTAGTTTGTTAGTTATACAATTGTAGAAAACATCATAGAAACCTTTAACATTGAAATAAGCTTCAAATATAATGCCATAAATCTTAGGATGCAGGTTTCTGGAATTACCTCTGAAATTACGTAAGCAAAAGGATCATAAATGTGTTCAATAAAGTTCATAAATATGGTCAGTAATAAATAATGGGACGTTTATGTACAGGCTGTTAGTTTGCTATATGCATACAATATATTACATAAATAGTACTTATGCATAGGAATGGAGTTAGACCAGTATATGCACTCGTATTTCTAACTGACATAAAAATCAGTCACAACCTACTACAACCAAGTAACGCGGATGACGAATGATCATAATGGAGGTCGTACCTATCGTTTTTTTATTATTATTGTTTATGATTAATATCTAAATTAAAAGAATTAATTGTCTTTGAAATATGTACGATAAAAAGAACAAATCTTATTTAATGATAAAGTGTACTGAACAGACTTCTGTTTCGTTAATAAAATTGCATATTTTATATAAATTAATAAACGAGTTATTGTTACATACGAGTAATAGCATTACATCAAACTTATATATTTGTTTGATCGTAAGGCCGCTTCATCCATGTGAACCAACAGTTAGAGCTTGCAGAAGCGAACTTTAAACTTGGTTTAAATGGGTTTTGCGTCCAAAATTACTTGACAGTCATGTTGCAAAATTAACTAAGCTCTAAGCCGTAAGTGCTCAACTCAAGTCGATGATGAACTGCGAAATAGGTTTTATATAATCCTTAGCATTGCAAGTGCTATGCGCTCAACGCGAGAGTACTTTTAATATTCGGCACGCCTTTCCTCGAGTACCGTACCTCTTATCTTCGCATAAGTTACCAAACCGTTACTTTCCACCTCGGATTAATATAGTGTTCGAAAGGTCAAGTGAACATTTTTATGACGTCGAGACAATTTACCATTTCACGTGTGTTACCAATCTCATAATCTATCTATACTAATAAGGAGAGAACCAGTTTTTTGTTCGGTTATTGTGCGAAAACTACTGAACCGATTGCAATAATTATTCTTATACCATGCGGTTTTAGGAGAAGGTACATGATATGTTAGTGGTTACCGCAACCTATATTTTTTGAACTTAAAGAAGACGGTATGACCTGGCGAAGAAGGCGGGGGACAGTTGGTTATAACATAATTGAAATAGAATAGTGGCGTTTATATTGATTAAAATCAAAATGAGGGCAATACTTATTGCTTTTCGAACCTTTGTATTTGGCCTTAAAGAATTATATTTTATTATTCTTTACTTACGAAAATTCGTTTTGAACTTTCGAATTAAATTGAAATAAATTTAAATTTTATACAACATCCACATAGTTATTACGATAATAATTATGTTTAATGGCGGAAATATACACCAAGTGAACAATTTCTGCGCAAATGGAAGTTAAAGAAATAATTTATCTAAAGCTTTTGGCGCAATTTAGGTTACATTTAGTTTGATTAGGAGATGGAAACAGGAAGTATATAATATTAAAATGTAGACTTACAATAAATTGCTAATTTTGAAGTGTCATTCATAATTAACATTAATAAATGCCGGCAACGTTGTAACAATTACGAAATATTAATTTTATGTCCATCGCTATAAGCAGATTATACAATCAACATTCAATTAACACGAATTTGTTGTTTAAGTCGCTACAAAATAAAGTTAATTAAAGTAGTTATAATGTTAAGCACTTCACTATAAATCCAATTCATTTTATACTCTTTAACATCTCGTGTTTAGTTTTTTGCAATATTCAAAATCTGTTTAATGAACTTAAACTTCTTCGATTCACTTATTGAAATGTAAATCTAATATTGCTTCACTAAATTAGATATTTCTAGTGAAGAAATAACAAAATACTGCAATGTTGTTTTTATTCAATTGTTTATTCCCAATAATTTATATATAACATTGTTAGTTAAATCCATCAAGCACGGCAAGGTGATTAAACGTCTGAAACTTAATAAGTCAGTCTGACTACATTCCTACGGGTGGGATCGTTGTTAATTTTCACGGTCAAATGCACGATACACGAGACCTTGAGCGTCGCCCTGTCCACAGACAGACGTACATATGTGGTTTATGTTAGCATCCTCTGTACTGGCACCTGATCAAACATGTGGGGAGATAAGCGCCACACTTGATGTAAGACTTGACAGATAAGGACGCCTTCCTGGCTCCGCGGTCTAGCACTTGAGAACGCAACCATACTTCGGGATGACTCGCATTCTAAAACAACGCTCATTAAAACAAGTAAGTACAAATAAACGTGCAGTCTGCGCGAACGGCAACACCATGGCGAATATTTTAAAGTACTCAGTTCACTCACGACCGAAGAAAGGAACTCGATACACAAAGCGAGCGAGGGCTTCGTAAAAATCAAAACATTGGAACGTTCCTCGTTTCATATGCAAATAGCCGAGTGCTACATATGCGATGCCGACCGTCTTCATCTTGTAGCTTCTACAAAAAAAATCCCGGACGAATCGACTGTACAAGGAAGAAATTATTTGTTTTGCTTTATTACAAGGTTCGCTACCTTGTAATAAATGTTGCTAGTCGTGCGTCTACTATACTTAATGTTGAATCTTTAAAGTTTTTTAATTTTACTTTGGTAGAGGTTTTAAAAATATATAATTCGCAAAAAAATAACAACGACATTAATTCGGGACCGTATTGCTATTCAATGGTATAATTAGGGGAGTGTGACCGAAGACCTACAAAAGTTTTATACTCTGTGTCGGACGAAAGAGTCTTTTATTTTGTTTGAATCTAAAACCGTTCTTCCCTCTCATTCAGTGCGGATTGAATTGCTGGCCCATTATATGCAAGGCGGACCGAGTGGCCCTGGTCAAAATTTCAATAGCCCAGAGCGATTGAGCTGGTCGGCACGTGTAACTTTTTGTGCAAAACTCCTTGGAATTCTTTAATGCCACGCCGAAAAAGGTTCTGGGTTGAATATCTTATTATGCAACATTTTAATGCCTTCCAAGTCGTTTGAGGCGTTCTTAGTCGCGTCACTAATTATATGTTTTGGGGTTGTGGCGTCATCCTATCGAAAACATCGCGTGACGTCTGCCCGCTTTTGCATAATCCCCGGCCATCGTAGTAACGACGGCGTACGACACGAGGCATATCCAATCATTCAGAAATTGACGGCGCTGCGGGGCGATGGAGCGCTATGGCGGCGAGCGTAGCTTCCCGTCGGCGGCTAAGCAGCGGGCGCGGCAACTTTCTACGCGACCTCGAAATGCTGCATTCACTTTCTTCGCGGCCCGACACCGGTTACGCAACCGACGCGACCGACATATCGCCGCAACGAAAGCGTCCCCGTTTTGCCGACACGTCCCGCGACATCCGAACTGCGCAGATCGTAAAACGAGCCCGCACGAGCCGTAGGTATGAGCAACGTGGGGCTCCCTTAAAATTGCGCGCGAACACACCTATTACGCAATACGAACGCGAACTGCGCCTCGTCTGGGTCCGATGGAAATTGCGCAGGAAATGTTACAAAGTGGGCCGGCGGTTTTTTTTTTAGCCGAAGGACAGATAAAAACACCAGGTGCCGTGCCTCTTGCGTTCAAGGTCGCCGTTTCCTAGAGCTGCATTTAGGTTTCTTTTTATTCGTTGCATGTCCCTTCGGTGTAGCCGGATCGCGTGCGGCCAAACCAGTTTTGTGCTGCTCACTCCTCGTATGCTGGCGCGCCCATTACACTTTTGAGTTTTTATTCCTCCTTAATGGATTTTTTTCCACAGACAAAAATAAATCGCTTCGTCTGTGTGTCCATTTTTAAGCTTATCTGCTTTGTGAAATGTTTGCGATATGATTATTCGGCCAAAACTATGTATTTGGTAAAATCGCCGTTCGTTATTCATACACTGATTAATCGTTTTTATAACAGTATTCGTAATATAAAGCGAATAGTGAAGCAGTGAGTAAGAGTGGGCGTTCTAAGAATAAGCCGCAATCGTGAATCTTTCTTATGGCGGCGAAAATGGAAAAGCAACAAGAACAAAACAATGGAGCGGCCTGCGAATTCGGCCCATTCTTAGAAGCCTCCCACAACTGCAAAGCGCGCCAGCAGGAAGTGGGGACGGACTAAGTTTATGTAACTTAATCACCTGCCGGCCCCGAGGCCAGCTTCGACGATTTGGAAGAACACCAAGGCCACGACAGACAAAGTGCGAGCGCGCTCCACACACTTTTATATAGTCTTCTATAGTGCTGCCATAGCAGGATGTTGCATAAGCTTTGTTGTTTTGTTATCCTGCGTGCAGACCGCGTCGCATTTTAGATTGGTCGTTTTATTTTGTGAACACGCCGAGACGTATTCCTCTCGCAGTCGGAACAACGTACGCGATATTGGACACTAACGACGCCACGTTGGAACGGTTTTTAGAATGTTACTTATCGAGCTCTCGGTGAGGCGGAGGATAAAATATTCATTTAAAATTCTGTTTGGACGCTTCAACTTTGAGTTTAATCTAAATCTCTCGCAACGTCGCTCGATCTTTTTACATTTTTGAGTCGCACTCGCCTTGAAAGTGTGAAGAGCGTCACTTTTAATATAAAAGTTTGGCGTCGGACGTAATTCTGAGAAATTTAGTTTTTATATTAAAAAAAAAAACTAATCGGTACGACAGAACCAAGGAGACTCTCTGGGTAAATTATGTGGATTAAAATTAATCCAAGAGCTGTTAAACAGGAACCTTTATTTGGTCTGTTTGAAAAGGATTGTTTTTACATAATGGTGGTTCTTTTATACAATGATGTCTGATTTTTAATGAGGAATCGATGAATTATCTTATACGACGCGTAAGCCGATACTACGTAAATAAATTAAAATTTCGTATCGATCTAAATTTTACAAACGTAATAACGTAGGTCTGAAGCGAAAAATCGATATTGAGGGCACACGCCACGCATTCCCCAAATGCACTGTCCTTACGTCGTAAAAAATATTCATCGGGGGATTTCCAGCGTGTAGTATTTTTGTGGGTGATCCCAAAAGGGCACATATCCCTGCCACGATCGCCATTTACTGTCGGGACATGCTCTATCTTTAAATCAATAGTCTAATCGTACTTGTATAGACAACTTGGGGTGGATATTAGAAACCTGAATAGAAAATGTTTCGTGTACTTTATTGTTCCGCTGACAGTAATTGAATGACCAAAATTGCGACTTCAATGTGATTTTTACGCAGCTGTGCCTAATAAAGTTACACTTAGTATCAATTTTATGGAATGCCTCTTTTATTCACAATACATTAACAAAGTGTTATTAAATATTTTAGTCGGCATTCACAGATATTTACTTTCGGGGAAAATTTTGAGAAGGAACAATTGATAATGTTTGTTAATTTAACGAACACTTATTTCGTTTCATATATTACGTTTTCGCAAGAAGCCATTCATGTTACGTATTAATCGAGCGATATGTAAATAATATGTTTAGAATCTGAGATATTTCTCGAGTAATGTTAATAATAAAGTCGGAATTAGATTATATATTATGTATGCATTGACATGTCGATATTTATAAGAGATCGTTACTCAGCGAGAAATAAGTCGTAATCTCACCTCAAGAAACTTTTGATCGGATGTAAAAAAAATATTTTTATACTGAAGCACGGTTCCGTTTTGTAAATCGTTTTAAATTAAATCATTGCCAATAGTAAAATTTAATTAAATTTCATTCGGTGAATTTCAAAATAAATGCCACAATTTAATCGAAAACTACTCAATATACGACACAATATAAATTACCGTTTTTAGAATTAGAGTCTTTCAATCTATAGATTAATCTCGAATGGTGTCGGAAAGGATGAATCTTAATAACAATTATATGGTTAGTAACAGGAACTTCAACTCAAATTTTCTTGTAGATAACATAACAATATCGTGCAGGGTCAAAACATATGAATATAGGTTGATATTTTTTATAGACGCCCAGACGCTTTATCTACTGAGCTAATTAGCCGATTGCAACACCGACGAAAATCTGAACGATTTTATCTACATTTAAGCAATGCTTGGTGCATCTATTGTGATTCATCTTAAATGCAGATTTTAGCGCTACAAAAGTTTAAATTTCATGTCCGTTACAATATCCACGGATACAAATTGGCGGGCACCACGTATAATATAGTTATAAATACGAGTGGATTAATTCAAGCATTGTGTTGGCTCAACGTTGACCAAGGAATGTCTCCGTTTGGGCATCGGTAAAAAGTGATCAGGGATCGCGGCTCTATTTACGGCTCGTGTAATCGTAGACGCAGTGGGAAAGTGGTAAAAAACGGGGGGCGTTCACATGTACGCGAGGGCAGGTGCAGACTGCCAAGTAAGCAGGAAAAAGGTTAAAGGTTACCGGAGAACCGGCCGTTGTAAATTACCAAGACTCGGTTATACTCGCTTTTATCGTCAGTAGTAGCATAACTAGAATGTCTTCGAAGCAATACCGTAATATTCACTTTTGGTAAATAAATAGAATGTATTCGAAACTTTTCTTTCTTTCTTTTGTGTGAAAAAGTGGCAAAAGAGCCGGCGGTTCACCTGATGTTAAGTAATAACCGTCGCCCATGGATATTTGCAACACCCGTAGGGTTGCAAATGCGTTGTCACCTTTAAATAACGTGGGCCCTGGCTTACTTTAGGATAACATTATCCCGTGATGTAAGGACGTTCAACGTCGACGACAAACGTAAATTTCACGTGGACAAACACCCAGATACAAAACAGCAGTCTGTGGGTCACAATAATAGTTGTCCTGTGTGGGAATCGAACTCACGACCCCAGATGCCGAAGCCAATACCTTGGCGACTGGGCCACGAAGTCCTTTAACTCAGTCTAGTTTCTTTTTAAACCATACTAAAATATAAATAAAAAGGTGATTATTTTTGTAGAAAACTTGTCGAAAAATGTCGAACCTGCTTTAACGTTTTCCGATTAACGCTTTACCGTTATAGAGTGATTAATATATGAATACTAGGAAATTGCAAGTACACCTGGAAGTCTTTCCGAATATTAATGTAAGCCGACCTAAATTTCGTTTAAGGTATTTTTCCTCGTAACGTTTTACTTTGATTATTTTCAAAAGTTTAATCCGATTTACCTACCATACATCTACCGACCAGAGGCTAGTAAAAAATAAGCCAACAGGAGTGAGTTTTATGTTGGCATCTACAAGTATAATACTAGCATCGTCTACGACCTTGATATTTACAAAAGATCGCTATGAATTATTTATTTCGCACGTAGACACCATTAAATTATTTTTTAACTTGAAGGTAACGAACGTGAATAAGTATCGAGATGTAAGTGTTTAATTTCGAGACATATTAGCCGACTAGCAACCCGCCCGGCATCGCACGGGTGCAACTCTATTTATTAAAAAAAGCCGCATCAAGATCCATTGCGTATTTTTAAAGATCTAAGCATAGGGATAGACAGACAGCGGGACGACTTTGTTTTATACTATGTACTGATGTACTCAAGTGAGGATGGTGCGATCGTGAAAATGTTCAAGAATAAAAATAGTTGGAAAGAAATCTAAAGCCGAACCATAATAGACTGTTTTTTTTATTTAAACCTCGGAACGCGTATTGTTTGTACTTACCCACCGTAACGCTGGCTCATTATAAATAAATCTAAAGACAAACGTATAATACTTTGCTGTTTAGTACCTTCCCTGTTGTGATCTATAAACAAGGTATAAGGCAATGAATCTGAACATTCGAGAATACGGCACTGTTTGCTCAAAACCCGAAAATGCTTTGTTCAAAATAAAATTTCGAATTTGTTCGCCGATAGCGATTGCACTGCCGACAATAAGACCGAATCTGAATCCGAATACCCGGAAATCATTCCCTCGTTAATCTGTTGAGCATTTCCGGAGAAGAGTTCAAATTTTGAGTAGGTGCCACACTTTGGAATTGCGCTGCGCATGTCTAGCGATACCCGAGAATTCATAGCAGTGGTTGCTCGCGGTACATTCGACACTGCCGCGGGTAATCAAATTTCGAATACTTTATAAAGTTCGCAAATGCGATGACTCTAAGCCCACGAGATCTCCGAACATTCGAGAGCACCTTGCCGCTGGCGGAGCACTCGAGACCGTTACTCCGGTGGAAGACAAATTCCGAATTGCGATGCGACGCTATCTTCATCGCGGCGCGTTCCGCTCGGGAGCGGCAAAAAGCACCATCGGCCGTTCCGCCGCGCGAAGGAGGATAACGTAAACACAGCAGGGCGGGGTGAACGACCCGGTTTCAACTTGACACATTTTTGGGCGGCCCAATTGTGCGGTGCGGGATCGGTGACCTGCGTCGCCGGCTTACGCAACGGGAAGCCGGTTGTGCCAATCGACGTGCGGTGCAGCGCTTTGGATGCGGGGAGTACGCGGCGAGACTCAAATGGTGCCGGGGCGACGCTAAACGTAACAAATAAACATATACTTGCCCGTGGAAATAGGCATATACACGGATATTTACTTTTGACTCACCTTCAACTCACCGGCAGTGAGTTCATTGCTGTTGCCGATATTGAAAAGTAAATGGTTATTTCGTTCGTTGTAGTATTTATACGGTTAAACGAACGCTTAACTGTTTATGGAATCCGACCTACTAATACAACAGACCCATCGGTAGTGAACGTTAGAAATTGTGAGCAGAGTATTCCTTTTCGTTGATTCCGCTTGCTTTACAGGGGGATGCGATGAAAAAATGCAGGTAGGGGCCCGACCGAGCAACGACCTCGGGGTTTTTGGGCTGTGACGTCATCAAGCAACAATGACTCGCCGATGGGATTTGGAAATAACGAACCCATATGATGTACATGACACGTTTAGTACACTAATGATTGTGCATGCAGATAATTAATCAGAATTAGGGTGTGAGTAAGCAGAAATAAATGCAATAACGTAATGGATATAAAAATGCTCCATAAATTAAAATAGCAGTGTCGTAAAAAACTAAATGTATATGACGGATGAATCGTAAGTCCTTTTTATAAGTCCAATATTTATGCAATGACTACTCCAGCCTACAGACATATATGACCATAACCGATCTTAGTTCAACAAAGCTTTTTTACGTATAAATATTGGTATAACGATAAAAACTCGAAAAGGACCCGACGACTTTGATGCGTCGAGTTCAGCTTCCGAGAATTGCAAGACATTCATATTCTTTCGCCTCGGCCGTGTGTAACTTTTCAATTTGCACTCGCACCCGGGGTCGTTGACCTGTTCCCAGCTGTTGTACTATTGAGTCTTAGGCGAGTGCAGTGCAGGCAGGGACCATTCCGGTACTTGCGGTCCGTGACGGAACAGCCGTGGATAATGATATCATTTTCCCCGTAGCCGACCGATGTAACGATTTAAAGAATATACGACGAAATAAAATTAAATCTCAAACAATCAGCCGATTGCAATGAAGTTTATACCAAAGTCTCAAACGGCTGTAAGGGTTTCATCTAAATATTTATGATGGTGAATTGTAACAAAAAGGCCTTTTTGCTCTCTTATGTTGCACTGGAATCACTAAAATGGATGGCAATATCCAAACAATCCTACCGAGAGATCATAAGATACACGCCAGATAAATTAAGTTTTTTACAGGGGATTTCAGATAAAATTCATATAACTTGATTACAAAATTGTAGATATTTTATAATTCAATATTAAATATATAATCCGCAAGTTTCAAGAAAGTTTTTAGAAGAACCCGTAGGAACCGAGAAGGAGGATTGACGCGACTTCAAATTCGGAAGGAGCTTATTTTTAGTTACATGTATACGAGTATTAATACCTCTCGGTATTGAAATATGTACTCCAAAGAGTAAGCTACTATACATGGCATTATATTACAGCAAAGAAGAGACGTAGGTCATGAGGAGGCATAAATTTAGACGGGCCGCGATACCCGGCCCGACGAGCCCGCAACAGCTGTAGATGGAACGCGACCGACACATGCCTGCACCCCTGCCGCACGCACACATGTAAAGGGGAACATAAACACTCAGGCACAACGTAAACAGACGCAGGTTTATGTATACCAGATGCCCCCATAGAGCGAGACGATGATAAAGCCGAGTGCGGGGCGAGAAAAAGAAGGAGCGACGAGGGAGCGAGCTTCGGTCCGACAACGTGCGGAGAACTCTAATTAAATGTAGTTGAAGGTCGGGAAACAAAAGGACGCATGCGACACCGCGACCGATTCGTCCACCAATTGATATTGTAAGAAACGAAACATGAGGGACTATAGTTGCTGCGCGTAGTGCATCACGCGGTCGCCTTATTAGCGAACGAATGCTTCGTAGGAACGTACTAATGGTAATGTAAACACGGGCAGGCCGCGCCGAGGCCGTTGTTAATTAACATACAGATAGTATAATAAAAGGCAGGAAGCCGACGGCTAGGGGAGTGGGCGATGAAGCGGTAAAAATAGACGCGGGGGCGACGCGGCGGAATCGATCCCGCTAACAATGCGACGATGCGCTGCGTTGTACAAATCGATAATGGATTCCGAAAGCGTTCCCTGTCTGCGTCGCTCGAAACTGCGCCTCTGTCTATTACCTACGTTCTTATATGAGCATTAATTTAGTGTCTGCCGTTAGGGTTGATTTACATATACAGAATGGTAAAACAGTCTTGCTAATTAAAGGTCATCTCTCTGTGACGAAATTGACGCGTCATAACAAAGAACCTATCATGCTTTATCATTTGTATGGTATACCACATTATTAATAACATTTATTAAGCTTATAAAACGGCATCAAAAGAAGTTCGTTAAAATATATTTTCATCGCAAAGAAAGGTTCCCACAATACATCAATCGGTTTTACACACAATGAGTGCTTAGCCGAGCCGTCTTACCGTAATTCAAATGCGTAAAAATTAACCGAGCGCACATTAGTATTGGTAACGAGTTTCACAAGGCGCCTATTCTGAAAAGCTATAAGAATAAATCAATAGTGTACAAGCTGTGTATTGTTTGTCGAATCCAAATTATATCCAAATTTTCTCGAAGTCATGGCTATAAATCAGGCGTTCTTCGGTTATGACTTTACGAAAAAATATCGCGGTGAATATTCATTTACGAGAAAACTAACGTTCCGGACTCGTGGAGCGCCGCACGCCGTATCGTTTTTCGGGGCGCGTCGATAGCGCCGATGGGAAAGTAATGCGGAAGTCGATGCACGCTGCGAGCAGCTGACGTCCCGGTTATTTCGGTTTCCCAATCCGCAAGTGCGACGCAGTTGCGGTAGGTCAGGCCCAGGCACTCGACGCAAGCCCTAAGTGCCTGGGGAGCGAATATAGGTCATAAAGGGTGCTTCGCAATTGTGCGCGGCCGCGAAGCGGAAAGCAATTTCAGGCGCACGCGGACGCACTTTGTTGCGCCGTGGAAAGTTCGGCGGACGAGGTTTATCAGCGATGCGAAAATAAGTTTGACTTGGGGCAGGTCGGCGAGGTTATTGCCCTTCGCGATATCATGTTAGTCGCCTTTCGCTCTACTCATATCTGTTTATTGATGTGTCTCGGAATGTTTTTAATTCGCTTTGTTGTTTCACCGACGACGAGGGAATATAGTTTAACGCGCAAAAACGATCGAAAATTTAAAGAGCGCTCCGCTGTACTTTATGTTAAAAAAATATTTAGCTTTTCTTGTTTCAACAGACGACTCCTTTTGATCTGTGAGAACGCAGCGGGGGCTTGGACGCGAGCTCCGAAAGCGGGCAGCGGCAAAACGAAATCGAGACTGTATATAAATCCTTTCATTATCCAAAGATCTGCGTTGTCCGTTTAATTTTCGATGCATTACGCAACTCGATAAAAATTTACGGCCGCCGGGATCTCGTTAAGCTGGTCCGATATATTATTACTTGTACAACGTCGTGGTTTACCGAGCGAGCTCCCTCCCCGACGGGTGGGCTTAATGGATGCTAATCAGGCTTTCGACCGACGCCGCGAATGAAACATTCGCGGCGTCGGTCGAAACATTCGGGGCGGTAGGTCGAAACTTCGTTCGATCGAATCGTTCGGCGAAGTACCGGGAAAACGGTTCGCCGTCGTTCGCGCGAACGCGCTTTCTTTTTGCGGCGGCTAGATGAGTCAGCGGCGGTGCCCTTTGTTATCGCCGGTGCTAACGGCCGGCGCAATGCCGCTCGGACGCAGCGCCCTCCAGCCGGGGACCTTGGCTGGATTTAGACGCGGTCGACGGACTCTGCGCTCGTTTCGGTTCGCGCAACTCCTATCGGAATCGTTGTTTTCCAGCGCAAGCGGGCAAACTAGCCCCTCGCCACCCACAAGGATATAGGTCATTACCTCACTCGACAGATGCATTTCATCTGCCTACAAGGCTGCCGCGTGACTCCATTAGTGAACTGCATTTATGAAACTGCATCGCCGGTTGTGCTTTGAGTATTGCGAACAAAGAGACCTTAGTTTCGCCGGCGGTGAGCTAAGGCGAAGTGGAGGTCGTTGACCGCGCGGGGACCTTGGCCGATTTCGGACGCAGGTTCGACGGTCGTACCCCGAACGGCGGCGCGTTCACAACTTCCCCGGGCCGGCGATAAAGTTTATGCCCCGCCGTGTTTCCTTACGAGCCGGCCGGTTTATAAATAAGCGAACATCAACCAGACGCTAGGCCAAACGCTCCTGTTGGGGGCGAACGGAAATAATATATCTGAAGAGCGTTTCAAAGTTACCGCCGCCGGATCCGCGTCGAAGCGGCAGTCTCACGCTTTTTTCGACGTGAAACGCGCAACGTGTTCTCGTTTGACGTTTGTGCGAATAGCACAAATACATTTTGAAAATAACTCTCTCCTGAAATTGTTATTGTTTTTAACAGTTGTATATATAACTAAAATCAAAATTGCATTAAAATGATTACCCACTTTCTTGCTTTTGTCCCGAGTTCTACAAACGAAAAAAAAAATATTTCCTTTCCAGTCTTATGCAAGGCGAACCTATCATTATAGTAATGTAAAGTATTGCCAAAAAATAATTTATCCAGATGCTTTGTTAGTGCATAAGTGTTTGTTGTTATAAAATTCACTCTCATAATTAATTATACATTCCAGTTTACCAAGGCCGAACAAGATCTTCATCGCACAATGAAAAAACTAGATTTCACACTTAATTTATGTCATAAAAAAAATAAAAACAAAAAAATTTGCCTAAAAAATAAAAAAAAAATTTAGGGGTGGACTACCCTTAACATTTAAGGGGATGAAAAATAGATGTTGGCCGATTCTCCACCCTGGCCGACAATCACGCTAAGGATCACAAAAATCGGTCGAGCCGTTTCGGAGGAGTTCAAGTTCGAACCCCGTGACACGAGAATTTTATATATTAGATTATGTTTTCAAAATCATTTAAAGGTTAATGATATTTAATATAGAATAATCGTACTCCATACATGTTTTCCTTACATCTATCTCTAACATAAAAAGAAGATATCATCTACTCTTGTAACGCTTACGAGCTAGTACCAAGTTGCGCGTTCAATATCCATAAGCTGCAGTATTGATTCTTTCCGATTTCAAGTCCAATTAGACTGCATTAGTCTCAAAATTGCTACGATCCGATCTTAGCTGCGTACAAAAACCCTAATTACCGCACTCGGCGTCCCAGTTGAGTGCAGCCGGGACAGGAAGACTAATGTCGCCGCCGGTAGACCTTGGCCGAATTTAGTCCGGGGTCAACGGCCGACCACGGCAGGTCGCTTTCTCCGTCGGCGCATGCGCGATGCAAGCACAACGCGCCCAGCGTCCGATCGGTCGCAACATGGCCTAATGGCCGGCTAATCGTTTATGTAACCCGACAAACTACATTTAACAGCGTCGCGCGTCGGGCCACTATTAGGGCACTACCCGACTCGAATATTTCGACTGTCCTGTTCATCAGTTTAGTTCGAGTTGTCCGACTGTCTTGTCACTACACATAATAAATTTAAGTCGTCCCGCTGACTGTCCCTATATATGCTTACATCTTTAAAACTACGCAACGGATCTTGATGCGGTTTTTTTACTAGATAGAGTGATTCAAGAGGAAGGTTAATATGTATAATACATTGCACCCGCGCCTGCAAACTGGGGCGGGTCGCTAGTACATAATAATTTCTTGTATTTACGCGATTAGACATTATTTAACGAAACTATGTTTACCGGCAGTCTGTCCCGTGACCATGAGCGTTGTAAAGGGTTCGAAAAGACGGGAAATAAAATTTAAAATAAACAGGATAAATCCGTAAACATAGTTTTATTGAGTAAAGTCCTGTTCATATTTCGGAAGATCTAACAGACGTGATACTTGCTAGGAATGCTTATGACAAATATAAAATGAGATTGATTGTCAAAATTTGTTTTAATTTCTCAGCATTCAGTTACATGAAGTACCCACGTCAAACTTTTTCTTCAAAGAGTACAAACGACCTCAATTAAATGCACAAACCGGGGTCAAACGATTCTTCGAATTGTCTTCATTAAAAAAGCTTTACATTACGAATCATTCGAATTTATGTCCGCGCCTGAAATAATATTTTGTCCCGTCGTACGCAAATGCGTACGAACGATTTGGTGACGAAACTTATTTAATTCTACAAGGATTTACTATTTCCTACGGTAGCGGTATTAGTTTCGTACCTACAAAATCCTACCTGAGAGAAATGAAATCATATCATCATCATGACAAGCTTGTGGCAGTCCACTGATGGTTTACAATCATGCCTTCGTATTGACATAAGTATAATTAAACATTGATATTTTTATTAGACATTCATACTGTTGTTAAATCAAATGACTGTATCTGAATGCATAGTTGAATATATTTTCCGTCTTGACTGCTCAAACGTTTTCATATCTTCTTACTATCACCTGATTTTGAGCAGTGAGACATGTAGTCCTATTTAGTAAACGTATTAGTTCTTTATTGCCAGGCAAATTCAGTCTCACCGCGATCGAGTTGGATGTATGGAGACATGCAAAGCATCTAGAGTTCGGTGGAAATAGTAACTCTATACCCTCCACCTTCCCACAAAGGGATAAGGGACACGAGTATCAGTAAATATTTGTACCTTCCAAACGATTCATATTTCCTGTCGTATTCGAGCCAGAGTAAACATACCCTCGCGAATTATCGGTTTATCGAACATATTGGTATATCCGTGCAAATAAATTGGTACAGTGGAACGGTAACGATGTTTGCCGTAGCAATTCGCCCAGGAGTAAACGTTAGCGGTACTTGTGCCGTCTCGAGATAGTTTGAGTGTTTGGGTACTTTGTCCCACACAAGAGCCAGTGTGTGAGATGCCGGTTATTTAAATTTGTTTTTATTACATACAGTATACGCATGTTCACCGTATATATATAACAAATCTAATAATTTTCTTAATTGCAATTAAATTACTAATTTATTACATTATGTTAACGGTATAAGTAATGTAATCAGAGAAAGGAAATGACCAGTTAGCGATACAGAAGCCCTTATAATGTAGTATAATTGTTAATACAGAAACTCGCTGCCAGTATCTAAAGACTCGTAATTTTGTGTGGGAGCGGAATAGAATGGATATTGATGGTAATCTAATGTCTGAATCGGTCATCACGAAAACATACTTAATGAAGAGCTTAGTATTATACTCAGTTAGCTGTCCGATAACTGTAAATTCTTACAAATGATAAAGTTAGATAGCGAAAAGGGAATTGTTGACTTATGATATTCATATTTGCTTTGTAGCAAGTCTTAACCTTGAAACCTCCCATTGAAAGCCAAGACTGCATAAAGCCGTTTTTCAATGCTAATTTAGTACACAATACCGCTTGATTATAGCTGATCGGATTTTTTCTTTTTATTTCAGTATCGTATACTTAACGGTAAAGGTAATCTTCGTGAAGTGACATGCATCCTTGCGACTGAATAATCAGTATTTCAACATACAACGGCATGCGAAGTTTTCTAACGGACATGGCGGCCGAATTATTGTGAATTTTATAGTTTAAAAATTTCGCGTATAATTATTGTCCGGTTGAAGTTCTCAACTATTCTCACTAATACGAAAACAATGTCTTTTAAAATAAATCAAATATTTTTTTTTCTTTTTATAAATAAATATATCACAACGGTACACTTCATTAGTATTTGAACACTACCGGGGACCATGAACTGAAGTCCCTAGTCACTAGACGACCACTGCGCCATACTCGACATCTGCCTTAATATAATATATTAAACAAAACAGAAATAATACATTAAGAGTTGTAAATTCCGAACAATAACTAAAGGTGGGCTGTCCACAAATAAAAAAGGGCAGCTGACTAGGCATTCCGATGCATCGAATAAAATATGCACCAGACCTTTATTCAATACTTTAAAGTCTATCTAAATGACAAGGATATGTTGTTTTCAATTCATCATCTTGCGGGACATTAAATGTCAGGGTTAAGATAACCGGTTTGGAGTTCGATGGTGAGCCCATGGTATTTATCGACGCCCTTGTCACTCGGGAATTCGTAATCTTTCGGCGTTAATCTACGTTCCTCGCATATCGCAAACTAACTCGTGGAACGTTGGTAAATTAAAAAACAAACTGGTGATCTAAAAACGAAAAACCTATGAGTCTTCGTTGTGAATGGTCGATGAATTTGAATTTCGAATGTCTTTAACCTCCAATCACCTCGAGGAACAAAACCATCGTCCGATTTCGCGTTGTCACATAAACGACTTTATTATTGAAACTAAAATTTGTATACAATAGAGTTGAAGTGTAAAAATTTCACAGACTATAAATGCTATCACTTTACTATTATAAATTATATAATATAAATACTTCAATTTTAAATAAAATCAATAATAAACGATCAGATAAATAACGAGAATAAATTCCAAAGCTTTTTTACAGCGCAGATTAGTCGCGGTGCATACATTGTGTCCTTTTTGTGCGGTGATTTAGACTAGCGTACGGCGGTTTTCGCGTTGCCATTATCTCGAATAGCTCCGTAATGCCTAGTCGCGTCTATTAAAAAGTCACCCGGTGACATTAAATTTTTATGCTTTCCTTTACGGTCCGGTCGCTTAGTTCGCGCGACCGTTGCGTTGCGGCGGATCAAAGAGATCCAAACCGGAAGCCTCCGTCTGCTTAGCGGCGTCGCTGCTGGTAGATTCGACCGATCAATGTGGCAATACAACGATCACAGAACTGTTCTCGCTCGACAAAGCAATCGTGGTATCAGATGATTCCGATCGGTGACAAAGTCACGTCGCGGTAAGAAACTTAGTCGGTGTACAGCGTTATCTCTTACTCATAAGTTAAACTGTGTTAT